TGAGTGAGTACTCCGAGTGTGAGTAGAACTGAGTAAGAACGTGAGTGAGTACTCATGAGTGTACGTAGGAATGAGTATGAACGTGAGTGAGTACTCATGAGTGTGATTAGGCGTGAGTATGAACCCGAGTGAGTACACCGAGTGTAAGTAGTCGTCAGTATGAACGTGAGTTAGTACTCGTAAGTGTGAGGTGACGTGAATGAGCACTCAGAGTATGAGTAGTCGTGAGTGTAAACGTGAGTAAGCCCACATGAGGATGATCGAATAGGCGTGCGTATGAACGTGAATGAGTACACCTGAGTGTGAGTAGCCGTGAGCGCGAATGTGAGTGATTACTTTTAAGTGTGAGTAGTCGTTAGTTTGAACGTGAGTGAGCACTCATTGAGTATAGTAGGCGTGAGTATGAATGTTAGGTAATATAAGTATGGGTAGATATCTGTGGTTCATAATGACCAGCGGTTATCTTGCAATTACTCTACGTGCCCTTCCCAACGACATTTCTGCTTGATTTCGACTATGATGTCCTGAACGCTTGCTTGTTCCCTGATAAAACCCTGCCATGTTATTGTCCCTATGGGTTACACCTATCATTTTCCTTACCATCGCTCGCAGCGTCCTCCTCAACTTAAGTTGAACCCTCTTTGTATCCTCCAGGTTTCCGCCCCGTAGGTATATAAGTACAGGTAAGATGTAACTATTATATACCTTCCGCTTGAGGGATAGTGGCAATCTATCATTGGTGATTGAAGAATGCTTGCCGAGTATGCTCCACCCCGGTCTTATTCTCCGTATTTTTTCAATCTCGCGGTTCGGCTCCACAGTTACTACCTGTCATATGTAGACGTACTATTTTGCAACTTCAAGTGCACTGTTACGTATCGCAAAGCGCTGTTCTCTTCCGAGGTTGTTGCACATTACTTTAGTTTTCTGCAGATCAATTTTTCAGATTCTGGAAGAACGCACGCAGGTTTAAGGGAGACAAAGTTAGGTGGGCAGATCAGATTATGAAGTTTGTGGGTATAAAGTGGCAGCAGCAAACACAGGACCCAGTTGACTGTCGGAACAGGGGGCCGGCCTTTGTCCTTCAGTGGGCGTAGTCAGGCTGCTGCTGCTGCTGCTGATGAGGATGATGATAATGATGAGTAATTTGTGAGTATGAAAGTGAGTGCATATGATTGTGGGAAGGCGTGAGTATGAACGTGAGTTCTTATGTGTGTGAGTTCTTATGTGTGTGAGTAGTCGTGAGTATGAACGTGAGTGAATACTCATGAATGTTAGTGGGTATGAGTGTGAACGTGAGTGAGTAATTATGAGAGTGAGTAGTCGTGAGTAAGGACCAATGAGTGTGAGTAGGCGTGAGTATGAACGAGAGTGAGTACTCATGAGTGTTAGTTGTGAGTATGAACGTGAGTGAGTACTAATGAGTGAAAGTAGTCATTAGTATGAACGTGAGTGAGTACTAATGAGTGTGAGCAGTCGCAAGTATGAACGTGAGTAAGTACTAATGAGTGGGAGCAGTCGTGAGTGCGAGTATGAGTGAGGATCTATGAGTGTGAGTTGGCGTTATTATAAACGTGAGTGAGTGCCTGTCAGTGTTAGTCGTGAGTATGAAGTGAGTGAGTTCTAATGGGTGTAAGCAGTCGTGAGTGTGAAGTGAGTGAGTGCCTACGAGTGTGAGTAGTCGTGAGTATGAACGTGATTGAGGGCCTATGAGTGTGAGTTGGCGTGAGTATGAAGTGAGTAATCGCTTATGGGTGTAAGTATAGTCATGAGTATGAAGTGATTGAGGACCTACGAGTGTGAGTAGTCGTAAGTATGAATGTGAGTGAGTACTCATGAGTTTGAGTAGTCACGAGTATGAATGTGAGTGGGAGCCTTTGAGTTTGAGCACACGTGAGTATGAACGTGACTGAGTGCTAAGGCTGATGAAATTGTAGTGAGTGAGTATGAGTGAGTAGTTTCTCAAAGTGCCGACCTATGGTCCTCGGTAATAGAAACCGAACAGACCACATGAAAACGTAAGGGCATGAATCTACCTGCGGTGACATTGGTCGCAGTATCCAGCTGCTGTTGACCGCTTGTAACACGCTCCTTCCAGGCAACACCCGTCCAGGTGACACCCGTCACCATAAGCAGAGGCAACAAGATGAAGACGTAGCGCAAAACTTCCTTGAAGGTACACCCCTGCACGTGATTGTGGAAGTTCTGCAACGCAAGTATCATTGCCACAATAAAGGGTGTACGCACAAACTTTTGCGTGCATTTGAGTCATATAGACGCAGCATTTCCTGAGCTAGGAGTTACAATGCACCGACTGCAAATAGAGATTCTTGATCAGTGATAATCTATACAACTAGACGTCTATACAACTAGACGCCCATCCGTACGGACGGACAACCGGACGCACGAACGGACACATGCACGGAGAGGACGAAGCGATGGTTTCGCGTTCACCAGTATGAGGGAAGTGGGCAGAGACGAAGACAGAGCTAAAGGAAGAAAAGTGGGAAAGGTGTACTAGCGTTGATGCGGATGGGATCTTCGATGGCAGTGACGGTGGGGTGCGGGCTTAAGAAGCTTCGCTTCTATATATATACGCCTCCTTTCACTGGTATTTTTGGTTTGCTGGGCTTGTTCAGTCAATCTCACCTGTAGTAAAAATGCAGTTCAGTATTGCACAAATCTATCCGGGTGTTGCACAACTTTAAGAAGCGCCCCGCTGTGGCCAGCGCCCCAATCCTGCAGTCACTGTTATAACAAAGTGATACGATGAGAGACATATGCTTCAAGGAAGTAAGCGTTTTTTTTTTTTTTTTTGAAGTGGAGGCACTCTTTTGACATGGAAATTTTTGTTTTGTATGTCATGGCGAAAAAACGCTTCTGATGATGAAGATGAATTATCGCATGACATTTATGACCATGGGAGATGACCAGGCTCTGCGCGGTTTTTTAAATGCAGAGATACGGAGGAAACGCGGGCAATCAAGATTTCCACGCGTTTCAGCTGGACATAGGTAAGTGAAATTTGTATCCCACAAACATAAGAATATCCCTACGCAGCTTCCCATGGGCCATTGCGGGCCTACTCGGATTCAGCAGGAAATCACTGAACGAACTGCTACCCAACAAGAGCCAGCTTGCCTTTTTCCACCGACACGACAGCATCACCTTCCGGAAACCGAACCGAGCACTGGTCGAGGTCCGGGTCTTCGACGACGACAGAGTCGGGTGTACGTGTATACACGCAGAGGACTGGCATCTTCTTCTTCTTTTCAGTCCTGCGGCGGCTGCATTTTCGATGGAGGGGAATTAAATGCTGTAGGCCCGTGTGCTCAGATTTGGGTGCACGTTAAAAACCCCAGGTGGTCGAAATTTCCGGAGCCCTTTACTACGGCGTCTCTCATAATCATATGGTGATTTTGGGACTTAAACATGTGGGGGAGCACGTGCGCCCAGCCACCCTCTCTCTTTTACGGCAGCGCGAAATATCAATGAACCAATCTTTTCAGTCCTGCCCCATTGAACGCGACGCACTGTCGTGAAATGAAAAAAAGAAAGAAAGAAATGAGGCACATCGTCCGTTACACATTTCGTGCTGTTGATTATATTATTTTTGGTTCTGAGACTATCTGATTGCCTGACCGCGAGCTCGCGTAGCATTTTCATACAGTATTTGCGATATATTTTTGTGTTTTGGTGAAACTCCGTTGGATGGTTTTACATACATAACCAAGATCCTGCTTCCCGGTTCTTGGCCAATTCCCCTCTGTGGGCGAGTGCCAGCAATGCAAGAGATTCATCATAATCATCATCATTATCATCATCGTCGTCGTCATCGTCATCGTCGTCGTAGTCGTGCTGTTTTTGTCCCCTGAGCATGGCACAAACCAAGTGCAGGGGATCAGTCTCTTCGCGAGTTCAGGTTATTTTTGCAGAGCATCACACCTAGATCCTATAGTTAGCGAATATATTTATTGGAAGTGTCAATAATCAGTAGCGCAATATTTAAAACTGGCAAAGCGTAGTAACATATTTTCTTAATCGCAATGATAAATCTGTATCACAGATTCGTCGCCCCAAAAGAAAGAATAACCGGTTCTGATAATTTCTGGTCCAGCTTTCGAAGACGAAAAAGTTTGCCTAAGACGGACATGAAAATTTCATTCTAAAATGTGCAATGTTTTATTCTAAGACCTTCGTGTTACTCTAAATCTCTATAATATTTTACAGGACCTCTCAATTCTAGGCCGATCCCCCACAGCGGTATGAGCCACAAGAGTAACAAGAGCAAGACTCCTGTCTTCTTCGGGGGTTATATTCAATCCACACTTGTTGTTGTTGTTGTTGTTGTTGACTCTAACATGGATCATACGCACTCTGACTATGACTTTGTTAGACTTTTCGATGACTGAATTTTGATAACCAACGTAACAACGCACGTATCAAAAAGAGTGTGAAAATTGCTTTTCACCTATTCAGATAAGACTTACTTTGAATATAAATTAAAGTGAAGGAAAAAATAAACCTTTCTGTATTCCTTTTAAAATAATTCATCACAGCAATAATAATAAATACACAAACAGGAATTTAAATTCTTCTTCTCATCTTTTTAATTGCTGCAACTTAATTGCTGAAAATTTTCTAGCTTACCACTAGGTTAATATTCCTCTATATTCGTGTTATCTTGCTTTCAAGTTTTGATAAACTTTAATATTAAAACTCCAAAATAAATTTGCAATAACGAAACATTTTTTTTCTTGACTATAGCCCCTGTAGTGGGTACACGCCATGGTCCAAGAAGCAACCATCTTCGATGAACAGTCTTTACAGACTATAGGACACTCGGCTTAGTTATGATAGTCCTGACTATGTGCCGGCGGGTCTTGCGCAAAGTGGTTCGGTTAACTTTCATCAGCGAGCATTTGAGACGCCATCGAGGTCTACAGAACAACGGGGTCAGGCCACCAGCAGGATTACCAAGGAGGCAGACGACCTTGATGATGACTGTTCTGATCGCTTACGCGGCAACGTGTGCCTTGCTGGCGCTTGCTCACCAGCTCCATAGTCGTCGTGGACTGGCGATCTACCTTCCGATGTTCAGGTTCACCACCACAGACGCCAACGTATTCAACGACTCCTCGCTCGACCAAGATGTACCAGATGGCTGCGACGAGAAGGAAGTTAGCCGCGTGACTCGCCTGCTGACCAGCAGCTTGAACATGACAGTGGACCCCTGCAAAGACTTCCACTCATACGTCTGCAGCGGATTCAAGGGAATCGTACAAACATCTTTGCTCGACGACATGGAAACGAACGTGACCACGTCCATCTCGAGCTTCTTCCACCACATAACTCGTGGCGTCGAGAGGTCGTCTCTGCCAGAGGCTCTGAAGAAGGCTGTGGAATTTTACGCGAGTTGCGTGAAGCCCGTTCACACGAATGGACGGACCCACGCATTGGCGTCTTTCTTCAAGGAGCAGGATTTTTCGTTCCACACCAAGATCATCGGCTTCCTGGAAACGACACTAGAGCTTCAGTTGAGGTTGGGCCTCCAGATCTTCTTCACACTTGTGATGGACCCTTATCCGCGATTTCAGGAAACTGCTCGCTACGTCTACCTCCGCTCCAGTCGTATTTTTGAAGAATGGAAGCGGGCGAGGAAAGTTTTGCTCAGGAGCGGCTCGTACGCCAGGTACGCTAGCGCGGTCATTTTGGCCACGGGATTCGACGAGAAGGGCACCTCCGACCTTATTCGTAGAGTATGGTACGTCGAGTCCAAACTCATGAGCCGCTCGATCAAGCCGAAAAGTGTGCTTAACGGGAAAAAGCTTGTGGCCAAGTGGAAGGAACTGCTTCACCAGTACTCCCGAGGAGCCTTGATGGGAACGTACCAACTTAGCTTGCAGTCCAGGCCATCCGTGTTCTTCCACCAAATGATGTTCAAGGCCAACGACGCGGAACAATCACTGTACCTAACCTGGGAAGTGGCGCGGCACCTGGTCAGCGCGAGCGGCTTCGCTGAATTGGGAAGCAACTCCGATCGGCGGGCTTACTGCTTCGACACGACGTACGCATTCTACGGTCCCGCGATTTCCGCTGCTCTCTTGTTCCCGTTCGTCAACAACAGCAGGCTAGAGCAGGTCCGAAGAATGGTCAGAACATTGGCGAGCGAAGTCTACGAGAGCATTGAGGACTCGGATTGGGTGCTGCCCGAGACGAAGGCGAAGTTGGCCACGAAGCTCCGGCTCGTAACATGGAAACTCGGCTACGATCGGAACCTGGGAAACTGGTCCGGCCTTAGCCACTACTATGAAAACTACCCCATCGCATCGGGAATATTCTTGACGGACTTCGTCAACACGAATGCAGCGCACGTTTTAAAGTTCTTCGAACTTAAGCGTCATCTCCGAGAACTGGACTTCAGCTTCAAAAGCGACGTCGTAGGCGCGTTCTACGAGGGCCCCAACGTCCTCGTAATCCCTGCCGCTTCCATGCTAAGTCCGCTGTTCAACTACGGTGCCTCGCCGGCGATCAATTATGGCTTCTTGGGCAGCGTCATCATGCAAAACTTAATGCGCGCTTTTGGTCATAACAATATGCTGACCGACGGCTTTGGCTCTCCTATAAGTTGGTTTCCAGAAGAGCGCGCAGATTTCGAGGACCGGTACCAGTGCGACCGCACGTCGGAAGTACGGGACAGTGAGGTTGATCCACTGGCTGGCGTATCAGTCGGCGCGCAGGCGTTCTTTCGGGCCTACAAGAGGGCATCCGCTGCTCGGGGCAATCGCAGCTGCGCATTGCCGGGTCTCGAGGGGCTCACCAGTGACCAAGTGTTCTTCGTCAGCCGCTGCCTGCTCCGCTGCCAAGACGTGCAGGACACCACGGACGGCATCCACTTGGAGGACCACACTTGCAACCTTATGGCGAAGCACTCAGCCGAGTTCGCCAACGCATTTAATTGTCCGATTGACCATAGCAACGTATTGTGTGACGTGTGGTAGGGCTTGTATGAAAGTAAAAGATCTGATGTACGTAAAACACTATTTCATCTATATCTATCTTGACCTTGCTCTTACGTAGGTTTATAACATCTTTCCGCCAAAAATTGCAACCACTGCTATTGGGCTCATCTAGGTGCCCACCCTGTTGTCAGGGCCCGAGGGGGGGGAGGAGGGGGGTAAATGCAGTTAGCAGCGGGTGTGTAACCACATAACCATGCTTTGTTCTCATTTGCATCGCTTGGTGCTACTTTCATTATCCTCTTGCGGACTACAATGTGACCAGTTTGAATATTAACGCGATATCGAGACCTTGTTTCTCAGAAATTCTGGTGTGGGCGTCGGTGTCATTGGTTGTGATCGAAAAAAATCATCTTATGGGGGACCGAAAAATCGAGAACGATGCAAATAAAATAGATAACAAATTCTGGGCCACAGTACACACCGAACAAGGGTTCGGTGTGCACTGTGTGCACCATAGCGGACACGAAAAAAAAAAGTGCAAAAAATAGAGAGAGCGGGGGGGGGGGGGAAGCGTTGCAGCGGGAGACGCGAAAGAACGCGTTGAGGAAGAAACAGTCATAGGAGAACGACAAACAGTATCGGAGAGAAACAGCGGTCATCCGTGTTCCCCATTTAATGAGTTGAGCGTTCCCATTCAAGTACATCTTTTCCTCTATTCCCCTGTTAGAGTCGGGCGCGCGCCCGATCGAAGCACTCTAATTCAAACAGTTACACCTGTTCCTATTATTTACCAACCAATCACCGATCTGACACATGTATGTATACCGCACAAATAGAATCGAGTGAAGCCGCAGGTCGCGGAATCCAATCACGGCAGCTGTGGCGGCTGCATTTTTTATTGAGGCGAAAATGCTGTAGGCCTGTGTGCTTAGATTTGGGTACACATTAAAGAACCCCAGGTGGTCGAAACTTCCGGAGCCCTCCACTACGGCGTTTCTCATAATCATATGGCGGTTTCGTGACGTTAAACCCCACATATAATCAAGCATCGAGTTTAGCTCCACAACGTGACATCTCCAAGTTACCAATCTCTTTGGGGCGGGTCAAATTATCGGCCCGATGTACTTGCTTGCTTCACGGTTCTAGTGCATTTTTAAATAAATAGCCCTGTCATATCAACCACCACAAGCCAGGGGCGGCGCCAGGATGTTTTTACTGGGGGGGCAACCACGAAAAGTGAGTTCCTCCGGGGGGGGGGGGGGGGGGGGGGGGGCAAGCTAGCTCTGCTCCTACTAGGTTTTCAATATATGCTTCCGGGCACTTGGGTGGGCATAGGGGGGGGGGGGGGGGCAGGCGAGAATTTTGGGAGGGCTCCAGCCCACCCTTGCCCCCCCCCCCCCCTGGCGCCGCCCCTGCAACAAGCACGTATACACAATGCGGCGAGTACATGCCGTGAGGACTGCTAGCAGACGACAGTGCGCGGATGAATACATGTGGAGAGACTAATCACCCTTCCTATTGGCTAAGAGGCCCTGTAGGCTCCCCAGTGCTGAAGGGAAGTTCTGAAACAGAGTAGGCGAGAAATTAAATTTAAAGAAAAAAGAGAGAAAGAGAAAAATAATTGTTACAGGGAGCTTGTTTCAAAACAGGGCGTAGCCCACGCTCCTGAAATGTTTACATTTGGTTTACTTCATTGTCCTTTCTCGTTCTGGCACACGTGAGACAAGCGCGCCTTTCACATGTACCTAAAACGCTAAATGGCATCTGCGTGTTCAAGTGAGCGTCTATCTTTCTGGCTCTTCCGCTTACTCGCCTGATAGCTGCAGTGAACTTCACGCAAAAATTAAGGCCAGACTATACACCTTTTCACGGGAAGGAAAAAAAACACCGCCATGGTGGGCTGTGCACGGGAGTACAAAGGCTAAGGGCGCAGCGTTGTCAGTGCATTTTCGAGGGGACGCGCCAATTTGCACAGCCCAAGGGGGGCTATGGCGGCGCCCAGGGAGGCGTTTATGAAAAGGTGAAAACGTTCCCGTTGCAGCGCACCAGCCCGGAGTTTTCTGACGCGGCAACGCGCACTCTCCCAATAAAGACAGATGGCACGTGGCTACGGAAAGCTGCACGACCACTCTCTCCATATAGAGAGGGCACGGCACCATGTCAGAAAAACCAGAGCTGAACTCCGTCGATTTTAGACCATGTCAAGGTTAAGGTGTTTCTACGTTCCGAGACACTCTTGTCACGGGCCCAATAGCTGAAGTGCTCTGGAAATTCAAAAGTAACTTTAATAAGCTAAAATGTACAATCATCATCATTATCATCATCATCAGCCTGACTACGTCCACTGCAAGACAAAGGCCTCTCCCATGTTCCGCCAGTTAACCCGGTCCTGTGCTTGCTAAAATGTACAATACCGAAACCGAAAAGCAACCGGGCGCCCTGTCTGCGTATGACGTACTATTTAGTAAGAGCCGTAGGCCGTATGCTGGTCCCACTGGCGCGGAGTATGGAAACTGTGAAAGCCAGACCAGCGAAACACCAGCAAAACACCACAGAGGAAAGAAGAAAGCATTCCCGTTCTATACCCGTGCCAAACACCGCCGCCGTCACCTCGTAGAAAGCACAATAAATGCTGTAATGGCCAAAATAGCGATGCCATCAGCTGCGTCACTTCCGTTGACATGCCAAACATGACGTCACACAGACAGTGTTGCCAATAATTCTAACAAGCGAGGTGAGCTTTTCGAGGCAACCTTTAAAATTCATTTGCAAAGAATCAGTGCATCACTCAAGCCTTTAATTTGGCATAAATAACGAAAAGGTGCAAAGGAACATACCCAGTGAATTTCATTGAGGCCCATTGACCTAGAAAAATCGCCGGAGTTAGCCTTTAAGTAGTAAACGCTCATAGAGTTGGATAGTATGAAACTCTATGGAACATGCTATGCTACGCTGACGCTGCTCCACCGTCACTTTCTGCAGCGATACGAGAAGCTTGCCAAACAGGGGCGGCACCAGGATTCTTTCAGTGGCGAAGTTTCTTGCCCCGTAGGTCGTTCCCTCCTCTGTAGTAGTAGTAGTAGTATGTAGCCACCTCTAGTTTATGAGTTGCTCAATAGATGGCATTGTGTGTATATGTCCATAGCATCCATCCATCCATTCATCCAAGGAATAGCATCCGTCCCTCCATCCAAAGAGGAAGAACAATGTACGTGCTGTAGGGGAGCTAAGGAAACGATGGAACATGTTCTGATTGAATGCAGCGATATCCACACAGGTATACAAGTGAGTACAAGCCTACTTGAGGCTTTGGGTTATAGGGACAATCATGGAAAGCTGAACATGTCCACGATAGAAGCAAGCAAGAGATGGTCAGAGTATTGGCGGCGGGAGAGTAGAGATAAAGAACAGAAATAGTGGGAAAATGAGGCCACTCTGAAGAGGCAGAGATGGAACATAAATCTACTTTTTGTTATAATAAGATCAATTTAGTCGAAGTAGATAAGACATTAGACCAACACAGAAAGAAAGTTTTCTTTTCATTTTTTCTTGCGAGCCTAGTAGCACACATGTCACCGCCCCGTTAAAAGAGGACGCTTACAGAATCTATCCATCAATCCATCCATCCATGAGAATAATATAACTAGATGGTGTTAGTGGTTTTTACAGCATATCCACAAAGTGAATGATGATGAGGGGGCAAAGCGTCCTTTCGCCCGTCCGTCCATCCGTTTGTGTTTCCTTCCATCCATCTGTCTGTCCGTCCGTGAGTCTATAAGCCCATGCTTCCGTGCGTCCGTGCTTCCATATGTCCATCCGTCCGTGCCTGTGTCCATCCATCCGGGCGCTTCGCCCCACTCATCATCATTCACTCCGTGGATATAGTGTGACTGTTTCCTGAGGTGGAGTGGTGGGGGGGGGGCACCGACGACAATTGTGTTCCTTCATGGGGACAGAGAGGCACATAAATGATGCGTGGTTTTGACTATGATTTCTCTTGGGAAGGCAGGGGGGGGGGATTCAGCTTAATCTTGCCACCCGCTACGCCGCCCCTACTGCTAAACCAGACTGCTTCACGTAGGAGCGATGGGTTAGACAGATATGTAGGGTTTAACGTCCCAAAACCACCATATGATTATGAGAGACGCCGTAGTGGAGGGCTCCGGAAATTTTGACCACCTGGGGTTCTTTAACGTGCACCCAAATCTGAGAACACGGGCCTACAACATTTCCGCCTCCATTGGAAATGCAGCCGCCGCAGCCGGGATTCGATCCCCCGACCTGCGGGTCATCAGCCGAGTACCTCAGCCACTAGACCACCGCGGTGTGGCTGGAGCAATGAGTTAAGGCAGGGGTTGTACACAACAAAGATGACATTACGGTAAATCATAGCTAGAGTCGTATAATTAGATAATAGCAGCAATTACACCTCAGTTAAACCCATCAGCTAGGGCTCATTGCCGTCCCTGGCGAATATGTCAACCGCGCGCTTCTGTCCGACGTTTATATGGAAGTAACGTAGCTTGATTCTTTCTTCGGAAGAGCAAAACACAAAGCTCAGTTCATTACCACTCCATCCTATTTCTAAGCCCGTTCAGATAATCAACATAAGGTACACGTCATCACCTGCCGCACTAACACTTTCCATCATTCGTGCGTCCCACGCACATCCAAAGACTGGAACCACCTGCCCTCGGACATGCTTTTCATCTCAAATCATGACTTGCTTTCATCTACAATACAGAATTATTTACGTGATGACGCGTGAAGTGTATATTCTACATATATATTTTGCCACACTGTTTCCCACATGTTTCTGATGATACTTACACGTACATACAGTGTATTACCTAACATCGAATTTTCATGTCTTGTATTCTTTATTATTTTGATGTTACAATGTTTGCTCCTGGTTATAGTTTTGTGTGTGTGTGTGTGTGTGTGTGTGTGTGTGTGTGTGTGTGTGTGTGTGTGTGTGTGTGTGTGTGTGTGTGTGTGTGTGTGTGTGTGTGTGTGTGTGTGTGTGTGTGTGTGTGTGTGTGTGTGTGTGTGTGTGTGTGTGTGTGTGTGTGTGTGTGTGTGTGTGTGTGTGTGTACCCCACTCTCCTCTTTAAAGCTGTTTGCGATTGTGGGTATAATACATAAAATACAAAAGGAACACACCATGGTCAGGGCCACTTGCTCCGTGACAAGGTTACACGAACTTCGAACAACGTATGCAAAAGACATGATATGGGCCAAGCTACGGGTCCAGTGGCGTTCAACCAACAGCACCTAGACTGTTTAACTCGACCCCTTCCCCTCAATCCTGATTTTTTTTTTTAATTCTGCTTTTAGTCCACGCACAAACATAAGGGTACGCCCTTTTTGCCCACTCTCCTCCTCCGAGAAAAGCTCTGGCCCGTAGTTGTAACCACTGGTTCTATCTCACCGTTGCGACGTCCCCCGTGCTGGCATCCAAAATGTAACGCCTCCGATGTCTCCTTGCGTAAGTTCAATGAGGTTATCCTAGTACCGGTGCGAGTGCCACTGGCAGAACCATAAGTATCGCATTGCAGTCACTTTCGGAACTTTCACATGAGATATTCCTCAGATGCCCACCTAAGGTCGTCATCAGTGGATATTCACAATCCAGCGCTGAGCATATTAGGATGTACTGCGGATTATTTCAAAAAGCCCGGGAGTATCGCTACGGACGCCAGCGCTCTGTATATCCTACGAAACTAAACTATGTGCAGTTTCTAAAATACAACATTTTTAAAAACTTTATAAAATTTAACATTTTGGAAGCTTCAACAAAACATTAAGGTAACGCCTATGACTCAAAGAGCTTTCTGTTATCATAATTGTTCCTAAGATATGACACAACCACTTTTCGAACATTTCCGAAAGCTAGAACGTCAACACTGATGATCCAGTAAAAAAATGGCGCATGCTATCGCGTTGTTTATGATAAGTTTCCGCCGGTATGCGTGTTGTCTATTGCAGGTCGTTTAGCGCTTGAAAACGCATGTAACAAAACTGCCATGATGAGATCACACAGCACGCAACTGAGAGGCCGCGTGTAAATACATCCCGGCATTTCACCATGCCACACCGCGACAGCGATTCAGACTCTTCCAGGCGGAAACGTAAAAAGAGAACACACGCGAGATCTGGGTATGTTTTTTTTCCAAAAACAATACAGTGGTGCACTGAGTCTCTGTATAGCGTAGTTCATTCAAGTGTCTGTGCTTTTGGCGAGTGCCTTCGGAGCAGGGCACCCATTTCGCGGTAAAACACGCTCGCATTTGAAGCCGCCATACGTTAGTCACTGCGCTGTAACAGAGCTTGTTTCTCTTGTGGCTGCCGTAGTTCGTCCTCCTCGGACTCGCCGGATCGCTATCGTCGCAAGAGGAGGAGTAGACACAGCTCGCGCGACAAATCCAGGCGGCGGAGGTCGAGATCCGACTCGTCGTCCCGTTACTCCTCGAGCAAGGTGTCTTCGTCTAGGAGGCGTCGTTCTGGTTCCAGGCATCGACGATCTCGTTCTAGGTCTTCGGCACCACGCAAGAGGTCCAGGTGAGTCCGTCATCTTTAGCACAAGCGTTGTCGTATAGTCGAGAGCAAACTCCATTCCTGGTTTTCTTAAGCACGCTAACGTCTCTGGAAATACTTCATTCACAATTGCTCGAGTGGCACTAAAAGTCTCTGGCGCCCTAAAAGGTCCGAGTAAAATAGACCACCACCGGAATAATTCCAAAGCAATTGAAGGAGCTACCGTCGTGCCCAACTTTTAACCACCAATTTAACTAGCGGAAACCATTCCAAAATCGCTAATATACTGAAGTAGTTTAATTTTTTTCTTTGCAATTTCTGAAAATATATTACATTATTAATTTTCCGTTTAGAATTAGGACAAAAAATAAAAAAAAGAAAGCTGCTTTTAGGGGCAGCTTTCCCTCAATGCATGCTGTGGTAATGAGTCGGAACGTGCTGAAAGTCGACGTACTTATTTGATGCGACACACGGTAACACACCAAAATATAGCACAGATGTTGCTTCGTCGTAACAGAAGCTGTGATAAGTAATAGTTGCTCTTTGTGTGGCAGATTTCAAAGCATGGTGTCGCAAAGAGCCTTTTCGTCACCTGAAGCAATATGCAGGATAAAGGCAACATCCTAAGCGCTGTCAGACACAAATTTCATGTTGCCACGCAGTCTTCTCTACAGCTCCAAGAAGCGCCCCTTTTTTTCATTTTTTTTTTTTTGAAGCAACTGCGCCACTGGCATTCTTCTTGCAAAGCAGCATAATGGGATCACTGCTGCCAAACTTAAAACACATGATAAAGGTGCAAAACTCTCTTTTTCACGGACAACTACTGCATACTTTGGTTGAAAATTAATAGCAAGGCGATTGAGGACAGTGATACATCTTTTCCAGAGGAAGGAGCGGAAAATCGGACTGGACGAGTGTGACTCGTTGTTTGTGATATTAGTCTGAACTGGTGTGATGAGTTTATTTGTGGATGGCATTTTAAAGGGTTAATTGATAACAACCATGCTGCCATAAGTGCTTGGGTGGGAGCAGTGTGCTGCGGCTTTTTTTTGTAAACCAAGACTACGTTGCGACTTGCTGCATCGAGCGGATGCAGCACTTAGCTACTTGGCACAGAAAAAAAAACGTTTTTTTAATGTGATGGCAAAACGCATGTGAGCACATGTGTCTCCCATGAAATTGTATTTTTCAGTATTCAACAGCACTCAAAGATGCCTCAAAAACAATACAAGTAATTGATTTCATGTATTTGTACATAGACATGTTTTTATACATGTGGTGTGAATACAGAGATGCAAGTTGGAAAGTACACTGGCCTAATTTAAAGACTATTTGCTCATGTGTAAGCTAAGAGAAAAATATTTAATCTTTGATGACACGTATTTGCCTATTTGTGGCACGTGCAAGCTTCCTTAAAGAATTTACTTTTCGTTTTACTTTGTTAGCTTCAAATGGCTATTGTTACTGCAAGTTTAAAGGAAGGCGGTACGGCAGCAATTCTAGGGCAGTAACCTTCTACAAAATATGTAATCTGACCTTGGAGACATCTTGCTCAGCTTAAAAAAAAAAAGAAAGCTAAGGCAGTCACAAGATTTGCCCTTTTTTGAGTTTTGTAAAGAGTAAACGTGTCCCCCTTATACACACCTAAATTTACACTTTTTTCTCATCATTAAATTGTCTAGGGACGCAACAGTATCAGTCTGATTAGTTCAAAACTTCATGTGAAAAACTGTTAAAGGGATGCTAAATAGAAAAACAATCTCAGCTGTACAGCTGTAGAATGATAACATACCTTTACAAAATGCAAAAAGAAAAACGTGTCAGAAAGAAGTGTAAATTTAAGGGCCTATTTCTTTTGTTAGTACAGTATCAATGAGAGCTAACAGACACCTAGCTATGACTTACCTAATAATCATTCGTTGTCTGTTAGTTCTCACTAATCATATATGTCAAAGGAAGCTTTATAAGCCAGAAAACATTCGAAAACAAGAGACGGGTTGCAACACACCTATGAAACCCTTGTGCAAGCTGATGTCCTCCTCTGCCGCGCAAGATGTCGGTGCTCGGCTGCTGACCTGGAGGTTGCGGGTTCGGTTGCAGCTGCCATGGTTACATTTCAATGCAGGTGAAATGCTAGAGGCCGGTGCACTGTGCGATGTCGGTGCACGTTAAATAACACCATATGGTCATTATTTCTTGAGCCCTCCGCTGTGGCTTACCTCACAATTATTGTTTTGGCTCGTAGAACCGCCTATAATAATACAGTTTTATTAACAGTATTATTACTCTATTCTTATTGTTGTACTAGCTTACAGCTACATCATAGATTTTTATGAGGTCTGGTTGTGCCAAGTCATTGATCTATCTTTATAAGTTCTTTGAATTGTACTCAAATGGAGCCACAAAGCAAACATGGTAAACTTCAAGAATGTTTATTGTGCCTCAGCGACCTTGCTAAAAGAGTAAACTTAAAATCTTTGATGATGTCAATCTGATGTACTGGTGCCAAAGTTCTAATGTGAAGTTCAAATATGAAAGGTATAAACTAAATTTTTAGTTGTATTAACCTAATGATACTAGACTTGTCAAAGACTATTGTATCAGCTTAACCAGAATCTAATGTCACTTCTCGTGCTGCGTTATGCCTAGTTAGCCCCCTTGTATGCACTTTAATATGATGCAACTCATTGCATGGATTTTGTGTTACACTTACAACAATCGAAGTGTAACGCGCATTTACTCCTTTGATATGGCCACGTGGACTGCATTTGAAGACAAAATTCAAGCACAATTTTTTAAGCAGTGCTTTTATTTTTTCATACTAATTGCACATATTCTGTTCCATGTGCATGTATTGTGGCTCTCTGTCATGATGGCTTATCTACTGCATTGCTAAGCACGGGGAAATGGGTTTAGCTATCAGTAATAGGGACCACATTTAGGGGGTGACGAAGTGTGAAAAAACGCCTCTGTACTTGGATTTAGGTGGATGTTAAAGAATTCTACACTCAGTTTTATGCATCAGGTGCTATGCAAGAATATCAGGCAGCAAAATGCATAACTCTGCGCTCCTCATGGTCAGCTTATGGAATTGTAAATGCCCGCGCGAGCCAAGCAGGAGCCTGCACGTGAGGTGTCGTGACTGACTGCAAATAAAATATGAGAAAGTGAAAATGAAATGCCAAGTGATGTGGAGCAACATGTTGGTATATAGATGTATAATGGAATTTATAAGGCATTGAACATCTTAATATATTACCATAAAATACTGAGCAAGCACCCCCCCCCCCCCCCCTCCACTAATGGTGAAGGATAGTTTGACGCGATTTGGAGAGAGTGGCCTTGCTCAGTTGCAGATCAAAATTCAAGATGCTTGCAGTGTGGCTGCTAGGAACAAAAATATATACATTCTTGTTTCTATTGTAATGCAGTATTAAATACAGATATATTCATTGTTTTGTATGCCCTCGTCAGGCAAAGGAAAACAGTGAAGGAAATATTCATAATTACGGGAGGCAAGAGGGTTCATTTGCTTGATCGTTAGAGCATGTCTTTAATCTCCTGGAAAAAGGAGGGGAGCACTTGCCTTTGTAGGAGCACTTGCTCAGGATTGTACAGTGGTCTAAAAAAACAAAACAGAAACCGCATGCTAGGTGGTAAACTCATTAGACGGTTTGTTTGTGCAAATGCATTTACTGCAAGAGGTCACACTGCCCTATATTTACTGTGTGGTTTCGGCACATACATCCCCTAAATATGTGTACACTCCACGCCAATGGTGGCCTTTCAGAACTCCAAAGCATCGATCACGGAGGTCTCGCAGCAGCTCAAGCTCGCGGAGACGTTCACGGTCAAGCAGTGACTCACCGAGGAGAAGCAGGAAAACATCGGCATCAGTTTCCCCAAAGTGAGTAGTCAAATTACACTGGGCAACACTGGCAGAAAAAAGTAGACTTGTGTAAACGAAACAAACACTCGTGCAGTCTTCTTGTTGTTGATGTTTCTGGTCACCTTTTGCATAATGATAAGAATCTCCAACTCTTTTACTCAGTCTTATCATACGGTTGTTCAGCACCTCTGTCAAAACTTGTGCCAGTGCCTGCGAGCCAGTGACTTCCATAGAAACAATATTAAAGACTCGTGGCACCGTGCCACTGAGCAAGTGGTTGCTGGTTTGATCTCAGCCATGGCAGCTGTGTTTGGCATCTTCAAGCTGCAAAAACTCTTGTGACCTAGAAAACTAAGCAATTTTTGTAAATTGCGTCCTGTTACTTTTATGCAGGTAGTGAAGCCCAACAAATCAGATTTAACAGGTTCGTAGCAATGCAAAAATAACTATATCATGGTTAAAGGAAAGTAACGTAAATTTAAGGGCTCGTTTTTTTTTTTTTTTTGTTAGGCACAAAGCTCTGACTGACTTTTCCCCGTTTAAATACACTTATACATCCATATACATCCATTTAAATACACATATACAGTAATACCTCGTTAACTCGAACTCGCATATCTCGAAAAATCGGCTAGGTACGTCAAAATTTTCCGAGGCACCGAAGACTTTTCTATATGTCTCATGTATATTTTTTCCTTTATCTCTAAGTACTTTTGGGTCGGATTGCGGATAACTCGAAATCTTGACTGGGAGTGGAGCACCAAGAATTTGGCCGCTGGACCATTTCACAAGATTCCCGCGATGCTGCCATGCCTCAAGTCTGTTGATTCTTTTTATTGTTTAGCCGTGCCTGCCACTACGTCAATGCTTTCCGAGAACGCGAAGTTTGCGAAGTCTCAGCCCAGTGACATATCGACTTGTCGAGCTACCCTGTGGCCATCATGCGACACATGCGCTGAGCAGGAAGGCCCTCTGCCTACACTTGACGTAGTTTGTCTTGTTTGCTTTTTAGCAGTGCACATGATTTTCTCTGAGGTGTGATTTTCGTTCACCTGTGCAAAGCACACTGTATGGATTTTTCCCTGACTGCAAGTGCAGTGTTCCTGACTTTCCCTGAGGTGTGATTTCCGTTCATCTAGGCAAACCGAGTGGTATTCATTTTTGCTGACTCTGAGGAGCGGAAACTTAGAGTGAGTGCGGCAAGCACGGTGTCAAAGCAATGCAAGTCGTTAACGCTAGAAAAAGGTCACCCTAATCAAGGAAGAAGACAAAGAAGGTTTAACGAAATTGAGCATCACGCAGAAATTCAGCATCCCTTTGTATACGCTTTCGACGGTGCTAAAAAAGAAGCAGGAGGTACTGGATGGATTTCAGCAGAACTTCTTCAGCCAGCGGAAGCGGGTCCGAGGGTCGAAGTTCCGAGACATTGAAGCAGTGTTGATGATATAGCTGCGAAATTCCAGAGCGGCCAACCTTCTCGTCATCACAGCAATAGACCTTATGCAATATTACTGCCTACTGTTGTCCGTCATGTGCCTAGCTGCCATGTTAGAAGCTCAGCGCGGCGCAGTTCGTACAGTCCATGCAGGTCCGCGTGTGTTTACGTAGAGGTATACATAAGGCATATCGACGGGAGGCATGTATTGGCTGATAATCGCCATGGCTATGTATTGCTGTGTCCCTTGCAGCACACAGAGAGGAACTCAGAATGCTCAAGGAAAAAGTTAGGCCATAAACTTTGCCTCTTGTTATTTTTTTTGCACTAATAATGTTTCCAGCATCTACTCTAGCTACTGCTTCTAAAACACATGTTTACGTTCTTCTTTTTAAGCAAGTAAGACGTGCAAAGAGTTTGTATTCGTGTTCCCACAAATTGCTGCATGCTGAAGCAAGGCAGTTTTTGCTACATTTTTGCTTGCAGCTGTTAATCAAGTGAAGGCAACTGGTAGGTTTCACAAGCCGAAGCCATCTTCATGCAATGAACTTTATGGCAGCTAATTGCGCGAGCCTACATTTCATTCAATGTGTTCTGTTTATTACGTTTGGGTAACGGCACACGCTGAATTGGAAGCAAGTGCATGTCATCGGTTCATTCTGAGAACGTAGCAACGGTGCTAAATCATGTTTGTTTAATGTTGTTTCGTTTTCCCTTCTGTAGTGTGACAAGTTGCTGTTTAGTGAGATGACGTACGCATAACTGTGCACGTTATTTAAGCATGCGATGTCCTTGGCACATTCAGCGAAATGCAGATGCGTGCAATAAAGCTCGTTGCAAATGACTGCTAGCGAGAACATGGCAAAAACTGCCTTGATTTCGCGTGCGGCAATTTGTGAGAACACAACTACAAATGCTCCTGCACGTCTTATTTGCTTAGAAAGGCAAATGCAATGACGCCTTTCGGGAGCAGTAGCCAAAGCACATTCTGGAAACGTTGCCAGCATGAAAACAATAAGAGGCAAAGCTTACGGCCTATTTTTTTTATTTAAGCATTTCAAGTTCCTCTCTGTGTGCAGCAAGGGAGGCAGCAATACGTCGAAATTGCTATTATCGATCAATACGCGCCTCATGTCAATACATCTTACGTATAGTACGTATATGCAAACACACGCACACTGTGCGTACTGCCCCCCGCTGAGCCTCTAACATGGCGGTGTATGCACATGACAGCCGACACATGGCAGCAATTTCGCATAACGTCTATAATGATGGAGAAGGCAGACACTCTGGCTTTGCAAATGGGGCACATGGACTTCAGTTGCAGCAGCGGCTCGTTTGACTACTTCAAAAAAAGGGGGGGGGGGGGGAACAGTACGGTGTCCAAGTCGGTGCACGGTGAGAGCGACACTGTCGACGCAGTCACTGCAGATAATTGTCGCAGCTGCCGGCTCACCGAGTTGCTGGAGAGTTACGCCAACAGCGACATTTTCAATCTTTACGAGGCAGCACTTTTTTATAAAATGTTGCCGAGCCACACCTTCACACCGAACGGTGGAGCGTGCTTGGGAGTGAAACAACGGAAGGACGGAGTCACTGTCCTTTTTGGGGCAAATGCCACAGGTGAAAAGAAGCTGCCATTACTCATTTGCAAAGCTCTTAAGCCTAGGTGCTTTAGAAATGCACGACTGACGAATGGCATTATCCATCGCGCGAATAGAGCAGCATGGATAACTGCTACTCTTTTCGAAGAGTACGTTCGTGCAGATAACAAGATGGCCAAGAAAAACAGAAAAGTCTTGTTCATCGTCGACAACTGCCCAGGTCACGGCAGAGTAGATAATTTAAAGGCAGTGACAGTCGAGTTTTTGCCTGCAAGTGTGAGGTCTGCGCTGCAGTCGATAAATCTGGGTGTCATCAAAGTGGCCTGAAAAATCTACCGAAAGAGCCTTCTCTACAGAATTTTGTTGTCTTATGAAAATGGCAAAGGCTACGAAATCGACCTGCTGGAAGCAGTACACCTTCTTAGCAATGCTTGGCAGCAAGTTTGCGCAGCTGCCATCGCCAACTGCTTTGCGCAAGCTGGGTTTTCACGTTCTGCCAGTTTGCCAGAAGCATAGACAGCAGGGACAGATTACTTCACAGACTGTGAGGAACTTTGTCGAGAGGTCATCAAGCTTACAGGTAACGGTGTCGCCGAAAATGACGTGCCTTTTCTGGAGTACGCGCATTGTGAGCAGGATGTGATGGTGACTGGAGAAATGACGGACGCCGACGGCCGCTAACGCAAGGGACGACGCTAACGCAAGGGAGACGACGACGATTACGAACGATCTCAGGATGTGGCGAGATTTTCATAGATGAGAAATTTGCAGCGCTTGCTTCGAAATAAGGTCGAGTGCAGCGGCGGGGAAGATCGACTGATGCAATGTGTCAAGCAGCTGGAGGACGCCTTCCTAGGCCTGAGTACAACCGCAAATCAGAGGAGCGTTAGGCAGTTTTTCTCTGCTAATATAAATGGCAGTGCGGCAAAACCCAGCTGGTTAAAGCCTCTTGTGTATGTTTTTTTTTTTTCGTTTTTAAACTTGCACAAGAAAAAATTGAACCCGTATCTGCATGTTTCACTGCAAATGTCGTCGAAAGACGATAGTCTTGCGGTGCAGAGAGTGAACAAAACCTTTGTTTAATGTTCTGCACTAGAAGATCGGTGATTTGAATTCTGTAAGCACTGTGTTAGAGAGTCTCGATTCGTGCAGCGAAGGCAAATGACCGCATCGAGGCACGTTAGACAAGAGCACCATCTGGCAGTTATCTTCGAAAACAAAGTAAGGCATGCGCGCCCACGGAGAAAGATGTGCGCCTGTCTCGCAGGCGATAAGGTGTAGAACGCAAAACGAATGGAAGGTGCCGCCACCGTGTCTCTTAGCGAAGCGTTGGAAACACTTGCCTTTTGAGCATCGCGTTGCACTGTCAGCGCAGCGTGATAAACGCTACGGTCCTTAGAAAAACTTATGTGTGCCTTCTCCAGTATAAAGACACACATACAAAATATCGACGTGTTGTTATGGTGCCTCAAATATGTGCAATAATTGCTTTTTAACTGACAATCACACAAGTATGAACACTAAAACTTGAGCAATATTGCTGGGCGCTGCGGATGGGGTTGGCCTTTGAGGTATCGTTTGGTGCCGTTTGGGGTACCGTTACCGCAGACAAACAGACAAATGTACAGACAGGCAGAAAGACAGACAGGCCAAAATTTTGGCGTCAAAAGTCCCCAAGAAAGACTATCGTCTTTAAAAAGACTAGAGACTGCTGGTAAGTAGTCGTGATTTTTCAGAAAAGTGCAAAGTTGCGATTGCGCAACTTTGCTTATTTTGAAAATCCATTTATCTCAATTTTCCCTGGTTTTTACGACTTCGAGATAATGAGGCATTGCTGTATACTGGGTAAAGTGGTCAGGTGGATGGCTGTCACCGTAGTTCAGTGTAGTCACCGTAGTTCAGTTATCCGAAGGTCGTAGGTTTGGACCCCGCTGGTGGCAAGTAATCTTTTTTTTTTCCACTTTTCTTTCTTCACATTTACATTACAATTACTTCTAATAACACCCCCTTTACTATCCTTGGCATCTTCATCTGTTAGGTCTTATTATCATGCTTAAGAACATTTTATTGTTTGGAAGTGTCAGCCAATTGCTTTCTGCACAATGCACATTTCTCCGATAGTTAGAAACGCTTCGATTTCACGCATAAGATTGAGCTTGCTAACTGTTATACAGCTATCAATATCTGAAATGCATGTGTGCGCACACTGTATGTACCCACATAGTAGGTGCATGCATTGCACATTTTCTTTCACTGATGGTAAGTAATAGCACCCACTACTGTTTTACCTTGGTGTGATGCAGGTTTGCGGTCGAGTGAATTGTTGATCGGAGAGAAAGCCTCAGAGCTAAGAAATGACGAAGCCATTTAAAGTAAGAGAAGTAGAAACTTTAAGCATAATTAAGGGAAAAAACAGAGATAAAGTTGCAATGTACACACACTGAGTCTAAGCTGACAAACTAAAACATGTCCTATAAGTTGTCCAACTATAACGTTTATGAAAATCAACAGTCACTTGTGACATTGATGGTGGCGGTGGCTTGGTGGGTTGAGGTGGCGGACGCTGGCGATGTCTCAGCAGCTGGAGTCACGCGCTGACCAGCACGTCAACGCTTGGCGGAAGACGAGGTTGCCGTTGCCCTCTCAAGAACTGCGGCTGCTTACCTATGCTGGCTCATTTCAAGGAAAAGATCACCACTCGGAAGGTTCCGCCCTCCACGGGCTGTTCGAGACCAGAGTTGAAACCCGGACACCTGGGACGTGACATTGAACAGTCATAGCTGGAACTCTAGAAGGCCGCGTACCTCCGAGTACACCATGGGCAGCTGGAGCGACCTGGACTTGCCTGACTTCATGCATTCGTGTCCGGAACCCGACACTGCAGTCGCACGACACCCAGGATCTTCACACCAGCCTGCTCGATCTCGTTCTGCCCTCGACTCGTCTTTGACTGTCCTCCTCTTCTTCCCCGTCATGCCTTGCACGCCAAACCTTTCGCCCGAACTTTCTCTTCCTTTTGGCGGGCCGCAGTTTCATGCATGACGTTTTGTGCCGACGCCATCATCGTCTCTCCGTTGCTCAATCGAGAATCACCGCTGCCGTTGCCTCCAAGCACGTTGTACAAAACGCCACGGTGCCACCACACTTCACAGACACCACCACGTCACTATACTACACCACACTTGGTTGGTCCTGTTACCTGTCTAGTAGCCATGAAATTACTATAGGGTTTAGGTAAAATTTACAACAATATATGCATCGGCTGGATATTGATCTTGGTGTCATAATGAAAATTGCCTTTTGTTATGTAATTTCATCATGTTGTTTTTGGCTGAATATATGAATCGTAAGAGTGTGTTACTGGATGTTGTTTCAGTGGTGTGCCTGTGCTACATCCACATGGCTCTGTGGTCAGAACTTCCTCGGCATAAAGCAGTCACGGAATTATTGCCCATTACTTCTTCCTTCTTTTATGCTTGGATTTATCTAGCTTTATCAAGTACACTTTGAACAGTTGGCATCTGGAAAACGCTCAGCCTGAGCAACCGTATCAATTGGCACATATTGTTTAGGGATACTTGTGAGGAACCTAGAACATTCAAGACAACTTTGCGTTTGTCGTTCAGTTTATTAAAAAAGAAATGTAAAGGAACAGAAGTTGCAAAGTGCGATATATCTAAGCATACTAATACGACACTTGTGAGGTATTTACATATTCTTAAGAAGTTGCCGAAAACAAAAGGATGTGATAGATTTTCTTAATGTCCCCTGATTATCAGAGCAATTAATCTTTATGACCTAGCATGCTGGCAATCAAGAAGTCATCACACTCTTCTGCGTTTATTTATGTGGAAATACCCATTCACAGTTGTGTATCTGGTGGTCCAATCTCCCGGATCTCTTTTTGTTGCTTACTTTACTGTTCACGCGTACAGTGTCTTGGTGCCTACATGCATCTATTTTTGTTTCTCCTTTGAATAATCAGGAGAGTGCGGAAACCAGGAGACCCCCTGCCATCAAGGACTGGGGTGAGTACTGTAAACATTGATGCCTTTAATCCTTCGGCAGCTCTTCATAACACTGCTCTAACTTCATTACTATTTTTGCTTCCAGAATGAAACTGACAAGCTCAAGCAAAAGATTCAACAGGTGATCAAAGCCGCAGGTGTGCCCTTCATGTCATGTTCTCATGTGCCATAACCTGTTGAAGCAACAAGTAATTTAGGGGGGAAGGAGCTGGGAAACGGCACCACCGTGAATAATTTTGCTAAGGACCAGTGGCGACTTTCATTGCAAGAGGAATTATGTGGACACTTTTGACGGTTTTTCACTGTAGCTCTCATAGTCAGTATTAAGTCCGAACCCGTAACATTGCCACGTGTTACGCATGCAATGCGTGAGTAAAAGCTTGTGAATGCTGGCAACGAGCACAGCTGAAGTTAAAAATGAAACGAGCCGCCCATCTTTGCCACTGCCCCGCGGTAGTCTAGTGGCTAAGGTTTCCCACCATCGGCAGGACTGCTGCCCTGCCGGTGGCTGGATTGAATCCCGGCTGCAGCGGCTGCATTTTCATTGGAGGTTGGTAATGTTGACACATCTTTATTCACATTTTATGCCCTTGGGGGGCTGCGGTGAATGTAGGGACAAAAATGTTGTAGGCCCGTGTGCTTTGATTTGGGTGCACATTAAAGAACCCCACGTTGTCAAAATTTCCAGAGCTTTTCAATACGACGTCTCTTATAATCATATGGTGGTTTTGGGACGTTGAACTCCACATATCAATCAATCAATCAATCAAAACTCATCTTTGCTGGACGTTGGGCACATGTAATAACACTGCCCCATGTGCAAGCCCTGGTGTCATTGGTTCCTAAGCTGAGAGGAAACTTCCCACTTGTATTTCATCGGGCGAATGAGCCTTAAGGGGTTAAGGAGGGCTGTGTTGCTTGTGAAGTAACAACAAACATTTTCATAGACATCAATAAATGACTCGTTTACTCTTGTACATTCTCTGCTTTCCCTGCTTACTTTGCCTAGAGATGGCGGAACGAAAACCCCTGCACTCCCTGGAGGAGCAGGGTTCCATTACAACATTTTTTGTGGAGTTATGGTATCAGATCTAAAGAAAGTTTGCTCCTGGCCAAACTTCGTATGACATTAGGATTGGTTGCCATCACACTCATTGTGTTGCCCTTGCGACAATATTGCCATTTTTGTTCACCCCTAATTCATTGTCATGATGTGAACGAGAGCTCGAAACAGCCCCTAAACATTGCTCGCATCTTTTAGCTCAATTTGAACAACACAGCAAAGTATTGTTGTTGCTTTTTACTTTTCAACTGCTATGTACTCGGCAAATGCCTGCAGAGAAAACGAATATTTAACTCAGTTATCTGTTTGCTGCAGCAAGTTTTGTTGAGTTATATTTTGATTGTATGCATAATTTTCATGTTATTCTGTGGAATATGTCGTCAAAGTCAATTCAAAGAATGCCTTAGGAGGCTTAGGGAAATTGCAAGACGTACGCACCAGCGTGCGTAGTATGAAAACAGTTTCACCGGCTTTTAGAGTGCAGTTTGTTCATCCATTTCTTATGTGACAGGCCTCCTAGGTAAGCGAAAGAATAGCAAAAGAAACCCGATGTGTGAAGGATGCCCATTTCTTCATTGCTGACTTTGTGCTGTGCATATCAGCGTGCAAGATTATTATGTCTAAATAGACTTCCCTATGCTCATGTTGCATTCAGATTTCTGATTCTCGTCACTGTCACTATTTTACCATGGTAAATATACATGAAGGGGTAACCTTACCTAAGTGAGTTGCACCAGCCATTTTAGACATTAACCTGGTCTGAAGGGACCTTGGTGTGATGGTTATGAGCTACATTTTGAGCTGTAGCACGAAACCTGTATTCACAGTAGTGGCACTATTCAACTGATGCAGCAGCAGCAATTAGAAGAAATTGTGGCCTACTTGTGGTGATCTTGAAAAGTAGTCAAACTTTATACATGCCATCACGATTCACTATGTATTGCCTAATTTTTGTCGTCATTGTGAAAGCAACAGAAAAGACAAACGGAAAAACTGGAGGCATAAACAATATTTAATAGAAACGATCATCATTCTTTATATGTGCAAATTTTATAATGAATAGATTACGACTTGTAAATTTAGGGCACAAACTCTTTGCATATGCAGCTCTGCAGCATTATGAAAAGATATTATCCCATTGGTGGAGTCATCTGCATTCCTTTTGTGTGCTTAGCTCGGCTGCCTCTCTGCCCTTTGAATTGTCTCCCTGAATCGTTTCTGCTCTTAATGCGTGGGCAGTTACTGTCAAAGCAAATACTGTGTGCTGAATGCAAGCCTCAGCTGGAAGTCACTCAGCTGAATTGTGGGGCCTTTTTATTACTTTGGTGCTTATATTTTCTGCTTATTCACATGAATGAGCTTTGATCTTGTTGGAATTATAGAGAAGGAAGATCACCCTGAGAGCCCCACTTCAAATTTAAATGGCTGTGCTGGCACTTCCAAGTTCCTTGACCCAACTTTCTCAGCATTGTCTGTTGGCTGCAGTTTAGGAGTTTTTCAAGCAAGTGAAGGCAGTGTAGCAGTGCGAGAAACTGATACTGAAATGCAAGTTTGTGGGCAATGCTGGGCCAGGCAAATGTTTAACTTTTTCGGCCACCTGCATTATTGTCAAAGGTAGGTAACATAAGAGTTTAAAATAATCTAATAGAAATGCACAAGTGTCATTGTACATCATTCGACCACGCACTGCAGCGGCTGTCAAGTATGAACGGTTGAGGATGTCCGAAGCCGATAAGGTTGCCATATTATTAAGGGCATAGCAGATGACGCCTTTCACCTTCTTGTGTTCAAGAATTCATCTACGGTCCACGACATTATTTCTGAATGCCGGCGCTTTGAAGAAGCGAAGAGCCGCCGTGTTCTCCACCAGTTTGCCCGCTTCCAAACACGGCTGCAACGTCCACATGCGAAGACCCTCGCCTGCCTTCTACGGAAAGTCCCGGGGACGTTGTCCGTATTGTCCGTCGGGAAATAGAAGCCGCAGCTCCACTCGTGTCAGCCTCCCCCAACTCCGAAAGCTATCACGCCACCGTCTCTCTCATACAGACCGTCGTGAGGCAAGAACTGGCCAACGCCGGCTTAAACGTCTGCTCCATTCATCGTCCAGACTACGCCACACCAAATCCACCCGTGACTGTCCCCGCCCAACCGACGTTTTTCTGCCAGCCCACATTATCGCGACCCGGCGGTATGGCGCACCCCAGACGACCGGCCGATATGCTTCAATTGCGGTCGTATAGGCCACATTTCGCGTCACTGCCGTGCTTGGTCCAGCTCTGCTCCGTGGCCTCACCCTCCGCCCCATCGCCCACCTGTCTGGAATTCACGCTCATCACCGAAAACAGAGCCGCTAACGCCTGAGAATTCCTCGCGCCCCCGATCCAGCCGCTCCCCTTCGCCACAACGCCGTTTCTCCCGCTCGCCCCCATCTCGCCGATCGCCGTCCCCAAGCTCGTTCCGGCGTTCACCTCCGGAAAACTGACGGGAGCAGCTCTTGGAGGTGATGCTGCAATACCGACCCGATCCCAAAATCCTCTACTGACCTTGCCCGCACATCAGAACCTTATCAATGTTGACGTCGACGGTGTACCTACTACAGCCCTCATTGACACTGGCGCACACGTGTCTATCATGAACGCTGACCTTAGAGCACGGCTGAAGAAAGTCCTTACTCCTGGCCCAACTCCTGTGGTCCGAACGGCCGATGGTGGAAAAGTCGCCGTAATTGGTGTGTGCTCTGACGCGTCGCCGGACACCACACATCAGTTCTGTTTTATGTTTTAGAACACTGCCCTAATGACATAATTTTGGGCCAAGACTTTTTGTCTGAACATTCGGCCTTGATAGACTGCTCTGCCGGTATAGTGCAACTCGCTCTACCTAATGTTGTTGATCCTCCAAGTTGCCCTCCAAGTCGGCTTTGTTCTACAGAACACCTGCGTCTCCCTCAACGAACAGTAGCTTACATAGGCGTCTCCCCTGTTCCACCTGTCCCAGACGGTGTTTATATTGTGTCCCCCAATGTTGACGTCCTGCTTTCGCACAACGTTGCGTTTCCTCACACCGTCATCACTATTACGGCCAATGCATCCTGCCTACCCTTAGTGAATTTTTCACTATGTACACAAGTCCTCCCTCGTGGTATATCTCTAGCCGAGATCGTGCCGGCGGCAGAGTGCCATATTTGCACTCTAAGTTATGACAGCATCCCGAGTGCCGAAAAAACTTCGTCTACTCCTCCATCAGACCAAAGTGTGTTAACCAAGATGATTGCCCCCGACTTGCCGAAAGAACAAGCTAACGACCTGCGTTCCCTGCTTGCATCTTTTTGGGACATCTTCGACCTTGGCGACCGCCCACTCGGCCAGACGTCCGTTGTTAAGCACCGGATTGATACAGGCGATACGAGTCCAATCCATCGGAGACCCTACCGTGTTTCCCATGCAGAGCGGCGCATCATCCAACAGGAGGTCGACAAAATGCTTTCTCGGAATATCATCGAGCCTTCATGCAGTCCCTGGGCGTCCCCTGTTGTACTTGTAAAGAAGAAGGACAACAGCTGGAGATTTTGCGTCGATTATCGCCATTTAAACAAAATAACGAAGAAGGACGTCTACCCTTTACCACGCATAGACGATGCCCTGGATTGCCTTCACGGCGCAAAATATTTTTCCTCCATTGACCTCCGCTCTGGGTACTGGCAGATTGCCGTTGATGACATGGACCGTGAGAAGACGGCGTTCATCACTCCCGACGGCCTTTACGAGTTTAAAGTGATGCCATTCGGTTTATGTAATGCGCCCGCCACATTCGAACGTATGATGGACGCTCTGTTGCACGGCTTCAAGTGGTCCATCTGCCTGTGCTACCTGGACGACGTTATCGTTTTTTCGCCTTCTTTTGCGACGCACCTTGAAAGGCTATCGAAAATCTTATCTGTCTTTCGTAAGGCGGGCCTGCAACTCAATTCGGCAAAGTGCCACTTCGGCCGTCGTGAAATTTCTGTCCTCGGACACCTCGTTGATTCCGTGGGGGTTCGCCCTGATCAAGATAAAATACGCGCAGTAAGAGATTTCCCTGTACCAACCTGTACCAAAGACGTTCGCAGTTTCGTTGGCCTCTGTTCTTACTTCCGCCGCTTTGTTAAAAACTTCGCCGACGTAGCACGCCCTCTCACTCAACTTTACGGGAGTTATTGTTACGGGAGTTATTCTCCCGTAACAATATGCAGCTCTGAAGCATTATGAAAAGATATTATCCCATTAGTGAAGTCGTCTGCATTCCTTTTGTGTGCTTAGCTCGGCTGCCTCTCTGCCCTTTGAATTGTCTCCCTGAATCGTTTCTGCTCTTAATGCGTGGGCAGTTACTGTCAAAGCAAATACTGTGTGCTGAATGCAAGCCTCAGCTGGAAGTCACTCAGCTGAGTTGTGGGGCCTCTTTATTACTTTGGTGCTTACATTTTCTGCTTATTCACATGAATGAGCTTTGATTTTGTTGGAATTCTAGAGGAGGAAGATCACCCCGAGAGCCCCACTTCAAATTTAAATGGCTGTGCTGGCCACTTCCAAGTTCCTTGACCCAACTTTCTCAGCATTGTCTGTTGGCTGCAGTTTAGGAGTTTTTCGAGCAGGTGAAGGCAGTGTAGCAGTGCGAGATATTGAAACTGATTTGGAAATGCAAGTTTGTGGGCAATGCTGGGCCAGGCAAAAGTTTAACTTTTTTGGCCACCTGCATTATTGTCAAAGGTAGGTAACATAAGAGTTTTTTTGAATAATCTAATAGAAATGCACAAGTGTCATTGTACATCGTCCGACCATGCACTGCAGCAGCTGTCAAGTATGAACGGTTGAGGATATTCACAAGATCATGCAGAGGAATCGCTCCGTCATTTGCTCCATCGAGACAGCTGGAGCAGAGGAATTGCTCCAACTGTCTCGCTGGATTTGAAAGTTTTGTCTTACATTTATATCTTAGGCTTCTTGATTACTGAATGCATATATGCCTCACTTCCTCAGAGCACAACAGAATATAATTAATAGATGACACTTTAATGCAGCCTCTTCGGCACGTCTGCATAGTGCTGTGTAGCTTTGGTACTAAAGCAGGTGATTAATTAGAAACATGAAGACTTCGTCAGGGTGGAATGCAGAGACACATATAGGTATATGTTCTGCCAACAGCAAAAGTTGTGCAGCCCATGGTGGAGCGGCGGAAAACAGCATTGCTGCACCGCCTACCTTGATGTGCACCATGGTGTTGAGGTTATTGGCTATGGCTTCCAAGATTAGATCCAGCAGCGGCGCGTCTATACAACGTGTCGTTACTAATCACCGAGGCCGCGTATGGTAGCCTTGACACTAGGCCGCGGCACAGTTGGTGGCGCGGCAATGCAGTTTTGTGCCACGTGCTGCACATCCCACAAACTTTTCCTGTTGGCAGTACATTTATACATTTACTAACTACATAAATGTGTATATGTACTATGGTAGTTCAGAGGGACTTGAAATAGCGTCAGGTAGTCAGAGTTAATCTGGGAGTCCCCGGCTACTTCTTACTGGTTTCGTAACCATATCATGGTCATGCAGATTAACACCACACATAACTTTGTACCACCTTTCCTGTGTACTCACTTTGTTCGGAAAACAAAACTATGCCGATAGTGGCCACTTAAGAGTGTACCAGTTCCGGGCGTCCGTTGTGGTGCTTTGTGAAGCGCTGCTCATGCATATATTGGCGCGCAAATGGACTAACAGTTTCACTGTCATCGCAGCTACAGCCAATGCAGAGCTGCGTGAGCGTGGTCTCCTCCCTTCTGGCTCCAGCAAGGAGGGTGCCGCTGGAAGCGGTACCAGCACCCCGCCTAGTGTGCTAGAGCAGCTGCAACGGGCACGTCTGATTGACGACATCAACGCCCCCTCCTTCAGCCAGCAGTCCTTTGTTTCCCGCAGGGAACATGGAAAAAAGGTGGGCGACTGCACATACCTCCGTTTGTGGCCAGAAAGGAAAATCAGTAAATGCTGTGTTTAGTAGCCAAGTTAACCTATTTTTGCACAAATTATTGTTGTACCACCAACCGCATGGTCACCTGCAAAGCTTGTGCCATGAATCGACATGTTTGCATCGTTTGCTGCATGCTCTCTCCGACTTGTTGCATCACTTCTGCCCAACTGTGCCTAAGTACTGAACCAGCTGTGTTACGGCCAAATTGTTTGTCGACTAGGTTTTTGACCCCTTGACCCTCCATTAATAAAAGCATGCAAGCTCTGAATTTATTACTTCAATACTATGTAATAAAGTATAAGTACACAAGTCCACAAGGCGCAAGAGACAATGCCGAGTTCCCACCGTCGACATCACGAAGGAAAGATGGTCAACATGTTGGCGATATCAATGTCACATGTGACTTTATAGCTGGCAGATGCTACTTTCAGCTTCTTTGATGCGAAAAGCTAGAACAAAAGTAGCCTCCGAGACAAGCGTTTTAATACCCACCACGCTAAATATACGTCACGAGATTGCACACCTCGAAAACCATATTTGTCAAGCTCGCATGCCCATCGGATGCCATTGTGTGCTAACAAACAAAGAAGCCAATGTGAACATTGCAACTAAATTGCCGAGTCACTTTGCATTTTCATTTTTGGTGTCCTCGGCAATGGGTCTTTTAAAAAAAAAACACTACATGCGTTAAGACCTGCAGATCATGCATAAAACTGCATTCATAACCGTAACGCAACGAGCCACATCAGCATGATGGAATAATACCACCTTTTCATCACCTGCACATGAAAGGGGATCAGAACTTGTTAGAACGTGGCCTCAAATTGATCAATATTTACGAGCAAATATTCACTTTCCGGGCTTCGACGCGGCACAGAGTTATAGCAGATGTCCCGCAGTCGCGAGTTCGATTACTGGTGCACCGATACCATACTTTTTCGTGGGAAATTCAATGGGATTTCTCAAATGTTCGATATAGCCAATGATTCGAAATACCAGAGTTTGATATATCCGGAATCGACTGTATTCGCACAAGCCTGCAGTTTGTGTCTTCATTGAGAAGTAAAGGGAAGCTAGCAATCGGGGAAAGTGGTTCGCGCGTGCACGCCGATACCGCTCTTGCTTTTTAATTTTTAACTCTTACATGTGAAGCTTACAGGTTCCCAAATTTTTGTTGAACCTCAATGTAATAAAGCATGTTTAGCCATGATTTTATTATGACAGCGTGTAACTTCTGCCACAGGGACAGACTGTGACGATAAATTGGGACTTCTGCTGGAGCCAGTGGTCGTATGGTGAATTTATATGCTGTTTTTGTGAATGCATTTTTCAAAAGCTACCAAAGTAGTGCAGAACGCTTTTCTGCAGCGCCTTCGGTTGGAAGAAAGGGTGCAACTTAAAGCTGCCTTCACCTCTGAGGCGGCGAAGAAGGAAATTTGTGGCGTGTCGAAACCCTGGCACGTTCACTATTCTGTGTGTGCACAGCATAGTTCGGAATCCTGCATTGCACGTGCCATGCATCAATGCCCTATATGGTGTGTTACCATCACGTGTCAAGTAAAACAATCGTGACTAGCTGTAGAGGCAGTAGCGCCAATCATGACAAGGTCTTATAATCTTAGCAATCGTTCAGAAAATGGATGTCCCTGATGGGCTTGGTATCTGCGTGTGATCTGCAAAAAAAAAGACAACATAGTTTGTGGATGTTCAGTAGTAAAGATGACATAAAAGGTTGTCGTCAAACCAGTGCGTATGGGCTATTAGAATTCATAATGCCATGCCGCTTCTTGCACATTTGTTCAGGCGTATGCATGTCACATGTCGTTAAACTGACAATGCCCTTACCATGATTGGAGGTAGAGTTGCAAAGTGTGAAAAAAAAAAAAACACGAAAATACTGGGAAATTTTTTTTGTTTTCTCTCTATGCTGGCAAAAATTGGTCAAAATTTTCATGGGGTAAAACGTACAGAAATAAAGCTTTAGCAACACCCAGTGTTGAACGTGAAACCAAAACGTTTCACATGATACCAAAACACCAAACGACGGCTGATCCAGCATCAGCTTAGCTTGAGTCTATAGCGTAGCTTCATCGTTCAGGTTTGGTCATGTTGGGGGCAGTTTCTGATGTTTCAGTATTCATTATGGTTTAGTTTTGACTTTCCCTCGTACACTTCTGCGACCTGAGGAGGAAGTCCGCTTGTAAAACTGTGTGCAAGAAAATTCTGCAATGATTGGGTCAATTTTTTAAGTGTGCAGGCACTGTGACAGCACGGGCGAGCGACCACACACGTCACCGTAAATACGAATCTGCAACTTGTTACTTTGCTCTAAGCGGAGCAAGCTATTGACATGCTTCGAGTAATCCAGTCTGAAATACATATATTGGGGTCGGGACTGCATGACACTTCGAGAAAAGTGATAATTCGAATAAAGCAACTTTTCTGTAATGAGGGCTTATTGTAATGATCTTTTTGTGGTATTTGGCTTGTTTTATTTTGTCATGCCCTGTCCCAGTGCTTTTGCATCAGTTGATGCTACCAACATCATCAATAACCTAACAAACAGTCTGTGCATACTTGCACATTTTCTTTGAGGTGGAGCACTGTTTCTTTGTCCTCTGATAATGCATCAGCTTCTAAACATATTGGTGACACGACAGCACGTAACCGCTCTTCTCGAAAAACTCATTGACATCGTGTAATGAAAACAACTTCTTAGAGCATAATTGCATTTTTTTTTCATCGCGTGCTACCCAGGATTCTGTGTCTGGTACTTCTAAAGTAGTGGACAACCACACAGCAGCCATTTTCGGATCGTTTGAATCCCTTGTATCGGCAGCCAAGGAAGTGGTGCCTCTGTCTAATTGGAGGGAGAAGCCAGAGCTGCTGATCCACCCAAAGGTACGCATGAAATAAATAAATACCAAAAACTGTTCTGCACATTTTGGTGCAGAACATTGGTAATGTTTTGTTTGAATTGTTTTTGGTAATTGAATTGAATTGTTTTTGGTGATGCTGTCATAATGAGTTCACTTTTTTCTTTTTTGCAATAGATTGCGACAGAAACGAATTGTAATGCCGTACGAAATAAAGCTCGTAGCTAACTTTTTCAGATGTGATATTTCGTAACTCTACATATTACAGGTGTAAGAGAATACGGCCGTGTCAGGGAGAGATGCTCTTTTTGTACAGTCTCTTTGGGTTGAGAGTACAGCACGTAGAAGGGTTTACGAGCCATTCACGCTGGTGCCTGCCGAAATAGGGCGCATGCCGGTGATCGCGGCTGCGCCTTAAGAATCAAAGTTCACAGCTGCTACTAGCGATCACTGCCTTGATGAAACCGAAACTATGACTGTTCTGATGAAACTGAGAACAAGATGTTTCAGCTGCGTTTTCGAGCATGGGGCTTGATGGCTGTCGCACCCTTGCGGCTAAAATCGGGTGCTGTGGAGCAGTACAGTGCTAATAGGCTAGTTTGGCGCAACTGGGGTGTTTCAGCATAGGAATACAAGTTTGGTGCACAGTGGTGAAGCTGTTCTATCCCTGCAAGTGATGACCTGTAAAATAATGTTTTTTCCATGACATTGTACCAGATTCTGTGGCATAAAAGCCAAGTAAAAATAAGACATTGCACGGGTGTGTGAACACTAAGATGTAGTAGTCACATTTCTGTTCTAAAACTTCTTGAAATATTTATGACACGCTTTGGCCGCGAATAACTCAAACACAAAGTAAAGGAACACACAACGACAAGCACAATGCTACCGAAATCATCTGTGGATTTTTTATCAAGGTGCATAATATTTCTTCTATCTTGTTTCTTCCATTTTTGTGTGTGTCTCAAGCTTAAGGAGGCAACAGAGGTGAAGCTGGAGCGCTGGCGAAAGAAGCTAGCTGCTGAAAGAAGAAAGCGCATCAATGGAACAACCACGAGTGGCTTGATGCACAATGACACGTGACTGCGCCCAGATAGCAAGCCTTCACTGGTTGATGGACTAAGGACACTATGTGGTGATCCTCGCGAACAGTCAACGGTGTTTCAATTTTTGTATATAGAGCATTGTATGGATTTTTCTCTCCCTCTCTTTCATGTCATTGTACATCTCGACCGCCTTCTCTTGTGAATCCCTGCAGTCGAGCGAAAAATTTTTTTAATGCGAACACGTGGCATTCTATAATAAAATAAAAGGGAAGGTGTCACCACTGAGCTCTTTGTTGCAGCATGACATCTGTGGTGATTTCAGTTTGTTGTATCAACAGTAATTACTGACAAAAATTAGTGGCATTATGTACGTGGTATATCAATAAGATGGTAAAAAGTGTTGGAGCCATTCCACAATGTGAATGTGGTTGATCAGTGGAGCTGACAAGTGCACTTTAGTCTCTGCTATATTCAATTCTTCGTAAGCATGCTGCTCCTCAACATTCTCATAATGCTCTAATTGATTTATGTGTGCGGTTAAATGTCCCGAAACCACCATATGATTATGAGAGACACCGTAGTGGGGGGCTCGGGAAATTTAGACCACCTGGGATTCTTTACGTGTACCCAAATCTGAGCACACGGATATACAGCATTTTCGCCTCCATCGAAAATGCAGCCGCCGCAGCCGGGATTTGATGCCGCGACTTGTGGGTCAGCAGCTGAGCACCTAGCCAATAAACTACCACAGCGGGGCTTCTCACAACGCTCGGTCAACCGATAGTTGACATGCACAACTGCACCAACATAGTGCCTACACTTGACTGACATGGCGAAACGTGTGCAAAACACGTATTGCTCCACCCCGAAGCTTTCCGCACTTCACATAGTGTTGGTACTGCCTCCGTGAGGCATCCACCCTTGACGATCAATGATATTACGCGATGATGTCATCATGTGGCTTACAATGCCACAAATTTCAGCCATCCGTGACATCGCCGTCACATGATGGTGTCATTATGTGACGTAATAGCTTGCGCGGGTTTCGTAAAGTTCCTGATGGTTATTTGTCGGTGATCACAGAGATTTGGGATGATCAGCGGCGTCAATGAACTCAAACGCAGGCAGCACTGAAGGTTAGATGAACGAATTCATTCATAAGAATGCAAAATAATTCATACAACCGAGCTTAAGAGACAGAAAGGTTAAAACAGGGCAAATATACGTTCTCACTTTTCTACTTGTTGTTGAAGTTAGAGCCCAGACTGTCCTAACTTGATATTGCCACTAGCCTCAGTGATCTATCGGCATCCTGAGTTCAGCCCAGGCTAGCTTTACATACATGGTGCAGAGCCTCACTGATCTAACAGCAGTGCTGATTACAGCCCAGAGTGACGTGCCACAATTGTGACAGTCAGTACAGTCGAACATGGTTATATCGAACTGTAAGGGGATCACGAATTAGTTCGATATACGAAAAATTTGATATGAGGAAATGCAGGCCCCGAGAGCTTACCTGTAGCGGATCATCACCTACAACTGGCGAATTCAAGAATGACAACTGATTCCACACACACGCCACAACAGAATGATTTATTTGCTTGAAAAAAATAGCTTATCTTAGCCTGCTTCATATTTGAAATGTTGAAGACGCTAGTCTCGATCTTATCAAGGCCGTCCAGGTGCAACAGCCCGGTTCCCTTCATGTGGAACGGCGAATGACGCCAAACACTGGCGCCACTTCAGCGGCGGAGTATGCGCATGTAGCCAGCGCCTCGTCCGGACGATCCTTCTGGTCACATGGGCTGTCGGCATGGGCATCCTGAGTCCCTGCAATTGCAGCTACTATGTCCTCGTCGGCAAGGCTCGCAACGACCTGGACATTGCAGTCTGCTTTTACAAAGTCGTCCGCAGACACTTCATGGGGAACTGCTGCCGGGAAGCGGGACGACAACTCACGAAACACGACGTCTATGCGCTCGTCGTCATCGTCTTTACCGGGTTCCAGAAGTTCCGCCGTCTCGAAGCCTGCCTTGCGGAGCAGTTGACCACTGCGTATGTCTTCATGTCTCGCCAGGAGTTGAAGATCTCAGCGGGGGGAAACTTTGTGGAGATTTCCAGCCACTCCTTCGTCATCCACTGCTAGATGTCCTGGCTACTGACAGCTTCGCTTTCACCAGAAAGGGTTTGGGCAACGATGTTGTAGCGCTGCTTAAATCAGTGAAGTCACCCGGTGTTGTTGGCGAAGTTGTTTCACCGAGTGCAGCGGCAAACTATTTGGCCTTGGCGATCAGCATCGGGCCATCCACCGAAATGTTCTTCGCGCGCACTTCTAAAAACCAGGTAAAAAATGCCTTTTTTACATTCCCATGGACAGAAGCGTGCACATGACAAGCTCCCGAAGTTCGCTACTCTGCCACCTTTGCCTTGATATGTGTTTTGTTCTTCAACAAGGTACTCAGAGTGCTCCGTGCTATTCCGAAGTCATTTGCGACATTCGAACATTTCTCGCCTGCCTCAACACGCTGAATAGCCTTCAACTTAGTCACAAGGTCAGAGGTCTTACGCTTCTTAACGCTGGCCATAGCTACACGAAAAGTCGACAATTCAAGGAGTCCGCAGCGGCCTTCACACTGCGTTCGCAAAAGAGAAATGCTGCACATGCGGTGGTACGTAGGTGAAGCGCGAGCGGAAGCAACACAGTGCTCACGAGGCGATGGCCACCTGCGACGCAACAGTAAAAAGCGCGAGCTGTGGTTGGCTGATCAAAACTTGCAAAGCAGCAACAAAAAAAGTAAAAGAAAAGGTGAAAGGAAGAGGACGTTGGCTCCTTTGTTCCTGCCGACGGTTAGGTGGAAAAAGAATGAGAAAGAGAAACGAAAAAAATAAAATAAAGCTGTTCCGCAAATTAGAGTTAGACCTTTATTTTTTTTTTTTTTTTTTCGAGCATTTCGGGCAGGTTTTGGTGGAGGCGTGGTGCCACACAGAAATCGCCGGGCGGTGCGAGTGCCAAAACGCACCTTCCAACTCGCGCGCAGAGCTAGCTGCACTGCCGCGGATATCTGTGGGTGTGGCAAGTGCCGAAGCGCACCTTCCAGCTCGTGCGGCGTTCGATATATTCGAAGGCGGGCAAAAATATCATTTGATGTAAACGTGCGAATTTCTATAGTTTTACAAAGGAATTTCAAGGGGATAACTTATGAGTTCGATATACCCGGAAATTCGATATATGTGGGTTCGAGGTATCCGTGTTCGACTGTATGTGGTGCAAAGGAAAAACAAAATGGGGGTGGCTGCACTTTATCCATCCCTTGACCGCAGGACCTAAATAGAAAACCCAAATATGATGAAAAACTATGCCTTTCTTTCTTTCACACCCACACATAGTAATGCGCAGTGCGAGGGGTCGACGCCACATGTGTGGAATTAGTTGGTATCTGCTGTCCGGTAGCATTGTCAGCCAGCAAAAAGGACACCACCTGTACCTCGGCACAAACCAAGCCACTGGGAGAGCGATACCTGTGCCTCAAACCCATGCAGGGTGGTCGGTCTTTTAACCTAAAGTGGCGTCCTGCTGTTTGAAGAGAAAACCGCCAAGCCGTCGCCTAAACCTCGCACGAAAGAAAAAAGGACATACACCTACTCACGTTGCACTATCGCGGCCAACATGACTGTCTGCAATGCACTTGAACACTACGGGAGGAGTATGACACAGGTCCCCATTCCAAAATATGTCGGAATTCTGTGACCTGGCAGTTTCTTTCTTGGTGAAAAAGTGTTCCCGCCCTGAGCACTAAAAAAAATAAAGAAATCTCAGCAGTAGCCACCAACAAGCAAAAAAAAAAAAAAACTGCCTTCTGCTTTGCAAACGTAAATATGTCAACATCCTTCGGATGCACAGCCATATGAGGCTTTACGGGTTTTTTTTGTTTTGGTCCATGAGTGGATACCAGAAAATCAAGTAGGTGTGCTATTTATAGGTTCGCTGTAAAATTTTTAAATTTGAAACAGCTATTTTGCTGCTACACATTGGACAATACCTCTTACTTACTCTGACAACACTAATAGCACTAGCACTATAGAACTCATGCTGGTCCTAGCTTTGGCAGGGGGATTTTTTGACCATAATCTCCTAAAGTTTGGCACCAGTATAATGAAGCTTCTGTATTTTTTTTTTTTTTGCATAGAGTGAACTTATGCTCGTGTGCATGCACTTAGCACTCAAAGCCACTACAAGACGGGACCACCATGCTCTGGTCCTAAGTGACACAGTGACAAACATGTAGTTTCTTTGTGTGGTTGGCATCATAGGTGTGCACATGGGGAGTAAAGTGCAGAGTCTGCCTCGTACTGTCACTCAGCAGGACTGTCAAGTCAATGTTCAAAGGGCAGAGTTAAAGTTGTGCAGGTTGCTTATGATACTAACGCCAGCTGAAGGCCTCTGGCATTCCAAGAACCATTTTTACTCCTGGTAAGCCAGGGACCAAATGCAGGCCATTGTGACATGCACATCATTGCTTTGACATTTTTTTTTTATCCATTGTGAAGCATGTCCTCTGTAGTTTACCAACAGGGACAAGGAGAGCGCTGTGGAGGAACGTTGCCTTCTTTTATGCGGAACCCTGCACATGCCTGCCATCAGAATAAAAATGCTTATGCATTTTAGAATAGGTATACTATATATAAAGCTTTGCATGCTCAGAAATAGCAGTGCTGTTCATCAACAAAGCACATGGAGGTTTAGCTGCCTAAGCTATTATTCCTTCATACAATGTAATCAAAGGCTGCCTCACATGAATCCACTGATGTCCTTATATCACCCTCAACCATAGCACTAATTTCTTCATTTGCGTTTCTGTATAAAACTGTGCATTCATTGAACTTTAGCATGCATTTGCAGCTATGACTAGAATGTTGCAAGGGGACGTGCCGCAAACCAGTGTATGGAATTTATGCTATGCGTTAGAGAGCGGATCTTTTACAGTCGGAGATAACAAGCTTGCTACACTACATCAACATTAGTTGTCCTGCTTCAAAAACTAGTCACGCACATCAAAGACTGTCGTTATTTATTATGAGCTGACATAGATACCTGCTATTTACACAACTGTACACCTGAGCAGTAGCCTAGAGCTAGAGCATGTGGACCCTGAAACTCACGAGATTCCATCTTGCACCACTGCAACTTTTGACCTGCGCTGCAGTTGTCTGAACAGTCGCTCGTGCTGCTTCCACAATATCCCTCGTTGTTGCTACTCATCCGAGTAGTGTGGCAAGCTATGAATGGGCTGCAGTCAGCGTTGTGCTACGCAGATATCTCACTTAACGCGCAAGGAAACACAGATCCGAGAAAACTTCAGATATTCGGAGAAAACATGTCCAAGGAACTCATAGTATAGCTTATTGAAACACGCAGCATCACTCATTGGCCAGTTTACAGAAGCCACTTGCCACAGTACAGGCAAACCTCCCCATCTGGCCAGACACTTTTGCGTTGCGCACACTGCTGACAAGTACTGCAGTACCTCATTGGAGTCTGGGAGCACACCAACATAGAGTTGACACACCGGCCGAATCGGTGGCCCTGGCCACAAGTGCCGTTGTTTAGATCCTGGAAAGGGATGGCGTCTTCACAAATGGGGCACTCTTCGAAAACGATGAGCTCTCCTCCCGCAACGGAGGCCACCGCACTGGCCACTGGCTCGGGAGCGAAAAGCCGGGAGATCCGCTCTTGCGTCTCCACTCCTGTGGTGGACAACCAGTTGTAGAAGAGTCGTAGTGATGACTTCTGAGGTTCGGTTAGTTGGCCTTCGTTGCAATCGCTGACAACGGCCAAAATGTGTCGCCGCATTAGCTCCATGCATGCCCAGGTAAAGTCTTGGTCCTGAAAAAATGAGAATTGAGTGGCTCTGAGTAACACAGCTTCAGACAATCATCTAGATGACCCATTAGCTCCAAGAACGAACACTGGTCTTGTTGCAAGCATGGCGATGTGACGTCAATTCAAGGACTAGGCTGCTCATTGCCGCGGATTCTTTTTCTTGTTTTTGTGCCTGCTGTGTTCCTGCTCTTTCACAAAACATCAGCGATTACTCCCGTTTCAAATCTCGCAAGGTAGAAGGTGTAAGTGTTCACTACTGTGGAAAAGCTGTAGAAAGTTTGAATGATAAAGCTTCTGATGGGTGAATCTTTCAACAGAAGCCTCACGTTGAAATAATGATGCTCGAATAAAGAAAGATGTTCAAATGGTACTTCGAATAGTCACCTTCCAGTGCGAATCGAATAGCAGACACAATTAGAAAAATATTAGAAAGTCCGACTATTTGTGCATACCTAGTTTATATGTGTCTTTTTATTCATTTCGAATGCTTTGAAATTTTGAATAATTTAAATTCAGGTTGAAGCGAACTTGAACAATGTGATATTCATTTGAATATTTGAGGTGCTCGAATATTCCCACACTCTGACTTCACAATTTCACAATTTGGATTTTTTTAGTGCACCCGCAATGCATGGTACATGAAGGTTTGTGTATTTCATGAAGTCAAAGTGGAACCCACAACCAGCAAGAGTGTGGCAAACCTCACAAGATCCAGCTTTGCACAAATGAAGACAATCGACGTGAAGGTAGCGTGAAGCTGGGGCATGCCTCATCATAAGGGAGATCCAATACTGCCTAGGCAAAGCATCTTGAGATCATAAGAGGATGTCATGCTTTTTTCGGTTGGCACAGGTGAATGGAACTCCCAGCTGACTGATTAACAGAAAATGCAATGTGTTCCTGCCTACCTGGAACAATTCAAAAGAATGTACACGAACCCGTACATTACATTTTCGGCCTGCTAATGAAGATGCGTGCCACACCCGTTCATGGCCATGGAGTGCATTGCACTGATGAAATGAAGGCGCAGTGCAAACTCAGCAACAGTATGGCATGAGTCCCGGCTTGTGACAGTGTGCGCTTGATATATCACGTGCCATACTCTCGCCGTACAGTACCTGGCTTAACCGAGACAAAAAGAAACAGGAAGGCTGCTCAGCTCCATTCTTTCTTCAGGTATTGCACCCGTATTGCAAAGTTGCCATAGTTCTTTTTTTTCACATAGCGACTCGATGCAAGTGCATAAGCAATTAGGATTATATTACACCACGTGCAATACATTGACTTTACAGTACCTGGCGCTACATTTCAACAAAATGGCGCCAACTACCATTCAGCAGCAGGTTGTGATACAAGCTGTTTAAAATATGCACGCTCATGCACGAGGAAGAAGGCAGTGCAAATTGTTAGTAATGCCAGCATGCCTGCTTTGCCAAAGATCGATTTGTAATTATGCAAGGTGCTGTTTTTGTGCCATCGCATGGGTGTGCAAGAAAGACAAAATTATGTCATGCCATGGAAAGAAAAGAATAAAAAAATGTGTACTGTGCATTGGAGGTAACATTTACTACAGCGTCACCTTCACTTGTTTGTTAGCAAGGGTGGCGCATGTCACATGACTAGGCTTGTGCGAATAGTGAATTTTAGGTTCAAACTGAATTCGAAGCAAATGGTAATTTTGGTCGAATAGTTTTGAATCGAATTCGAATAGTCTATATGACATATAAAGAAAAATGGGCATATTTATTATGACCTAAGTGACCAGCAAATATTTTTTAAAAATTGACACAAGGCCTCTATGCAAAGGCCTTTTTTTTTTTCATTCAAAGGAAGTCGAAACAACTTTAAGTAGTAGCAGGATTCGACTTTCAGTAAGATGCAAGTGAAAACGTCGAAAATGTGTAACATTTTAAAATTTGTTGTACTTAAAGCATATAAGCCAGCATCAGCATAACAAGCTGTTAAACTTGAAAAACAAAAATGATGAATCGACGTAAGGGTAATATGTTTATTTAAAGGGACCCTGCAATACTTCAAGTAGCCGTGGACTGGGTTCACTAGAGGAGCTTATTGCTTCACGAATTCACCGCCGCAAAGAATTCTGTTTCGTATAAGCGGAGTTACAAAGCATTGCCGCTTGCTGCGACTACATTCTCTCTTCTCTCATCCCAACGAAAGTGCCGAAAGCTAAGCAGAGAAGGATGGCACAGGGGATGAAAATACGTCACGCGTGTCTCGTGACCTTGAGCATATTTTCTCTCTTTTTCCTTCGAATACGCTGCTTTTCAGTGCGATCGCATACGCACACATAGACAAGTTGCAGCCCCAGTAACGACCAACGCGCCATGCTCAAGTGATGAGTGATGGCGTTGACGAGTGATTTTTGAGCTTGTACCATAATTTGTCGAAAGAAGGAAAGGGAATTTTCAGCTGACTTTAAGAATTTATTTCGAGTTTTCGGCTACGTGCTGCGCAATAATATTTGGCTCACGTGTTGTTGGGAGCCTCGACTACCGATCGGCAGCGTTTTCTGACCATGCTGAAAAAGTGTTGCAGGGCCCCTTAAACTTTGAAGAGAGGCTTCGCCGCAGTGAGAATTTTTCTTGGATAGCCGCTTTCACGGCTTAGCGCCCCCAGCTGCAGTGAAACCACCTTTACAGAAAGTTACGTGCAGATTAATACTATACAACTATTCGTTCATGGCGAATACTTCGAAATTTTCAATAATTTAAATTCTAGTTGAAGCGAATTCGAATATAGTATTATTCGTTCCAAGCATTCGAATATTCACACAAGCCTACAAATGACGCAAATTTGTATGACTGTAGGTGTATACAGCATAATTTGCACAGCTGTAAAGCAGCACATGGTGCTGATACATCACCTTCCTGTCAGGTACGAATTACCGTGATGTGTTGTCGTGGTGACACGCGGCTTGCACAGTTCAAACAGAAACCTTCTCTCCGAAATGACTTCAAGCATCAGAATTCGATATAAACTTTAGTTCTGGCAGTACAAAGACTGACATGTCACTTACTGGCTCAGTGGACTTGTTTAGGGTTCCTTCCACCTTCTTGAGAAAACTGCAGAAAAAGTGTTCACATCACTCGTTGTGCTCGGCAAATGAAGGAAAAGGGAGAAGTTTACTCTAGCTGCTTGAACTTAAAAAACCGCAAAGGTTGTTTATATTAGAGGCTTAACGTAGCCTTTTCGGCTGATGCTGGGTATTTCCTTGGTGTAGACAAAGTACTAGAGTCGAGCCACTGCCAGTCAGAGACCATGCAAGAATGTCCGAGCTTCGGCCTTAAAACTAACAGGCCAAGCAAACAGTAGCACCCACAGTAGAAGCGAACGGAGCCTTTTCATCACTTGTACTTGGCTTGCGTAATGGGCAAACTCACTGCGGCGGCTGCGCCGACTGTCTCCATCAGTGGGTGCAGCAGATAAACAATGGCGCAGAGTGCTTTTTGCAGACACTCGACGTTTTACCTTGAGCTTCACTCTACAAGCTCCGCTTTAAAAAAAAAAAAATCTTTCTCCAAATGAATAGTGTTTAAAAAGCACACTACCACTGTCTGGCTGCCTATGGGATCACTTGAAAGCATGGTTATTTCTCTGAACGATGCAAACTCAACCTCTTTTAACAGCTTTTTAGACAACGTGGCACACATAGACAAAGCTCTCTGAAATACATAAGGAAAGTTTGCGAACTTACACCCTTCCAACTTGCGAGCACACACCTAACAACAGCAGGTTGCAAGGCATGGAAATGTGTTTTGTAACTGTTATTGAAGATTGGATGAAACAACATAAAAAAACTTTAATTGCCAATTTTGCTGAGGCCAGAGTTTGAATGATATAACAAGGCCAGCAAAGGAAAGAGCTGGGTAACTTTAACCGTGCTACATTATTGCAGCACAAGTAGCGAAGCAGCGTACCAGAACAGCTGAAGTCCAAATCTGGAGATTTTTTCGAGAGACCCGACTGCACTGACATCCGTCATGTACACCTTCAGTTCCTCCGGCAGGTTCGCTTTGCCGCAGCTGTACGACTGAATCCGGTCGAGACAATCCAGAATGTTTGTAAGCTGGATATCTGTTGTGGTGCTGTCTGTTCTTGCCTTACTTAGAAGCAACTTGGACACGTCAGCCACATCTGTCCGGTTGTAGATCATGAGCTGTAATGCGGCACAAAAAAAAAAGAGAAGGTGATGATGATTCATTGTTCCAAGTCGAATAGCTGTTGATCAGCACTTGTCATATTTATTCTAATCTAGGGGGGTTTTGTTTGCAAGCAGACCACCAAAATTTGTGAAGCAGTGTTAGCATGACAAAACAAATTTTAAAAAGCAGCACTCACGTGCTGCACATTCGCTTAGTCCTGGTGACGTTCACAAGAATAATGAAATAAGAAGAGCAACATTGGCATGACTAAAAAATAAACATATAAACTGTGTACAACTCTCATGGCTGTGCAAGCTGCACATTTACTTAGTCTTTGCGGCATTAAAGCACGAGTTTCACATCACTGCAGGAGCTGCGCAGTCACTTCATCTGGGCAGCATCTCTGTTGGTTGCGAAACTTTATTGTGGTCCTGCAAGGCGCGCAGCAGGCGACTCCCACGTCGGGACCGTTAGGCCAAGCCTATCAGCTGCTCCGCGGGCCTGCTGGATGGCCCAAAGTTGGTCGGCCAGGAGGGAGCTGCGTAGGGCCGCCTCCCACCTGACCGATGTACTGTTGGGTTTAGTGTACATTGCTTTGCACTCCCAGAGCATGTGCGCCAGCGTAGATACATCGCCACATGCATGGCAAGCGTCATTGGGGAACACGTCAGGATAAATAGCGTGAAGGGATCTCAGGTTAGGGTATGTGTCGTTCTGCAGTAGTCTGAGCGTAAGGGCCTGTGGCCTATTAAGATTTGGATGAGGGAGTGAATATAGCCTCCGCGCGAGGTAAAAATATTTTTGTTATTTCGTTGTACGTGGCAAGCGCGTCCCTGTTTTCCGCAACCCCGTTGGCCCCGAATCGTTGCCCGGAACCCACGCTGTCGGTTAGTGCTCGCGCAGCCTCGTGGGCAGACTCGTTGAGGTCGGGGGGAGCACCGTGGACCTGTCCAACATGTGCAGGAAACCAGATCAGTACGTGGTGCTTGATACCATCGCGGCTACCACTCTGGAGCACGTGCAGGGCTTTCTTGGAGATTAGACCGCGCTCGAAAGCACGAATAGCTGACCTAGAGTCACTATAGATGACCTCCCAGGCTCCCTTTCACCTTCCAAGATGGCAAGGGCGATGGCCACTTGCTCGGCAATTGTCGGATCGTCAGTGTGAACCGATGCGCAGTTGGTGATTTGCTGTTTGGAGTCGACGACGACTGCGGATAAGGTGCGGCTCCCACGGTACGCTGCCCCGTCGACAAAGCTGACGCCGGGCTCCTCACTATGAATCTGCTTGAGAAGAGTGGCAGCTCTAGCCCGTCGCCTACCACGATTGTACTCGGGATGGACATTCCTCGGTATCAGTGCCACGGTGATGAGGTCGCGAATCTCACGGGGCACCCGTCTCATATTTTTGTCCACTTCAGCCGGAGAGTGACCGAGCTCTCGGAGTATGTGTCTGCCGGTCTGGGAGCTCGAAAGGCGCGCGAGCTGGGCCCGCTGTTGCGCTTCGGCAATCTCCTCCAACGTTTTGTGTACTCCAAGCTGGAGCAGGCGCTCGGTGCGCGTCCTGATCGGGATACCGAGGGCCCGCTTGGTAATCTTTCTGAGCAAGACGTTGATCTTGTCGCGCTCGGCACGCTGCCAATTATGCATGGCTGCGACATACGAAAAGTGGCAGAGCACAAAGGCATTGACCAGGCGGATTACGTTGTCTTCCTTGAGGCCTTAGTAGCGGTTGGCCACCCGCCGAACCAGCCGAACCGCATTATCCGTCTTGGCGGCGAGCTTGAGTATAGTCTTGCCGTTGGAACCATTGGACTCGATGGTCATGCCGAGGACCCGAATGGAGTCGACTCTGGGAATTGCGCCGCCATCTCTGGTGTAGAGCTTAATATCACTCTTCGAAATCGGCTGCCAGTTTTCGGGTTTTGGCCCTCACCTAGTGGGTTGGTAGAGGAGGAGCTCGGATTTGTTTGGGGAACACCTCAGGCCTATGGGACGGAGGTAATCTTCCGTGGTGTCTATGGCCTCCTGCAAAGAGCGCTCGACTTGCCCGTCACTGCCACCTGTGCACCAAATGGTATTATCGTCCGCGTAAATCGTGTGGTTAATGCCTTCTATACTTGAGAGCCTCTTGGACAACCCGACCATGACAAGGTTGAACAGGGTGGGAGATATCCCTGACCCCTGTGGCGTGCCGCGCGAGCTTAGCTCGATCTTCTCGGAGACAAGGTCTCCCACTCTGAGGGTAGCTCTCCTATGGGTCAAGAACGATTTGACATATTCGTAGAATCTGACTCCAAGGCCGAGCTCAGCAATTGACCGCAACACGAAAGAGTGAGTAACACTGTCGAAGGCTTTCTCTAAGTCGAGGCCGAGAATGGCCCGCGTGTCTCGAGCGTTGCAGTTCATGACTTGGTGCTGGAGCAGCTTCATAGCGTCTTGCGTCGAAATCTTGGCTCGAAAACCAATCATGGTGGGAGGGTAGAGCCCATTGTCTTCCAGGTACCAAGTCAACCTATTGAGTACCACATGCTCGGCTACCTTTCCCACGCAGGATTCGAGCGAAATGGGGCGCAAGTTGTCAAAGTTGGGTGGCCCCTCCGGCTTGGGAATGAGCACGGCGCGTGCGACCTTCCACGGGTCGGGCACCTCACTGCTCTTCTATGCCTCGTTGATGACTTCGGTGAGGTAGCCGATTGACCGGTCGTCCAGGTTGCGCAGGGTCTTATTAGTTATACCATCGGGGCCCGCGGCAGACCTCCCGTTGAGCCCGTGGAGTGCCTGCCGAACCTCTTCGTGGCATATCTCGGCATCCAGTTCAGTGTTGGCCGGTCCAGAGTACTCGGGGTACGTTGTTGCGGGGTTCGAGTCGACAGGGACGTACTTTTGCACCAGCTCCTTCAAAACCTCCTCTTCTGAAGAGGACTGCTTGGCTTCGTGCATGGCACGCGCTAGTACGTTCCGCTGGTTAGTTTTGGAGTTAGTCTCGCTGAGCAGGTGCTTGAGCAGGTTCCATGTCTTGCCATTACGCATCTGGCCGTCTACCGAGTTGCACACCTCGTCCCACTGCTGCTTGAAGAGGACGCGGCAGTGCTCCTCGATAGTCTTGTTTAGGTCGGAGATTTTCTTGCGCAACCTGCGATTGAGGCGCTGGCCTTTCCAGCGGGCGAGAAGTGACTGCTTGGCCTCGAGCAGGTGGGCAAGGCGCTGTCCATTTTTTCAACCGGAAGGTCAGTACTTATATTCTTCGTGGTACTTATGACGTCCTCTCTGAGCTGGCTAATCCACTGCTCGAGGCTTGGCCTGGTTGCAGGTAGTGGTCGGTCGTTGCGGACTTTGCGAAACTGGTCCCAGTTTGTCCAAGGAAACTCCCGTGCCCTCTTTCGGACCACTAAGAACTGCGTCACCAGGACGTAATGGTCGCTACCTAAGTCAATGTTCGAGTTGGCCAACTGTACATCGGGGAGATTCTTGACGAAGGTCAAGTCGGGAGTCGAGTCTCTGCAGGATGAGGTGCCCAACCGAGTTGGAAAGGCCTTGTCGGTGATTGAGTACGGTCCATGTCAGTCGCGTTCTGCCACAGTTCCGCGCCCTTGCTGGTATTGTACGGGTAGCCCCAAGTGTTGTTCGGAGCATTAAAATCGCCCGCCTTAACAAGGGGGTTGGGACCGGCCAGGTTCACTGCCTTCTTGGCCGAAAAAAACATGCAAGAAGGAGAATGATGTTTTCACAATATGAAGTGCGATATAAAATAACTATCAGGTAACTTTAGTCATCGAGTCATCTCAGCCGAATATATAAGGAACCCTGATAGGCTTTTTTTTTCATTTTCTTTCTGTCCTTCTGTTTTTTTTTAATGCTCACATCTAAGGCCCATTTAAAATTCACTTGCCATTACCCACAAGATTACCGTCCTCTTCCTAACTCAGTTCTTCCTGAATAGCATTGTCCTTGCTTTCGTCAAGCACCTTAGATATGATGCATTCTCAGAGCACTTGAATGATCATTTCAGTTGGAATATCATGCTACACTGCCACACCCCCAGCTCATTAAGAAAGGTATACTTGATGGGCTCGGGTGCAGTGAGCTGATGCTTGTCTAACGTAACCCAGTTGGCATATTCGTAGTGAAACTTATCTTTAAAGGGTCCCTAACCACTTCCAGTATTTCTTCATCATTTTATGTAGGCACAGCAATCGAGTTCAGCATGCTGTCAAGACTAACAATGGCAAATGCGGCAGCGCTACTGCCAGCCATAGGTTGAATGGAATAGAAATTCAGTCCCGTGCTTTTTTTACGGGCCTTTTGGTCTCACCATGTCATGTGCCACTGCTGGCGACGTCGGCGCACTACTGTCTACGTAGGGCAATTCCATAGTCTACGTCTTGCCCTCATTCTCTTGGCACAAGCACGTGAGAAGAAGGGCAAGTGGTGTTCAGCTTGAAATTCGAACCACTTCCACAGCGTGTAGCATATCGATTTTTCGCAGACGTGATCGTGAATGCCCAGTGTCAGCATTGCACTCATAAGCTCAAAATTGTCAAACGAGGTGATGGGCTCTTTGAATAAAAGAGAGGTATGTATACTACAGCTACGACAAACATGCAGTTTGTTAGGTGGACAGGATTACCAGATAAGGTTAGGTGTATTCTGCTCTTCTTTAAATCCTGCTTTGTTTGAAGGAGCCCTGCAACACTTTTTTTATGTAGCCATGAAATGGATTCACCAAAGGAGTTTATTGCCTCGCAAATTCACCGCTGCAAAATATTTTAGAATTCGTCCACTAGGAGCGGACTAGCAAATATTTGTCGCACGCTGCAACTAAATTCTTTCTTCTCTCGTGCCTCAATACCTTGAACACCTTTCTGTCTCCCTTTTTTTCTTCAAGTATGCTGCTTTTCAGTGCGCACGCATGGACAAGTCGCGGCCTCCCACAGCAGCCTGAGTAACGACCAAGCTCGCTATGCTCAAATCCACCAATCACTGATACAATGGCTGTGACAAGAAAATTTTGAGCTTGTTCCATCATTTGTCGAGAGAGATAAAGCAATTTTTAGCTGACTTGGAGCATTCGTTGTGAATTGCAGGCCACGTGCTATGCCATAATATCAGGCTCACATGTTCTCGGGAACCTCAACTACTGATAGGCAGCGTTTGTTGACCGTACTCAAAAAGTCTTGCAGGACACCTTTAATGAGTGCACATTTACCTGCAGAGGCTCCTTGATGATACTCTCGTGGACCATGGTGGTGATGCTGAAACAAGAGAGATAACTTTGTCAACAAAGTGGTGTAAGAACTAGCTTGAGTCAATCTAAAAATGTACTGTAACTGCAGTGTTTGCTTGACCAAGAGTTTTTAGCGCTGTTTGAAAGCATACCGTCATGGTCACTCAGCCAAGACTGGGCAAGCAGAGAAAGTGAGTGTACATTGCAATATGCAGCATTCCACTTCCGCTGCTTTCACTAGGATGGTGACACCTACCACTAGTGTCAATCAAGTACAATCAGTATGCATACACAGCATAGACCACTGGTTCTCAAAAGAGGCTCTGTGGGTCCACAAAGCATATGCTCGAGAAAAAAACACATTTTTTGGAGACACACCATGTCCCGTCACAGCGGCTCGTACCGTTTTCTATGTACTTCACCACACAAGTCTATTGCATCACAAAGGAATGCCTTATGTTCCTATTTTAAAGACGATAGTCGTTCTTGGGGACCTTCGACGAAAAAACCTTGGTCTGTCTGTCCATTTGTGTGTTTGTCCACCCTTAACGCGAATCGGGTACTCTAAACAGCATCAGCCGATACTCCGAGCGGTCAACCACATCCGCAGTGCCCACCGATGTTGCTCAAGATTCAGAGTTCATACTTGTGCGATTGTCAATTAAAAAGCAATTAGTGCACATATCTGACGCACCATAACAACACGTATATATTCTGCATGTGCGTATTTTACTAGAAAAGGCTTACATAAGTAACTAAGGACCGTAGCGTTTATCACGCTGCACTGACCATGCAACGCTTGCACGAAAAAGCGAGTGTTTCCAACGCTTTGCTAAGACGACACGGTGGTGGCACCTACCCGTTGCCTTGCGTTCTACATTTTACCACCTCTGAGATGGGCGCGCACACCTGTCTCAGGGCCATGCGCTTCGTTTTCCAAAAAAAACTGCCAGATGGCGCTTATGTCTCACGTGTGACGTGACTTGATGCGCTCGATCGCCTCCGCTGCACGCTCGAGGCACTCTAACAAAGTGTCTCCAGAATACCATTCGCCGATTTTCTTGCGCAGAACATCAAATAAATGTTTTGTTCACTCCCTCCACACGCAAGACTCGTTTTCGACGACGTTTGCAGATACGGAGCCAACTTTTTACATGAGATGGCTGCAAAGTTCTTGCTGCAGTTTTCTACGGCACATGCACATGAGCATACTTCTTCCAGACCTGCCTACCGTACTTACTCGCATAATGATCGCACCCCTAAATTTTGTGATCTAAATTCGACTTTTTTTTTTCCTGTGTAATGATCGCACCCTGAACTTGCCGCATCGACATGTCATGTGCCAAGTCTAGCTGAACGCGCCTATCATTGTTTCTGTGATCTGAAAGCGGGCATCACTATGCTAATGTTGTAAATTTACTTATTTAAATGAAAGCATTCCTTATTTAGATGAAAGAAACTGTCTTGACGCGCGTGACGTACTCACAACCTCCACAACTGATGCAAAGGAAAAAAAAAATGCGGCGGCTTCACCACACGGAGTGCTTCGCTCCATCAGCCGCCATGTTCGTTTTGACATCCTGCACTGTTACACCGGCGGCCGTCTGTTGGTCGACCTGTGTTCATCCCGCAGCAATGTCTTTTTTCCCCGAGACCACGTTTTTTTTTTGTGTGTGTGCTTTGTGATCATCTGTTGGAGCGCCGTTTCACTATGGGACGGTATGCGAGCTTTACTGCTGCGTTCAAGCTGAAGGCGCTTGACTAAGCGCTAGAGCACGGCAACCGCGCTGCCAGCAGACATTTCGGCGTTGACGAAATCCGGATCCGATATCCGATCCATATCTGATTTTAAGTGCGACATGCTCGTGGCTACTAACAGCATTCAATGGGCTTTCCGCGGGCCCAAATCTGGCAAGTTCCCTGACATTGAAAAGGCTGTCCTCGAATACGTGAAGGACATGCGCAAGGACGGTTATGCAGTATCATTAGACATGATACGAACGCAAGCGTGCTCAGTTTCCCGGAGGCTGGGAATAGCCACAAAGGACTTCCGCGCCAGTTCCGGCTGGACGACATGCTTCATGCGGCGGAATGGACTGCCGCTGGCATTTCCAACGCGCTCGACGGAACCGAAGATGACCCTCTGTGGGACAGTACTGGAAGCGTCTGGTGACCCTCGGGCTCCCCGTGGGTCGCCAGAACGTCCAACTTAAGGAAAACGAACGCCAACCGGAAGTGCGCTGCGGGGGGACGGAGCAGCCCGAGAAAAACGAGCGCGCTCTTGCTGGCTCTGGCAGCCCGCGGGTAGCCAGAAGTCGAAAATCGAAGAGCCTCAGTGAAGACACTGCTGGTTCTGACAGGGGATCGTGCGGCAACGACACTGACGCCAGTGATGCTTCGGAGTCTGAATGAACGTTAGGGGGTCAGAGAGGTAAAAAATAAAAGGGCAGTGTGCCATGCATGTAGCTCCTGCGTAATGCATGCATTTTATTACAAAGGTAAGCCTTTATTTACTTTTATTTTTGGTAATGTTCATGATAGCTACCGTAAGAATTCTGATTAGCGACTTTTTTGCCTTTCCAGTGCTCAGAATATTTTTTCACGGAAAATTTACCCAACGTAAAGATCGCATCCCGAAGTTGGAGTAAACTTTTTGAAAAAAAAAAAAAGTGCGATCATTATGCGAGTATATACGGTATTTCAAGAGCTAGAAACAGGTTGAATGCTGCTGCAAAATGCACAACTTATCCATGAGCAGTAGAGATTGAATCGACGTGACACTTCAGTTTGACCCTGCTTTGCAGGAAAAAAGAAAAGGCACCTATCTCAGACCACATTTTGTTAGACATGATATTAATGAGGACGGACAGTCGTATTGCACTAGCAGCATATAGCACATGTCAGGAAAATACCGGCTTTATCCAAATTTAATGCCAAACACGCATTTTGATGACTGCGGGATGGGCCTTTCGTTGGGCCTTTTGAGATGCTTATGACCATTTTTAATGAAAAAAAAAGAGACAGCGAGATGCGGTGCCGATGCCACCCTAAAACAAAGTGATGGGTACACTGTGACTGTCCTTTGGGATGATAAAACTGTTCACTTATGCATCACATGGAAAACTTCAATATGAGCTTCTGTGCAGAATTAAAAAAATAAATAAATTATGTCTAGAAGCATGTCAGGTGAGCTTTCCACGCTAGGTATCATGGTAATTGCTGGGATTTCAGAAGCCAAAACCACAATATGATTATAAAGCCTGTCGAAGTGAAGGACTGAATTTTTTTGACCACCTGAGGTTTTTTGATGTGGGCCCAAATCTAAGCACGCGGGTGTTCTATGCATTTCGTTCCCCTCAAAACACAGCCACCATGGCCTCGAGTTTAGTGGTGCACCACTTATTGTGCTTGCCGCCATGGATTTGAGTATGGCAAATCTTGAGACTAAATGTATTTAACCCCTTTTATCCTACACTCTACCGCTACTAAAATCCTGCTACTATTCAAATTCACTATGAAAATTATTCAGTAGTAGATACCATTTGCTTCAATACTGCCTGCAACCAAAAAGCCACAATCGACAAAAGCCAAGAACAGTAACACCTCATTCATTCGAATTCAATTATTTCGAAATCTCGCTTAATTCAAATATTTCACGGTCCAGTGTTTTGCAATGCAAGTCTGAGCAGGAAAATTTGAAGCGACAGTCCGCACCAGTCCGGTTTATTCGAAAACTTCAGGTGCCATTTGCTAATTCCAGATGCCGATTTCGCCGCTTATTCTCCTAAACGACGGCCCTTAACAACCACAAGGCAATGCGGTCTAGCGATACTGAAGAGTGGCAGCTTCGCTACTTCCAGCGCAGAAAAGAGATGAAGAAGAAGAAAAAAAAAAGCCCCCACTTCTAACGAAGGGAATCGTGAGGAAATGCAAATGCATTGCGTGGCGTCCATAATGGCGTTTTGCACGTGAAAACCCAGTTTTAGAAGAATAATGTTTTTTTTTTTTTTTGCACCGTGCAGCCAATAGCGTTGTTCGCCGCACGTGGCGTTTTCATGTCGCGAGAAATGCGATATGCCTTTTCAGTTCTAATACCTAGTGTGCACGGTTAAAAAATACTATGAAGTGAACAAAACAAACAGCGTTCTCGGCTCGGCATCGGCATTGCACAGCGGCATCTCGAGCACACATTTTTGGGTCTTCTTAAGAGGTGCTCAGCCAGCGAACGGTCGAGAGTGGGACGCGAACCGGGAAAGAAGGAGCGGCGAAGCACTGCAGCTCTCATTGTACCTGACAGCCGTAATGTCGGCGTCTTACCAACGCAACCGCTACACAAATGATGGCAGCACAAATGCTACAAAGACATTTCAAACGCACTGCATTGAGGCGGTTGCAAGTCACGTTCGAGTCAAGGAGGTGGGGGCTCCAGTTGCTGGGAGCGAGCATAAGCGCGCATGCCTGCAGCTGTTGCTACGGGACAAGGCGGTGGACGGATCCCGATGGACGCATGACATAGCCCGACTAAGAAATGCATTCGCATTTAAAAGAAATGCTCCCGTGGCCAACTAAAAAATGCGCCTGCGTTAAATAAAACACGCTTCACTGCAACACAGCGATGACGTGCGGGCAGCATATCGCATGCTTCTCGCATCGTCAACGTGCCATGATTTACCCATTCTTTTTGGGAATACAAGTACATTATTTAAAGACATCTTAAACGAATATTAGCGCGACATATCAAAGGGCAGTTTGGCGGGATTCGCGATGTGTGCAAACCCTCGATTGCTGGTTGCTCCGGCAATTTGCGCACTTGCACGGCTGGTGGAGTTCTTGCCTGCAACGCCTAATTCAAAAACTAAGTTCGAAAGCTTCAATGATCATGTTCTCCAGTAAACACACATTGTAATTTTCGTTACAAAGGCCATTATTAGATTTTTCATATTAACGGAAAAAGTGGGGGAATGATCGCATCATGAGTGACGTGCTGACGCAGCGAAGAGCAGGCGGCATGCGGCCCGTCTGTCACTACTGTATTGCAGTGAAGATGTCCTGTTTTCCGCAGGCACGCATTTCAGTTAATCACGAAAGCTTTTTTTTTCTCATTTTTTAGGCTTTACTATAAGAAAAGGTCGGAAAACACAGTTATGTATAATACTGCAGTACATAAACTGCTCCATTACAGGTTGTCCGATCTGTGCAGCAAGAAGCTGCAGAACACGGACAGGCATGCTAGAAAACTGCCAGAGCACGAATGAAGTGAAACTTGCACAAAAGACAACAGCCGTGGTAGTAGTGTGCTTTGACATTACTAGTTTTTTTCTCTTTCAAAGTCCCTCTCCCTTGTAAACATACTGCTGCCTACATGCATTTGGTTCCAAGCAAGCACAGACATTAATAGGCCCTGATGTTAACGCGAGACAGTGGGTACTTCTAATTTTTGGAAGGGTAAAATACCATATGAAATTTACACTACCCGAAAACATACTGCATAACAGTGGAACCCAAAACAATATCTTTTACATATACAAAAGGAGACATTATGATTAATACGTTACTTCCTTATATATAAAAACTACACTACATTGCCAAATTTAGAGAGACCTATGTATAGAATTTTGAGCCGCACAGATGAAGTAACTGACCAAGTGCAGCTTTCTACCTCAAAAATATTATCCTCTTTTTCCGTTTAGATTAACATTTCCTGACATTGCAAGCAAATGTTTTCAAAAATGGTTGCAGACACACTTATGACTACAGTATCAGCTTTCCAACCAGGGAAAAAGAATAACCATTGAACATTTCGATAGACTATTATTATTATTTTACATAACAGTTACACTTGTGGTAGGTTCAACATACACGCGCTCCAATAAAATAAAGATACAGGGGACAGCATAACTAGTACTATTCAAGACATGCCCATTCCACAAGTTTCTTTAATCATTTCGGAGGCAGTAAGAGTACATGGCTAACTTTCAATACTCGCACATATTTCAAATACAGGTTTTGTTCTCCTCTACCCTGCATTTCATCCAGTAGCTTTCTAAAGCAGATGCAGATGATAGACAGTAATATTAATAGCAGTGAAAATATTTCTTACTTATAGAGCATTGCAAAATAGACACCATTAGGCGAGACGGCCAGGCCTACGGGTTGAAGCATCCAGGGTAGCTCAATGGAGATTTTGTCAATGTTGAAGTTGAGATCTATAAGCAGATTGGACATGAAGAATCCACTGAGAAAACATGGACAATTATCAACAAACAACAGCAGAAAAAAAGGGGGGGGGGGGGCAGCAGAATTCACACTTTATTTTACTTCGTCCCATGAAGAGGTGCTTTTTTTGTATGGAGACCAACAAATAATTGGCTAGGCTATCACTATGACTTTCAGATATGTTAGCTCGTTGTGATCACTTTAACCCATTGGCAAAGCTCTTTTTAAACTTTCATTATTACTTTTATCATCAAGAAATTCGTGGCCCAGCACGGTGCGACAATACACACAACCTTCTATTGTGAAAAAAGATACAGCTCTTTTTTTTTTAACCACAAGCATGGCATATTTACATATCCATGTGGAGAAACAAGCTTTTGGAGCCGTTTCACACTGAACATGGTCAACTTATTTGAAATTGGTACGCCTAACTTTAGTTCAATACAGCCACACGCCCAGCCATGCATGTACCATGTTTGCTGCAGCTTCGCAATATTCAGAAACTGTCATATAAAAGTTAATTAAACTTGACCATGCTCAGTAAAGTAATTGCATTTGAACCGATGGCAGATACGAAATTCACAGAATTCATTCATTAACACAATGAAATATGGTGCTGATGTATATATTTAGGATTCAAAAACAGGACTTTGACATTCCTCTTCTTCAATAGTAACTAACCTTTTTTTTTAACTTACAAGTTAACACACAGCCTCAGATCAACACTTGATCAGTGTGACCTATTTTAGTAGTAGGTGCTCTACAAATCTTGTGTATCTAGCATAAATGACAAAGCACAGCAAAGCCTTGTGCTTTATACTTACCATTGTCAATACGAACGTTCACAATCTCTGCATTCATCGTGCAGGCAAGCACATGGAGGTCGTGCTCATCACTTGGGCACTTGTCAAGGGCTGTTTAAAAAGACAGAAGATTGAGTCTCTATAAAATGAACTTCGCCTTTTCTCATGCAAAATATACAGTAGTATAATCTCGATGATACGATTATGGTTTATGCAGATTTTGCAATGATACGACGAATTTTAAGGTCGTTTCGGAAGGACTACATAACATTAAATACGACGTGGTTCGGTGTTATAAAAATGGTTCGCCCAGCCACGGCAGATGATGCGAACGTGCAACTGACCGCTGCACGCAAGTGGCCCAACGCAACGAAGCTAGTGAATTTCCAATGAGTTTTGCCACTTTCGCTTTTTTTGATGCCAAGTGTGAACACGCCTTTAAGTGCCAGCAGCGTGAGTAAAGAAACCGCGGCACTTATATGAAGGACAGTGAAGGCAGAAAAGTTCAAGAGAGTATCGTGGACTTTTTTTTTAGCAAGAAGTGGTTGACCCCACTAAAGTTCTTGTTCATCTTCATGATCAGGTTTAACTTGTTTTCGGTGGATACAAATTAGGAATGATACTAATATTTTGTTGTGCTCCCTTCGAATTCATATCATTGAGATGGCACTGTACACCAATAACACTTCATTTCTTTGTTATATAGTATACATAGCTGTGGCTGGTAATGAAGAATACGTGCCCACAGTAGAATCTTGTTAAATGAAACATGAAGGGACTGGAAAGGTACGTTCTATAAGAAGTGTTGCACTTACTCAGAGTGATGCATAGAAGTTCAGCAGTCAAGTACAAGATCAATCATGTTGGAGGCAATCATTTCAAATTCAAGCAGTTTCGGTTTACGAAAAGTGTACGCAGGGAAATCAGGGTGATGCATAAGAATGCAAGCAAGGCGGTCAGAAATAAAGCATAAAAGAGAGCGCATACCTCCTTCAGCCACAATTTATATTGAATTATTTAATACACAAAGCATTCCCATGAAGATATGGTGCTACACGTATGTCACTCACATTCACAGACAGTTATATTCATGCACGCTACACCTTTGCAAATGCGCCTCTCTTAACCTTTCCACAAGTACGCTTTCATCATTGGAAATGTTCAAATGGCTCCATTCTGGCAGGTGCTGCCAAACAGAACATTGAATCTGAAGGACACTGCAAGCAAGGGGGAAAGAATGAGCAAGAAACATGTCTCAAAATATGGATTTCCAATGCGGCAGGGATGTTACTCGGCTTCATAGTGACGGATTTCAGTTTCACAAGTTACACTACACCACAGTAATATAATATGGTGGGGAATACCAACAGTAAAGAGAGCATGCTGCAGGTGATCCTATGTTATTGGAAAGAGGATTGCCACGCGTATTCTAGAAAACGCAGGTCTCCCAAAGCGATAATCATGCCCCATGGGAAGACATAAATGAACAATGCATAATAAGCAAACCTTGATGGTAAGACAGCCTCGGCGCAAATAAGCAGAAAATTTAAGCTTTTCACAATTTATGTTTTTCACTGTTTCCAAAAATTGTGGCTTTTATGCCTCTCTAGCGCACCAACCTAATGAAATACAGTAAACTCTTGTTAAACGAAGCCTAAAGGCATCAGCAAAGTATGTTCCGTTCAGCAGGAGTTTCGTTTGGTGAGAAAGAAACCAGGGTGCAGAAATCAGGCACGGTATCAAACGTATGAGAAGCAGTTGTTCCATCTAAGCAGCGGTTCCAGAGAGATTCCCACTTACTGAGAGTTAACTGTGTTGGCACAGGAGAGAATGAAGGAGAGCATGCGCAAAAGTGCAGCTCGTTGAATGCATAGGAGCTTGCCTGTTCGATGGCATCCAGCATGAGCTAACTAATGAACGATGCAGACGTGGATGAGTGAAAGCACGCACAATGCAAGTACAGTATTAACACACGCTTGCATGGGATTGATTGATTGATATGTGGGGTTTAATGTCCCAAAACCACCATATGATTATGAGAGACGCCGTAGTGGAGGGCTTCGGAAATTTTGACCACTTGGGGTTCTTTAACGTGCACCCAAATCTGAGCACACGGGCCTACAACATTTCCGCCTCCATCGGAAATGCAGCCACCGCAGCCGGAATTCGATCCCGCGACCTGCGAGTCAGCAGCTGAGTACCTTAGCCACTAGAACACCACGGCGGGGCATGCTTGCGTGGGAGCTCGCACAGCTGTCGTTTCTGGCAAGGTGGCGTGTTTTTTAAGTTTTTCCACTCGGCCATATCCGATTTCCTTGCGCTTTCACCCGTTCAACCCATCCAAGGCCTCATTGGCAGAACATTGCACACTGTGCAATTTAAATGCAACTGGTGAAATTGCTTCGTCTTCGACTGCTGTTTAACGCAAACAGGTCAAGCAGTGGCTCATCGCCAATGCCACCAGAATCCTGCTGCACTCTAATTTTACATTAAGGAGTATTGTAATTGTCAGCGGTATATTATATAACATTTCACTAAGCATCCTGTTTTTAGAATGATCGTCATAACCTCAAAACTCGATATAACGAACATGAATATAACAAACTATTGGTTATAATGAAGTGAAAAATAGTTTTGTCATAAATACAGTGTTACGAATATACATATATAACGAACTTTCAGGTATAACATAGTACTTTTGCAGAAGGTGTGACTTTGTTATAATGAGGTTTTAGTGCATCAAACTATTTTGCTATCGCCTTCCAGTTCGCAATACAGTAAAAGCCTGTTAATTTGAACCGTAAGGGGAAGCCGCCTTAGTTCGAATTAACGAAAGTGAAGAACAACAACAGTACACTGCCAGTAGTGCATAACAATTTATTTTTTGAAAAAGTCTGTGATCGCAGTCTGCCTTCTTTCCTTGAAGGCGACAGCCAGCACTTTTTGCTCTAACGAGCGAATTTGGCGGAAGGCCTCTTCTCCGCCTTCTTCAATACTTAAGAAAAGACAGGCGACATTCAATCCAGCCATGACTACCGAAGCAGAGGGCCACACTGGTGCTTTGGCTTTCTCCTCATCATCGTCACTGGCAGCGACAGGTTCTGCACTTCTCACCTGACATATGTCGCCATCCGTGAGTGCACCACACACCACTGCACTTGAGTCCACATCGACGTAGTCCGCAAAGCAGACGTGTTCGAGCACTAGTGGCTCGTCAGCTTGCACAGCTTCGGTGCTGAAGCCACAGTGGCGAAAGCAATTTGCTATCGTAAGCTCTGTCACTTACTCCCAAGCACGCAGAAGCATGTGTAGTGCACTTAGGAGCGTCACTTGGTAGTTATTGCACAAAATAATTCGTTCCAACATATGACGCCGATAAAATGATTTTAAATTTCTAATTATACCTTGGTTCATGGGCTGCAGTACCTCTATCGTGTTTGCTGGAAGGAAGGCCAGCTTGTCGTGTTTACTGGAAGGAAGTGTTTTGGCACGGTATTTGCCGCGGGCACACGCCATCAAGTCGGAGTAGCAGAATCGCGACAGATGGGAAGCTACTACCGGCGCTACCACAACAACCGTTACCCGAGGCCTAACACCAACACAAAGAATCGAAACAGTCGAAAGCTACTCCCAGCACTAACAACCGAGGTGTACGACGCACACCCCAGACAAAGACTGCAGAGAAGGTTGGGCAAAGCTACGACGCAACCGATTTGCTGTGTGCCGGTCATGCCATCTGTCGTCTAAGAGTGACAACTACGCAGGATTTTCAAAGGCTTTGAGATTGGCACTTAAAAAAAAAGAAATCTTGGAGGTTACGTAGGGCGGAGAGCAGGCAGCCGGCGAGAGAGAGAGTTGTGGGGGGAGGAGGGTGAAGAGTAAGTGGCGCTATTTTCTGCACTTTGGCCTCCGTGCCAGTTTCTCAGTTTTTCTCTCCGCTCCCTATCAACGCCACCTCGTAACTCGGCAGCCGCCCTATCGAGTGACGAACCAAGCCACCGGTGCGGTGGCGCATAGTTCGAATTATCCGCGACGGAACCTACTCGCGTTCAAATTAACGGGCTTTTTTATTCATGGGCTTGTATGGAGCTTGGCTGGACCACAACTTACAGTTCGAATTATTCATAAATTTGAATTATCGAAGTTCGAATTTATGAGCTTTCACTGTATCTGAGTTCAACTCCATATTGAAAGCACTTTTATGCCAGACAGAACTTCGCTACAACAGTGTTCTGCTGCACAGGCAGTCCTGATTTAATACAATTTACAAAGGTTCTTCACCTGTGACAAATGACACACAGGCATCACGGGTGAAGGCACTGTGCAACAGTTGTGCTCTGCCACTGTCGGCATCCACAGTCACCCGAAAGCAGTACAGGATGCGGCCTTTGGCCACACACACCAGGTAGCTGTCCTCTTTGCTGCGCTGTGGAATCACAAGAATATTTTTGCATTTACATGAAGTAATTGTGCCAAATAGAGGTGTGCAAAAGTCTGATGTAGAATTCAAAGAGAACAGTGCGAGACAGTGGCCAAGAATATTGAGTATAGTCACATGCAAATTTTAAGAGTCTGAAAAAAGTCACAGCTTTGCGGTGAAGGCAAAGCAATGAACACGATAGCATCAAATTAGAAATCACGCGCAGAATGGCAAGCAGATTGAAACATGCCCCGCATTTCTCACGCACAAATGACACATGAAACGTGCTCTCAGGTACAAATGAACGCGAATAAGCTTCTCAGTTGTTACTTCTCTGTGTCTGAAAAGCGCGCCGTTTTCGCAAACGGAGACAGTACAACGATTGCAGTGACTTTTGTGCGCCCGGTAACTACAACAGAATCATTCCGGTAAAAGCACAAGGTGTACGATTGTCCTCACCGCGAGATAAGCAAGCGCACGTGTGAGCGTCCACCCTGCCCCCTCTTCGCAGGGCAAAGTACACGTGAGATGAGAGCACGCGCCGCCCCGTTATGACGATGTGGCACCACGCTCATTGCGCTGTATAACTGGTAATGCTGAAAACACGATAGTCCCCCTGAGATGCCCATCACCAGCAGTAAGTGGTAGATATAAATAGCTTGCTGTTATAACGTTGAAGGAGGTGCTCCTTTGTGACTCAGTGACTAACACCTCGCACTCACAATTCAGAGGTCCGACGTTCTATTCTACGCGCCGAAGTCTTTTCCTGGATTATCTTTCTTTCTTGTGTCTTCATATATATAGATACATATACATATATGGTCAATGACGGCGATTCCGACAGCAAAATCCAAAGTGTCCATATAATTGCTATTGCAATAACGTTCATCATTTTTCAGACGCCAAAAATTTGCACATGATCATTATTTCAGACTTCGCAATTGAACCGTAAAGGTTCCCACAGCACTAACACATCTTCGCAACCAACTTTTTCTTTACCAGTTTAAACGAACTGCAATTGAGACTGTAGAACTTTTTCAAGAGTGCATACTGTTTCCATAGCTTTCTCTTCGTTGCTACTGAAAGTTACCAACAAATGGTACATGGCATCATTTGGAAATCATTGTTTTAAATGGCGCTTGAATTACAGTCACAATGTTCTAAATTCAAATCTATATGACAGCTGTTTTACTTATTCTACTGATATAGCTGAGGCAACTGAGTGTAATTTTGTGTGTCCAGTCAAATTTCTTGCCAATAGGCGCATAGCAAGGTAAGGAAAAACAGCGAAGCAGAACGGTTGTACAACCCAAAATTACCAGCACTATAAACCGTATTTTTCTATTAGAAAAATTAAGCTGGGAGAATTCAATGTAAACAACAGCCACTTTGACAAGTTGTACAGCAATGAGTATTTAGAAGGTTATTAGCAAAGTAGCGATACATAAAATGAAGGAGGTATTTCACAGACGAGGGCACATAGTCCGAGATTGTATGGACACCCACGATGTAAAAAGCATTCATTAAAATATGCAAATGCAAATGGCACGGCAATGTAGTATAAATACAACAAAGTTATACTACTACTATACCAAAACAACTAAAACTATGAAACATAGCAATAACTACAATTACCAAAACAATACATTTGCTACCACACCATTCAAAAGAAACAAAATAGAGTGATTTATGATGATATAAGATACAATTTCAAAATTTTTACAAACATGTACAGATTACATAAAGATTTTAGATTGAGTTGAATAAAGTTCTATATTGAAACGGCCATACATGACGATTTTATGGCTAAATTAGTGCAAATTCGAGTAGTAATCAACTTTCTTTTAATACGAAACGAGTGTGACTAGTGGGTTCATATTTTTGTTTGTTTGAGTAAGTCATAATCGACAAGGTCGAAAGGTCTGTACAGTGATCTGTAAACAAGTAAAAGCTTGCTCTTTTTCATTTCTATGCCCCGCTGCTCACTCGCATGGTCTCACAACTCAATGACATGGCAGATTAGCCGGCATAAAAGCGAAAAGGCAAATTTGAGTTGCCATCATGCTGCAACTTGCTTGGTAGAATGAGAAATGTGCTATGTATATTATTCATAAACAAAAAAATATATAATAGAGAGAGAGGAGTGACATACTGCGCAAACCACGTGCTGTGCTGGTCTCCCGTCGCTCTCCCGTAGGACAAGCGGTTCGCCCAGCCGCACTTTTTCGTCTCCACTGCAGAGTGCCACTGTTCGCAAGGTCACACTACCATCATCAGAGCCTGCTACCAAGATACCTGAAAGATGCCTCAGAATGTCCACTGACAGGAAACGTCATAGCCGCCGCTACACACAGAAAAAATTACCACTGACACAGACACAGGAAACTAAGCGCAACCTATTCCAGGATTGCAGACAGGATGCAGACACAGAATACAATAAGAGCATCCATCTCATTTTAGTAAAGTGTCCTTCAGTAATGTGCACTAGAACCACGTTGATATGCTTCATAAAGAACAGATACGGGAAATTGCAACAGCAGAATCAGCAAAAATTTACACTCAAACAGAACTATCTCTCTGGAATAAAAAATAAAAAAGAACTACAGAAACTGTGCTCAAACCGCAGCCAAAGCTATGCCATACCTTTGTTAGGCTAATTATGTATTTGGGCATAGTACTACAAAGAATGAGAACAGAAACAGAACAAGCATGAAGCAAGTACTCATGACTTTATCACGAAAACCTGAAACTAGCATTTACTGCTGTGAAGTGTATTGGCAAAAAATGAACTTTTGAGATGCTGCGTGCTAAAGCCACATTATAATTGAAGCACACCACACTCAGAAATTCTCGATTAATTTTGAGCACTTGGGTTCTTAACATACACTTCAATCTAAAGTATGCAGCTGTCTGTATTTTGTCCTTTAAGGAATCATGACACCAAATTTTCAACCACAACCTGTGTCCTGTGGGTTGATTCTTGTACGCTTAGAGACAAGCTGGCGAATTCGGTCGATCCGTTAATTTATAATTGAATATTTTTATAAACGAACGAGTGGCCTGAGAGTCGAGCAACACTGGTGCGATTGCTAGCCGTGACGTCACGAACCGCTTTCAGAGCGAGCTGCTGCACGATCTGCATTCCGGAGGACAATCGTTTTCCATTATGAGCTGTGCTTGCAATCAAACTTTTTCTGCGTTGTTCAACTTGCCCCTGGAACTAAACGACTTCCAGGGGTTGAAACAATGCCACGGCGTCATCGTGTAGCGCTGGTACTAGTAGCAAGCAATTTCCGAGGTCAAAAAGTCTCTTGTGAATGTGCAATGCATATGCCGTTTGCCACTATGGGTAAACATTTATTAAAACTCCTTGGTGGCAGAGCCATGTTTGAGTGTCACACTTGCTATTTTTTTACTGGAACCGAATGCAATCGACAGAGTTCAAGCAAGGATTCGGCCAAAATGTATATCGTGAGTAACCCTACTGCCGCACTGACATGCTGTTCACTTCAGCTTATGTTTACATATGCCGCATGCAACAACCGATGGAAAAACAACGGTCCCAACATGCAGCACTGCTACGACCACTTATTTATTATGTTCAGCACCGAAAGTCGTGCATGCACTTATGCTAGCCAACAAAAATCTGCCCGCTTTGCCAATTCCACAGCCATAAGTGACACTTGCTCGCAAATGCAGCGTTGACGGACCCCCATATCCCAAACACGCTTTTCAACCTGACGCACTTGAAATAATGCTACTTATCATTGCGGAAAGCCATCAGCAACGTCTGCCACAATGGCTGTCACAACGGCAAGGTCGTTGGCATCTTGGTTCACACCGTCTGCGATGCTTTCTTCGTCGCTTGAGCTGGCAGCGATGGAGTCGAAGTCAAAATGCGCAACATAGATGTCGTCCCCTCAAATGGTGATGATACCGTAACACACTGCAACACTTGCAACTCACTGACACGTGCAGACCACGTGGCAAGCAACATTCGCAACACTGACCGCATGTGGAAGGTGCTGTTTGGCAGCTGACGATGACACTGCTTCTTTGGCTTGTGACGTCAAGCACGCCATGACAAAATGGCGATCGCACGTGGTGGGCGGAGTTTACAGCCGATGACTTCTACGACTTATTTTGCAGAGAAATAATCTCTTACAGTCCAGTTTTCACATGTGCACAAGCTTATTTGACCCTCTACCTTCATTTTCCGCCCGAAACCGTCAATTGTTGGGTGACCATGTCATGACCCCTTTAAAGTTCAAGGACTCCAAATCAGGGAGATTACCGCACCGGGGGGAGTCCTGAACAGTCTTTAAAGCGTAAACATTTGCGTCCTGGTCTTATAAACGCTCGTAAACAACGCTGGTGGGGTGTCCATACTACACTGGAATCTCGGTGATATGTACCAGCCTCAGGCTGCATCAAAATATCCTTGCACCCGTGTAATATAAAAACAAGCAAAACTGGTTTCCAAACCTCGATATACACACAAAACATTTTTTTCATCAAAAGAACTCGCCTTCTGGGACTCGCACGAAGGAACCAATTAGCACAGCGCAGCTGGCTGCCGCGAAAATGTGCATCAAAGCTTTAAGTCCGTTCCACCGTAGTCGTATGCGAAGATTGACAGAACACCGAAACGCTTCGTTGCTTTTCTTTTTTTTTTTACGCCTTAATCGCCTTTATTCTATCACTGCTTTAGCCGTGTATCTTTGGAGCTCGTAGTCTCTATCGATAATCGCGTCGCAGCGACCGCAGTTTCGCTCACGGTGGATGCAGTAAATGGTAGTTCCTTATTTTCATGTGCACTTTCCACGCACTTGCCTTCAAAACTACAGTAGACTCCCATTAAATGAAATTATCTTAAATGGAACAACTACCACTAATACGTTTGGTTTCGTACTTGAATATTGTAACCCTATTAATCTATCAGTAAACGAAACTCCTCTTAAAAAAAACACATTTTTCTGGTCCTTCCGGTTTTGATTAATAGGAGTCTACTGCATGTAGCTTTTTGCTATTTTTGCATCTGTCATGGTTTTGGCATCAGCGTTTGAGAAAAGAAGCATCGCTTAGACTGCGTGAGTGTTGGACGCGCGTGCTCTTTCGGAGTTTTGTCAGTTTGTCGTCGCCATAAATGGTCGCCTCGAAAGTGACCGCGGTTTCGTTGGCCGTGTGTGTCCTCCCGCAGCTGCCAGCACACTGCTCTCGGCCATTGCTCGATAATTTGGTACCGAAGTTCGTATCACGCCGCGGGACATGCGAAAGTGTTTGAAACATTCGAATTTTGGCCCACTGGACAGAGTAAAATTTGGCTGAGGAATTTCGCAAATTCATATCACTGAGATTCTACAGTAGGTTTACATCACCACCTCTGAATTCGTTTAAGTTGAAATGCGATAGTCTAATAGTTTAAGCCTGAATCGAGTTGGATGGATGTTTGTTAATGCAGCCAGATGACGAACAGAAATTTTGATTTCCGGGAGTATTTTCCAGCAGATCGTACAAACGTAAGAAATGGTCGAAATCCAGGAGCTTCCTGGAAAATACAGGAGGCGTGGCAGGTATGAAACTGCGATACTATAGCTGGGGAATGGAACTCATATTCTCAGGCTTAGCAGCACACGATCTTAGCCACAAAACTGCCAAAGTGGCTAAAGGAACATACTGACAACATTATATCACATATGCAATCTTTCAATCATAGAATAATTTTGACAAAGCTGCATTGCTTTCCTAGTATTAGAGTATGTGAAGCATAGAACCAAGTCTATAATGCAGGGTTTTCAGTGATCCAGCTGTAATAGAGAGCAATTCAGGTTACATAATTATGTACACCTTCAGTTCTCTGGCAGTCACATTAATTTTGGTACACAACCATTCTTGCAACATGACCCAACCAAAATCCGGCAGCTGGTCCAGGAGTTTGACCTCTATCTATAGCAGCAAGATTTTATTCCCAGTGAGCCACCATGGCAATGCGAGTTGGAAGTACGTAAACCCTGTCTAGGCACCGTCCAAAACACACCTATGGAAGTAAGTACGCACCACACATAACCAATTCTATCTTTCTGTTTGGCAATAAAGCAAACAAGTTTTGAAAATCATAAATTCAATAATTATGTACAGATTGGACCACACGTTTCAAACTCGGAATTTCCCTGATGGCAATGCTACTTCAAGTACAACCCTAAGTAAAATTCATACTAGAGGAAACCTACCAGAGGTCTTGGATGTTTCATGCCAACAAAGACGACCAGCCTGCATGATGCTAGTGTCCACTTCCTTCAAGAGCTCTACTTCAAAACTGGAAAACAATTAAGCAAGGCTCATTGAGAACATGTGTAACATATCTGCTGTGCACTGACCTCCCATAGCTTTAGCAGACAAGCAAGGACAGAAAACTATAGAACACATATTTAAAAGGATCCTGCAACATTTAAGTTATCCATAGAGTTACCTTATTATAACTGCCTCACAAAAAAAGTTAAGAATCTGCCAAGTATTATCAGAATCATCGCACAAAACGAATTCCATTTTTGCCACCTGGTTACCACAACCATGGCACATGCTACACGAAAAAGGAGTGATAAGTCACCCAAATGTTACATTGCCAGGCATTATGGCCTTGAGCATCTTTCTTCCACCAAGTTGGCATATACTTCTGGTTTAGATGTGTGTAGTAGTGACAGTTCACTACAGTGAAATCGCAGATAAGTATGTTATTTTCAATAAAAAGGTTAAGCGTTTTTTTATAGAGAGAATTTCATTATACTAAAGTTTGTTATATCAACCTTTAACCCATAACCAACCGTGCGATAAAGACTCCAAAGAGGCTCACCTCTGGCCGCGAGTAAAAACTGGTACCTTCCATACTAGAAGTTGCCCACCGCGTGTGACCTCTATGAGGAGAGCGAACGACGTCGCCTCATTATCCTCAATGAGGTGAGACCACACAATTTCTGAAACGGTGACAAATACAAATACACATGGTAGTTTGGGACTGTTGGTGCAAGTTAGCAACAAGGCAAGAAAGCAACAAAAACAAGGGAGATGTCATAGACATTACACGGACGCACCACAGCACAAATTGGCAGCATAAGCCCAACTCACAAGAAGAAACACGAACACACGAGCAAACATGCAGCACCTACACTTGCGGCACAACAATGCGCTTTGCCAGCATCACGAGCGACCACTTTGGTTTCCTCTCGTGTGCTACTTTTCATCTGCTACAGCCACATTCTACAGACAATTATGGGTGTAACAAAATTGGTAGCCTTTCAGAAAGTGAGCAGCACGGAATATTTCAGGGCTTTGAATGAAATTTAAGGACATGAATCATAATGAAAAAATTAGTCTTTGATGGCACAGAAAAAAGCAAGGGCATGTGAGAGTGTTTTGATACAGTGCCTTAAGGCAGAGACAAGCAAGAATGTTGAGAATTTAACCTGTTCCAATCTTTCAGAGAAGCACTGACCAACGTGGCAAGAGAGAACACGTCAGTGCACTGTCGCTGCGGTGGCCGCGTGCTGTGTTTTTCACCTTATGTTTGAGCGCTCCACTGATGGTTAGACCAGCTTGCTTGAGGCACTTGCACATGCATAGGCACCTTCATAAATATCACAGGTGCACAATTATATGCAGTGCAGTTGAGCTGTAAAGGTATAGCAAAATGAATGAGCTTTCACTTCATTCTTACTGCCACTGCAGTAATTTTCAAGTAGCACTGCCGCTCCACCGCAAGACCGCGCCCTTACATCTGCACTTTGTAGTCAAAAGCCCTCGAATGTGTTGTCCTGCACCACTGGCATCTGGAAATAAGCTTTCTGTTCACTTCTTACCAATACATCATGAGACACTAGCCCCCACCATGCTGCAGGGATGTGCCTCTTTTGTTTACAGACAGACAGTCCGGGAAATGACAAATTTGTGAGAATTGGTAAAATATTGCTAACACACTAACAATTTATTGCTGTAAATTTCTCACTCGCTTCACTCTTAGGATGGATGTGCACCATCAAGACTGCTTGCCTTCCTTGCTTTCACTATGGCCATCTGTGTTTGAATTCATATCCTCAAAAGGATCCCCTCCATTTCCCATATTACGTCTCTATCATTGTTGCTGATGTGGCTCAAAGGCCACTGAACAGCTGCTGTTGCTGAGATGGAAATACTGCTGAAACCCATGAAAAAAAAAAAGTGCTGAAAATGAGATGGTACACTTCAAGAAGTGGCCTTAGTTGCATAAAGCTTGTTTAAAAGACAGAAACAAGTTGCATAAATTTTGTTACATTGGAAAAAACCAATTACACTAGTTAATCCAAACATCAGAAACGTACAATGAACAAGGTTCACAGAATATTAGCTTTTCACAGCGAAAGCTGTAATGAGACCACAACATGGGTCATGCGCGGTGCCGCTGTAGTTGTCTGCTGTCCCCGGTGTTTGTAATCACTATCACAATAAATAAGAAAATAAATATCTCAAATAAAAAACGCCAAGGACATAGCGTGATTCCAACTTGAGTCCACTGTGTGCCAGCCCAGTATTCTATTGCTGAGCCACGCCGGTGCTTAGGACTGATGCGCTAACTTGCCTTAGGCAGGCTTGATGTCGGGAAAGGAATCGCGTTAATATATGTAATAAAGCGTTTTAGAACAGCAATGAAACATTCAGGCATCACACGATGTGAATTTTGTAACGAGTGAGTCATCCAATGCTCAAGCCCATTACAAAAACTTGTCCATCATCACCTATTAACTGCGGCACATACCCGCTTCAGGCATAATTCTACATCTTCATCAGCCACTGCATGAAACACAAAATTAGCCCAAATTTTGTTGCAAGTGTTTAAGATATCATGCTTCTCCGAAAAATGATGATGGATAGCATAGCGTATGCCGGCCTACTACACAGAAATCATTATTATTTATGGCATAGTGGGTACCCAGCGAGTGTGCTTGTAGCTTTTACCCAAAGAGTGTTTAGAAAAGGCCCTGAAAGGCCACTCTTTCAGCTTTCACTGAGACTGTGCTGCGCGTTCTGCAGAGACCTGGCTTTTTCTTTTCTTCCTGTCAAAATAAGTAGCTTAGAACAATAAGCTGCAACAAACAAGCTTGACCCTAGGAGGATGCATTTTCCACAAATGTGCAGCCTTCAAGATTATTGGCAGGGTATGCTCACCGAGAGCAGCCACAGAGTAGCTCCTTTCTCGCAGGAGGTCGAAGACGCATTTAGAGTAGGCTGACGCCCTCTCAAGTGGCTGTCGCTTGCGAGGTGAAGTCCACGACTCTTTGGCTCGATCGTAATGTAGCTGAGAGGGCTCCGCCAGACATTCCCAGCATGCTTCGGTGCTCTCCATCCAGATCTGAATTCGATGGTCCCGAGTCAGGGTTGCGAGAATGCACCTAGGAGAGTTTAGCCAGTGGGGCATAGTCATGCATTGCTAGATATAGGAGGTTCTGTCCATAGACAGATTATGAAGAAGATGTTTAATGAAAAGGACAGAGAAAATGCCATACTGAATAGCAGATTTCTCCACTGCTACTCCTTATGGGTGTATATAGCAAGCTTGTACAAATAGCAAATTTTAGGTTCAAAGCAAATAGTCATTTAGTCAAATAATTTCAAATCAAATTCAAATAGTATGTATTGTATATTATTATAAGTGAGTATATTTGTCACAACCCAGCTAACCTGCCCAATATCCTTTTGAATATGAGACAAGGCACGTGCAAATTTGATAATTTTTTATTCAAAGAAGAGTTGAAGACTTTGAATACTAGTAGCAGGATTAGATTCTCAGTATAATTCAAGTGATAAGCTATAAAATATCTTACATCTTAAAATTTACATTACTTAGGCCATATAAGCTGGTATAACAAGTTTTTAAACGTGAAAAAATGATGAATCGATGTCAGGGTAACATGTTCATTTAGCCTTGCAATCGGGCTTCGCAGCAGTGCAGATTCCCCCCCCCCCCCCCCCCCGGAAATGTGTACTCACGGTGTAGTACCCTTCTGCTGCAGTGAAACTACCTTTACAGGGGGTTACATGCAGTTTATGTATGTTTATTTGTTCATTTGGAATACTTGAAAATTTGGTATAATTTAAAGTCGTTTCGAAGCGAGCTTCAATACCTTAATATTTGTTCGAGCGTTTCAAGTGCTCGAATATTCGCACAAGCTTTAGTACATAGTATTAGTTCTATGGGTCACTGTACACAGGCTGTCCCGAGCGGGAACCTCATAATAAGCGCGAAAGCTATTAAGCCTCAAGCACATACTCTAAAGATGAGCACTTAGACCTGCCTCGCTTATAACTCTTAATAGGCACTCTCAACTGCATTGGGCATGTTTTCCAAGCACTCGGAAGAGACAGACAAAAAACAGAAGCATTCTACTGGGTAGGATCACAGCTGACTCTATCTGAAATGTTTGTGTAGTAGAGAAAATGAACAAATTATGATCTAAGTTTTAAGGTAGAGAATACTTCGAACAGCAAAGTTTCCATGTGAATGGGAAAAAGATGGAGTAATAACTGAGGCTGGACATTGATTGACAGCTGGTTAAATGGTTAGTTGTAGCTTTTGAACCAACTAACTTATGGCAGACTTTTATGTGCGTGACCCAAAAATGTGTACCTGGTTGATTACATACTCCTGGAATGTAACCTGACAAAGAAATCTTTAAGTGAGATGCTGAACAAGTCCAATTGCTGTGCAATGTGACACTACTGTGCAACTGGTCATTTAGTAAGAGTTGGACATTAGTAGGATGTTGAATAAAGATTTATTGACTGATCGCTGAGTCCTAGTGCTGGCACCTAGCAAATATTTAGGTAAGCAGCCAATTGAATGTTAAACTGGTTAAGGACAAATCTCATCACGTCTATAGGATGCTACTGCTTTTAGCAAGCACTCCCTCATCACATTTATGATGCGTGCAAAACAAGTGCCTTTCCCACTTATCTTCATTAGACCCAGATTTCATCAGCTAAATCTGCCCTATACTTGCAAATTTGCAACCTTCTCATGCCACTCTCGCCACTACCTACACAGCACTTAGTGTCGTGTAGGTAGTGGCGAGAGTGGTACAAATAATTCACAAACAAGTGAAATAGTAATTCACTTATTTTGTGAATTAAACACGTCATCTTAGTATGTGCCAGTAACTTGCACCCACTACAACTGAGTTGCACAGAGGAACTACAGCTGAACCCTTTTATAAAAGACAATGATGTAACAGACAATTGGCTATAAAAGACACCAGTGTGCTTGCATAAAAATAGGGGTTGATATAAAAATGCACAGTATACTGTACCTTGCTTATGAGAGACACCTCAAAGACAGGAATCGCTCCCCAGTGCGTGTCACTTACAAAGGGGTTCAACTGTATTAATTCATAATGCTAAGTACAATAAGCTAGCTTATTGCCAATAGAATTTCAGCTGTGAATTAAATAGCAATAATCCAAAAGAAGTATCTTCCCTAATGCTGTCAAAGGAGAAGGCGAGCACTACGTTATTTTCAGTACCCGTGCAACTCACGCGCGTGAAAAAAAGAAGTGAAAATCTAAGGAATGTGTTTCTTTCTTAGAAACAATATCATTAAAAACTAACCGACAACGATGCAAAAAAAGTATAGGGTATGTGATTAGTAGTAAGTGTAATATATATGTGCCTTCAAATAGAGCATCAAAGGCGCTATTCAAATGTTGCAGGTTCGACCCTTCTAGAGGCAAGTTATTTTTTTGTCCACTGTTCTTTCCTCACCTTAAAATTGCAATTACTACCATTAACATCTCCCATGCTTTCTTTGGCGTCACTGTCTCTTGGTTCTCACGTGCACATGCTTATATTCTGAGAGGTATCTTTGAGCACTGTTGCAGTCAAGTGTGCAACTCTGATGAGTGCAGCTGCAGACACATGTACAGGCACCATATCAAGCATTAAACAAACATTGCTGAACAAGATCAAGAAATTTGTGTTCTAGTTTGACAGGTTATTCTAGTATAGCACAACAGGACAATGTAAGCTGCTTACCTGTTCTTGCCCCCCAGATGCGTTGGAGACCACACAGCCCTGTGGTATGTTTTGTGTAGGACAGCATTAGCGCTGTCAGGTGAAAGCGTGATGTCCATCATCAGTGCGTGCCGATCATCTGCAAGCAAGCACGCAAGTTTTAGACGTACACAGGCATGTCGTAAAGAAGTGCCACATTAAGTGCTAACCTGCAGTTGCCATAAGGCATTACTCAAACAACACACATCCACAGTGGCTTAACTTTGATAACACACACTGCGAAAGACAAAGACGGGAAAAAGAGTCATTAAGCCAGCACATTCGAGGTATTTCAGCTGGAAATCTCCTGCACACCCCACAGTGAATACTAAATGTTACATAGAGCGCCCTCAATATAAACTATGACAGTGAGTGTGTGCGATGTAGAAAAACTGAAGTGCTGCAATTTGTATGAACCTTATGAAGTGCCTTTGACGTCGGGGTCATTTTGATGTCACTTCGAACCTTTAATACCTTCTGCCCAAGGAGAAAACTACGAGCTTAGAAAACGAGTACGAAAATTTCCTTTACACCCTCGCCTTGTCCTTTCATGCCCAGCTTAAAATTATGTGGCTCCCCTCTTAGGAAATTCGTTTTTCTTCCTGTCACATGCAATGCCACATGAATGTGCAGAAAGCTTAGTAAAGCAGACATCACCTAAGCATTTTTGCTAGCACTGTCTGGTCATCCATTGTGATCATACAATGAATCTATCCAAAGCTGAATGTTTCTGCAGACGGGGGCCAGCTGCCTGAAGTGCTTATATTAAGCCACTACTGCAATACTTGTATAGCTTCGCTCATTACACTCTCAAACTGCAAGGAGGTTTACTCTTTCTGAGGCCCTGTAAATATCCTGTAACCTGTCAACACCTGTTTATTTACGATACATCACAAGCTAACAACACCTCACTTTCATGTTTCTTTGGTAGAATAAAGAGCAGACTAGAGACAAGTGCTATCCATGACTTAATCTTAATAGTCCGACATTCATTTTTAAACGTCGCCACAATGGGCAGATGTTTCCCTCAGGCCTCAGTAGCATAAACTTTATGAAGTTTTCAAGTTGCTTATTGATACTTAGGCAGCTGCTACAAGTTTGTTGAGAATGTGAACCAAGCAGCCTAGCAACAAGTGCTTCTCGCCTAAATTAAAGGCTGCTGAGTAGTTCCCCATTATCATCATAATGAGTTCTGGAGGTCAACTTTGTGAGAAATCATTAAAATTAGCACTGAGGCTACAAGACACTTTATTGCCCATTTTGAAACATACTGCAAACTGGCCTAGTTGGTCACATTCGCGTAAAACCACATGAAGCATCATGACACGTTTTACAGGCACGTACCAACGTCCAGGTCCGCGAGATCGGAGTCATAAGGAGTTGTGGCAATATCAAACGGTTCTTCTGGATTCGGTATCATTGCCTTGTTGAGCTGGAGAGGGTAGTTACTCTCATGAGGAGAACAAGGTGAACCCTGCAAAAGGGCAGAAATCAAGAAACAGCAAATGCATCAAAGCATAAGAAGATCGTCCATCACATCAGCTGCAACGAGCATGCTTTTGTTTCATAAAAAAGACATTATAATTTTATTTTGAAGTTGAAGGTCGACAAAAAATGACAACTAGCATCACTCAATAGCGATGTGGTTCAATCAACTGGCACGACAAGAAATCCCCACAAGAAGACTCACTTTGCTTAAAGACTAGCATCTATAACTTGAAATTGTATTTTACTCACTTGAGACAGCTTTAGATTGCGCCAGAGAGTAACTTTTGTACTTTCTTTTCTATCATGTGCTCTAAGAGGCGTCTAGTGGTGCTGCAGGCAGTGTGTTCACTTGTCTGCACGCCTGCCTGCAAACGGCGCAGAAATGTGAGCACTGTGTCCGCCGCCATTTATAAGAACAAAAAATGTCTGCGTGCTTCAAACGACCACTAAGGTATTTGCTTTATTATTAAACAAAACTTCATGGTGCCTGCAAAAGCCGCATGCTGTTTCAGTTTTTTACTTTCACCGGCAGTACGATTGCCATCGCCTCCATCGGCCAGTGTTGTGGGCATTCATCCCACCAATGAAAGGAGACCAAATGCAGATAAAAAAATTCTGTTTTAAAATTTTCTCCACACTTTCCAGAAAAACTGCTTCGAGGATGGACACTTCAGATGGTACGCTCTTTATTGCGACACAAAACATAAGAACAGTGAAGAACGATAGACGGTCCTTTTAAGTGGCTTCAATAGTGCTTGCGATACAATCAGGTGAAAATTTAGTTGAGTTGGGTAGACTTTATGTCAACTGCATTATCTACTTCCATAGCTTCAGTGTACTCCTGGCTGGCAATGGGAACTTCACAGATGTGCTCTGTGTGGCCTTTGCAATCAACTCTGGAAGTGCGCAGTCACACTGGTGAAGAGGACTAGAAAGAAGAGTATGTTGGAGATCTGCCCTGCCAATAACCACAACAATTCGTGGTGATCACAAGGAAACTATCAGCTATCTGAGTGAGCTCATTCAATTAATCTCCATTAATTATCCATCAGCTCGCACAGGGTAGGGCTGTAGTGCGCTAGTGCGGTCCACAAGAATCCGACCAGTAGAACACGACGACAATACACTAGGCACGAGATGGTTCCGCCTGCTCAACAATGGCCAGGAAGATACTGTTTCCTTCAAGCTTCCAAAAACCTGAACTTTAATAGGAAAATTTCAACAATGTCACGTATTACAAGCACTTCTGACTGTCATACTCGCCATGTGCATTTCGTGGTACAAGAGTCTGCTTCTGGCCACCAGTAACATACTAGCGACTTCCTCGCTAGAAAGGGGCCCTATAGCACGCTAGTGTATGCCACAAGAACACAACAAGAAGACGACAGCAATGACACGCCAGGCATGAGATGGTTGCGCCTGTTTTTGCTCGCATCTGTATAAATGGCTTCACATAAAATGTAGTCTGTGGTTTCAAATCATTGACATCTGTCTGCCTGTTTCCCCAGCGTAAACTGGAGATCACTGGGAGATGCCTTCATCCTGCAGTGAAATAAAACAGGCTGAGGATGATTATGATGAATTACCTGCACATTTGATTGGTCATTACCTTGAGTGACCCTAAGATGCAATATCCTATGTGTCTAATACAATTGTTAAATTGAGCTATCACCACCTTTTATGAATTTTGCGGTTTTCGAACAAAACCAGAAATTTCAACTTCCACTTGACAGTAAGCAGGCTGAAAGTCGGATCATCATAATGACTTCATCGTTTAAAGCCAGTCACCCACTATAAAAAGCACACGAGCGACTGCACCCTAAAGGCCACGTAAGGGTGTATAACAAGTTTGAAAAGATTTTATACAGCAAGTGCTTGAAGCACACACTAGAAACAGAATATTTTTTTTTTTTGCGTCGTCAATGGAACGCACTAGCACGCTCAGTTCGGATCACATTGGGCCAACAAGGGCGCATGGCCTAGTGGCCAAGGCACTTGCTTTCGGACTACGGAGACTCGAGTTCAAATCCCAGCACCAGAAAAAACGTTCCTTCAATCCGTCATTTCTTAAATGCGCATCATCTGCGGGTGGGGAGGGTTTTGGGGTAAACGCGTCACGTGTTTTTCTTTTCACTGTTTGTTTTTTTAACAGTATTGCCAGCTTCGCTGGTCAGGCAATACGAGCTTTGAATATCTCGTGCTTTACGAGCCAGTAACACGGTATGACTATGAGACGCCGTAGAGCAGGGCTCCGGAAACTTCCACTGCCTGGTGTCCTTTTAACGTGCACTGGCACCTCCATCGAGATGGCACGGACGGAATCGAACCTGCGGCCTTCGGTCAGTAGTCGAGCAAACCCCTTTACCACCGCAGCGGACGACATTGTTCAGCTCAGTTCACACGCACCCGTCTTTCAGCGCTGCTTTTCAGTATGAATATCTACCCACAAGCCCAGTTTTCTTCTCCATTCCCGAATCCGTTCAACACCGCGCACGCGCGGATCTCGACGCTCACCGACGAATGAAATACCGTAACACTCGGGAGAAACGGGAACCTCGCTTCGTCTGCTACGCGTGAACTCACCAGAACCCGCACTGCCTCGTTGGTGATCGCGCTGATTTTGTTGTCGGGCGACCAAGTGACCGCCGAGTAGCAGTTGGCGGCTCCCGTGAAATTGGCCACATATGCGGGCTCGTGAATGTTCATTGTGATTGTCCTAGCTACTGTACTGATCAGCTAATTGGGTCATAAGGCAATGAAAACACCATCAGGGCTGCAGCATGGTACATCTTTCCCCCATGTGCAGAATGCAAACGTGCAAACTTCCCCGCAATTTTTGTAATGCTGATAAAGAAGACGCTACACAACAACATTTGTAGTTTCGTACACATTCTCGCGTTACAGTCTCTTTACTACATCATGCAATATTTAGCGCTGAATTAATATACACCAATTTTGTGTCCAAGAATTATGTTTATTTTATTTTTGATAATACGCAAAGTTGCGGATGATGGGAAAGGCTCATTCTCGTACCTGCGGAAAAAAGAAACATGGCCGCTGCCTGGTGTCCTCCGTCGCTGAGGAAGATGCTCCACAAAATGAACTGTCCCTCGTAAACTGAGCTCCCTTTTCTTGTGTCATTCTGTGTGTTTCTGTGTGTGACAGTCATCTAGCATGGAGGAAGAACGGCTGAAGAAGCTGCGGGCCGGCCAGGAGATGGTAAGTTGTTCGTTGCATCCTCCAAAAACCGACGCGTTCTAAAATAACCCCGCCGCGCATATGTGGCTGTGTTGCGAGAGCTTTTCGCGTTTTCTTTTCTTTTCTATGGCGTGACAAACAAATATGAGTGCGTTTTTCTTTTTACGCCTGAAAGGAACACGATGGCGCATTTAACTTGGGCAACGCCAACGCAGATTCCCGAAGTGTGGATCTCGTCCTTGTGGCGGTTCATGTCGTGTGTATTCGCGATCGCCAACGGCGACCAGATTGCGAGGATAGCTATTTCGGGTTGCCGCGTTAGCGCCCGCTCGAGAGTGCGTGCGTTTTGTATTTACGCGTGAAAAAGCGATGACAGGGAGTAAACACCGTTCACTCCGAAAAACCGGGCACCGTTCTCACGCTCGGCTGCCACATCCGCATCGACGACGAAGTGTAGTGATGCCACTCTACGCTCACGTAACGCTTCGGGAGCTGTATCTCGCCCGCTGTACGCTTCATTCTTCTTTCTTTATTTCTTCCCTTGGAGACCGCTGAATAGAGTCCCTTGTGAGTGCCGGCCTCATCAACGTGACTTCCTCCCCTGCTATCATGGTTCGTTTATCTGACCGCGCTCGACGTTTCCCCGCTTTTCTTCGTTTTTTTCGTGTCGACAGACCGGGTCGAGACACCCGGTTGCGTGAGCGTTGGGTCGTTCCGAACTCCCCCGGCCGTGTCTTTCGCGGCGTAATTACTGCGCACATCTTTTTTCTCTTCGGCGCATCTGTTTTGTTTCACTTCGTCGAGAGAAGCCGCTTTTTCTTCTTTTTTTTTTCCTTTTTTTTCCAACGTTGCGCGCGCCTTGTCGCGCGTAGCAGTACATACGCGAGCGCACTCTGTGACGACTGGGTAGGTTGTAGAGGGAATGGTTTGGGAACCGCTTCAAACGTGCATTCATTATGTTCGTTTCTTTTCGCCCACGGACAGAGCCGTAGTGAAGCGATGCAAATGCGCGCCCTGAATGCGGATCGCACGTTATTGCTGCCGTGGTTACCCACACACCGTGTCCCTTCGCCTTGTGTTATCTTCCATTGAATCTGCGGCGACCGAGCGGGGACGGCGTATACGCGTGTACGGCGAACGTGGCTTTCTTATCGTCGCAGAGGAAATCGGAAGCAGGAGAATCAAAGGTTCTTGCGCCGATGAGCCGCATCGCCGTCGTGTGTGCGCCCGTTCCAGCTGTTGACGAGGTCAACGTAGCCGTGTTTAATAGAGTGGAAAATACCGCCGTGGCGTCGCCTTCAAACGGCGTCCCGTCGAGCCAACGGGACCCACTCGTCAGCCGATGCCGAGTTCTGACGTGTCGTTGCTCAATGGGGCGCGTGAGCAGCGAGCGGTGAGAACCCGGTGCGGCCCTTATACATCCACACCTACACACCCTTGGCTGCATCGCCCCCGCTCTCGCCACCTTGTGTTGTCGCACGTCAAGTTTCGAGCTCCGTGACGTACGCCTGTACGCAAGTGTTGCGGTAGCTGTGGCTCACGTAATTTCTATAGCAGGCCACAGACTGTTATCGAAATCGAGAATGTGTAAAGATACACCAGCCAGTTACGTTCATTCGTTCTGGCATCGTGGCGAAAATTGAGTTATTTTCACATCAACGGGCTTCGGAAAATGTGTTGGGTAGCGAAGGAGTGGTAAAGTTTGTGGACGGAACTTGTAACAAATAATGATGTCTGTCGTGAAGCATGGCAGAGCTGCGGAAGCACAGGGTGTGCCGTACCATTTTTTCTCTTAATTTTGTTTGTGGTTATTGAGCTCACTAAAATGGTTCACGACAACAAATTAACGCCTCATTCTGGGTCACCTATTTTTATTTTCAATAAATGCTGATTGAGCTAGTAACAAAGGAGTTACATGACAGTGTGCATAATTCTGCATGGTGCAAGAGTACCTCTGAAAGCAGTTAGACTATGGAGAAGCCTTTGCATTGGCACAAAAACATTACTGTGACAAAATTTAGGCCTGTGTTTTTACAGCTAGATGATGTGCTGATTCAGGTTTGTTGCTGTAAAGGTTACTCGACTGCAGGGAGATGTTGCAAATGGAAACCCTCAAGTTGCGCAGACCACGAGGTTTGGGGGTTACAAAATATTAATTTCACCTTGGACATGAAGCCAGCTGCCTCAGTCAAGTTTGGGTAAACAATATAATCTACTATCTAAGGATTAGTCTACAGCAGGCATCTTTATTGGTAGACAGCCAGCAGGAATGGCTTGAAACATTGATTCATTGCTCTTGCACCATGTGCAGCACACATGAGAGGAGCGCTGACTTGGGGTGAAGACATAAATCGTACTAAGTACATCAACATGCTCAATTCATCACTCTGTGTTTAATCCTCAGCAAACTATGCTTAACTGAAGTGTGTCCACTTACACACTACATATTAATGCTTATTTTGGGAGCTGTGGGTATTAGTTGATGCTGGCATTGCCCCAAAATCAGTCAGAAGATTTTGGCATTTTACTTCTAGCTTTTAAATGGCAGCACTAGAAGCAGTCTCAATTTGCATTCGTTTGCTTGTGTAGTTTCAAAAAGCTGCGTTCGTGATAAAGCAACAACTGCACTTACCTGAAGGTTATGTTTTAGTCTGCTATAACTATTCTGGTCAATTTCGTTTGAAAATTTTTCTAGCTTGCACGTGCTCACAGTGTGTACGATACTTGGTTTTGAAGCATATTACAATATCTAAATTATTTGTTAAAACCCATATTAGAACTTTTGTACTATATGTTTTGCTTGATGTGAGGACAAATGTATGTTGCAATTTTATTTGCTTACGGAAGCGCTATGTTCTACACAGATTTTTCTGGGCATCAGATTTAACATGCACAGACACGTCAGATAGTTTTAATGAGCTAGTAAAATGCTACATAGACAGAATAAGGGGTGATTTTAACCTGTGTCAAAGTATTCTCTTGTCAAGTGAATTGCTGGCAAGATATCGGACCCATTGGACACACTTATATAAAAGCCATTTTAATCCACACTGACTTTGTTGAACACAGCCACAGAATGTATTGAGTGACACTTGCTGGTTCAAGTGATAATCAATAATGCACACATCATAATGATATATCATCTATTGTTTTTCAACCACCTTTGTATCACTTTCTTTCTCTTTGACAGAAAGATGAACTGCTAATGCAGTTCATTTGCATCACTTATAGAGCTAGTAAACACGAGACAAAATGTTCTGCTGTGGCTAATAAAATTTTTTTGGCTCGGTGCTGCCATGCTATCCAGGTGAATTGGTCATGCGCAGCTCCATGGGTATATCCCGTTATTGTACGTAGAGGACATACTTTGTCTTCAACGGACGAACAAGTTTTGTGGCAAATGCTGAGAAGTGGTCTTTGATGCAGCAACTTGTGAAAGGATGAGGTCTTGCCATGCACATTGAACATATCCACTTTTGCTAAAGAAAAAGTGGATATGTTTGGTACATTGTTTCTTCTTTTTTTAGGGGGGGTTGGGGCAAGTATGATTTCCTAGTTCGAGTGTGTAATAAATAGGAATGCAGGCGTTCAATTTTCAGGTAGTGTACAAGGTAGCCCAAAGTAAAAAACAAACAAAATGTTTAGCCTGTCCAGAGGGCCCACGATGTGGTGGTTAGGCTTAGCCTGACAGTCCCAATGTGCAGTGGTCCGCTGCATGTTGAATCGTGTTGAATAAATTTTCACACCCATCCATTCAATATAGGGCGTTGTCACAGACAAATACTGTTAAGATAGATGATGCCTTCATAAAAACAAGATTTACTCAATTCCTAAGGATGCAAGTTTTAAGGACTACAGTTGTAATTCCCATTTTTGTGCGTGCAAGTTATCTAGACGGTCATCATGGATTAATATGACAAAGTGGAGTGAGAACATTTACAGCTCACAGCCTTTATGCGCGATGCACTTATTTCTCTTATGCCCTGCTAAACAGACAACTTTTTCTCATGAAGATCTTCTCGTTTAGTAACAGAACTTATTTACCAGCATGTGTTCATCAAGGTATGGCAGGTCTTAAAGCCATGGAGTGCTTTTCTTCACTTATAACTCCCCTGTTGCATACTCGAAAGGAATTTTCAGATTTATGCAAAAGTAGAGCTGACTATATGTAGCTCTCAAAGATGTTTGGCATAACTTGAGGCATGGTGCATAAGCACTTCATAGTGTGTTAATTTTTTATAGAATTTAGGACACTGTTCCTAAACACACGGACTTCGTGCTTTGTTTTAGCGGTCCGTATATCACTGTTTCATTTTTTTTTTAATAATCAGAAGTGACTCACCATATGAATTTTTTTCATGAGGCATTCTGAATGGTCACCAAGTGTGGAAACGTAACCGTGGAATAACACCTGTATTTCGAAGTCACCGTTTTGGTTTCGCTGATTCCATCGTCAGCACTGATGTGCTTCTCGAATTGTGGTGCAATATCTTCTTCACGAATGGCCCATACATGAGATATAGGAAAGGGCTTGTTTTAAATAGACACATTAGCTGACAATTTGTTCAAAGGGTCACTAAAGAGCAACAGTGACTTGGTTTAGATTGACAGACTGCGCTCTGAGAACTCTAATGCTTCACGTTCCACTATCGCAAGTTCATTATTAGCAGAGAAAATCAAGGTTGAAGTTTCCATTTCAAATTTCCCTCCGAAATCTCCACGCATGACGTTAAAATAAAAAAAATGTATTTTTTTGCATTTTTACTACATTGGCTTATTGAAATTTCCTGAAACTTCATATGATTGGTCCATGGCACTCGCAGATGATAATGTACTTCATTTTCATCTATTAGAAGCTATGTAGGACCTACTAGGGGCTTTCAAAATCTATGGTGTCGTGGTTTTCGGTGCTGGAATCTCAAGGTGCCATCTCCGCCCGCATTTTCTTTTCGCGCATTTTCTTGCTTACCAAGTATTGTGTCGCGTTTAGAGGGGTGTTTTGGGAATCGCTAAATTGTTCTTCACTAATATGCGAAAAAAATTTTTCTCTTTTGTTCCTTTAAACTAGCCCCACCCCCATGGCCCCTCCCCTTTGCTCCTATTTTTTTTTTTTTTCACTGTATTTATCCTTGCAGAAGGTTAATTTTGTAACTGCAGCCCACCAGTTGAGGTGAGTTGGAGACCTCAGACTTAAAAGCTGGACCTATAATTCATTTGTTTCGTAATGTCCAGAATGTTTAATAATGATTATAAAATAGACTTGATGAATTCGTTTTCATTTGGCATAACTTACAGCTTCAAGCTTTATTAGGGAATTTGGAAATTCAGGTACGGTGGTCATGGTGAGCTCATATCGGCAGTGCTAGCTCATGTTGGGAAAACATTACTTAATATATAAGCAAAGTCTCGTAGGAAAAAAGGACAAAAAGCAGATCAGCATTTGCATTTCTTGTACACAAATCGTGTGCATTAATTAAAAAAAATCTTAAGTCCTTCATTCCACACACCGAAACTAGCACCACACACACGAGGTTTTCTTGCAAAAGCAATGTAAAAGCTGTAGCTTGATGAACGAAATGTTTTATAAATATTTCCACAGCTTTTTGGCAGTTCGATGGCATGTCACAGAGGTTTCTGAGCAGTGCAGTCTGCTCACCGTTATTCAAAGCACACATTTTTTTCATCACTTTCTCTGCGAAAGTTCTCGGCATCACGTCGATGCACATACACGCTCCCGAAGCACACATCCCAAGGTTCTCGAGGTGGGGACGAGGAAGAAAACAAAGCACAACTTCGAACTGCAAGGCCACGTCTTTGGTGCAAACCGCGAATGAGTCACACTAAGGCCCCGAGCTGAGCGCGCAGTTGGAGACGGACGTCAGCGTGCTGGACGAGTATTTCTTGGAGAGGGTGGGTTTCACCGTCCTTTTGCCACAGCAGCTGAGACGCTGGCGCAGCTGCGCAAGCGTCTTGCGCTTGAAAACAAAAATGAAGAACAGGTAGATGCCGTGCAGGGAGTTGAGCATGCCGGCGAGTCCGTACAGCCTGTAGTAGCCCGTGATCCACGGGATGAACTCAAACACCCAGATGATGCCCATGACAACCGAGAGCTTCACGTACAGGTAGAACCTACAGGGGAAGAGAGGCGTGCAGAGCTGTCATCAGTTCGTGGATGCAGAACAAAGGAGGCAGCTGTAAACGGATTATTTACACCCTTCAGGACCAACTTATCATACGCCATGAAGGCACGCATGTGAAAGGGCTCTTCACAACTCTGTTTCATGTTCAGTCTAAAATTAATTCAGCTCCATATTTTCTTTTCTGTGCATTGACACCTTTGAGGCAGTGTTGACATGTTGAACACACTGGCTCCTAAAGAACTCATTTCTGTATAATATACACTCGTACCTTATTACAGCAGAGTCATATCTGCCATGAAAATACTTTTGTTATATCCGAAAATTATAAATGATTATTTATAACGCTGTATCTTGACCAAGCCGTCGGTCACTTACTTCGTTATTACCAATAATTCATTCCAATTCATTATATCGATGTTTGAGTGTAGCTGAAATAAATGCTGACACCTTTCTCAAGCAGTGCTTGCTGTTTGCTATTGGTGTCACAGTCGCTTTTCTCGAACCAATTGGTGAACTAATAGCAAAACTGACATGCTTACTTTTAATTAAGGTATTCAGGCAATCATATATCATATTCACCGAGTGTCAAATGGTTACTTTTAATCACAATGGGGCCTGATGCTCATCAAGTTTATTTACCATGATTTGCTTCTCTATGCCAATTGTTTTTGGGCAAGTTGATCAGGATCTGGCTTAATCGCGATCAGCCGTGTGACACTAGCACAAAAGATTTACTGCATTATTGATGCGAAAGTTGGCTTCACCCCACTGCTTTACGATAATGCAAAAAAAGCCGGCTTCACGGCAGTGCGCAGTGACTGTTTTTCTTTTTTTTTTTGTAGTTGGAGTTTTGAAGGTGTGGTTTATATGATAGCCTATACGTGGTAGAATACGGTATTGATGGGAAGAGCGTGTCTAACAAATGACAGCTTTCCAAATACTTGCACCGTAGACACGTATCAGCGCGTAAAATATTCTTGAAGCGAACAGCGTTTGTGCAGGGTGGGCATGCAGACGAGGAATCGTAGGAGGAAGCTTGTGAAGGCAAGCGGTAGTTTTTACTCGACCCTCACGTCACCCTCATAATCACAACGCGCTCTCTCGGAATTACATGCGGGAAAGGCGACTGTTTGAGGTGCTTCGCAATGCACGAAGTTGGTTGTATGCAGTGTTCTGGCTATTTTTGTTCGATGTAGCGGTAGATCTCTGTTCTATGCATTGACGTCGAAAAATGCTGTTTTTCGAAAACAGTTCGATATAAAGGAAATTTTGACTTATTTGAGTTCCCTGTATCCAGGTTTTACTGTAACAGTACATTTTCGTCAATCTCGCGCGTCGCAGATTTTTTTTTTTTGCTTGATGTCACCTTACCGACCTTCTAAATCCTTTCAGTTACCCGTGAATGGCTCTCTGCGTGTACTAAATTTGTCGGATATTTGTGTTTGGCAAACTGCTGCCAAATGGACCATCGCCAACTCGTTCAAAACTCAACACTTGCATGCTTATTGCCCAACAGCATGATATATGTGTAGTGTATCTGCATAGTGGCGGTTGTTGGTTGCGTGGGACATGCAGCGAGACGCAGTGAAATGCAACATCGCGTCCTCGGAACTCGTCCTGCAAAACCGACTTCCACAAGCGCCAACTGCTTCGGTTATATTCTACGCGACACAAGTTGGACACCAAGGCACGCATAGCTATAGACGTCACACTCACATCTTCTTGTGCTGCTTGGCCTGCAGGGTGACCCTCTGCAGCGTCTTCGCCCGGTACAGGGCCCACGCGGTGAGGCCGAAGATGACCACGTTGCAGAGCAGTATGATGCCGACGGGCAGGTTGAAGTAGAGCGCGTAGGCGAGCTGGCCGCTGAGCCAGCAGCGCACCTCACCGAACCGGGGCCGGTACGCCTCCGGCACCAGCTCGGTGAAGTGCAGCACGAACGCGGGCGCCGACACGGCCGCCGTGGCGGTCCACGCGTACACCGCGTACTGCCAGTAGTGGTCCTCGCGCAGGCGCGGATTGGCCAGCGGCCGCAACGTCACGATGGCCTGCCACACGTCGAACGCCATCACGTTCGTCCAGAAGAACACCGCGAGGAAGCTGGTGTGCTGCACCACGGCCACGGCCAGGCACATGCGCCGCGGCAGCACCGAGCGCAGCGTGAAGTCCACGATGAGGCCCACGTAGAGCACGATGAAGCAGCCGGACAGGGAGAGCAGGTTCTTGCCGTGCGTGCTGCGCAGCTCGGGCAGCGCGCAGTAGGCGACGCAGATGAGTGCCAGGAACATGAGTGACACGGCCATGGCGACGGCCAGGTACGGGTAGAGTGCGGTCAGGCCGTGGTCGTAGTAGGATCCGGCGCGGCTGCCGTTGCTCACGCGCACCGCGAAGTTGTCGGCGCCGATGGCCGACGAGTTGCCGAGCAGCGCGAGCCATGAGTGGTTGTTCTGCAGAAGCTGCAGCACCGGGTTTCGCGCCAGGTACGCGTTGAGCGGCCCGCCCGCGCTGGGCGCGTCCGCGGCCTCGCTGGGCAGCGAGACGCGCGCGGCGCGCAGCAGGCTGCGGGCCTCGGGCGTGGCGTTCTGGAAGCGTCGCTGGACCCAGTTGAGGTAGATGCTGTCCAAGAACATGCTGATGGCCATGCGCCTCCTCGCACGCCGCCCGCCGCCGGCCACATCCGGCCGGCTTCTGGGCTGTCGCGGGCCCCCGCGCCTGCGAAGAAGGATAATGTTGAGAGAACGCCATAGCTGTGAGTCATTGGCACGTGCATTGTCTCTTGTAAACAGTATTACACGCGGGAAACCCGTAGAAACAGTCGATCGACATGCTTCGACCGTTCGTTTGAGCGCGCCGAACGAGAACCCAAAAAACTAGTAGCTGACCCACAAGTTACCAGTAAACGTGGGTCAGTTACTGGCCGAAGAGTCGCGAAGTTAGTAAGTCCACGCGTCGTATAATTTTCGATATCAAGAACGGCTCAACGCAGAGGAAGAGGCTACATTTGAGTGACATTCTCTGGAAAAACTGCACCCTGCTACGGCACAAAACCAAGCTCACCGTTTACGTTGTGCGATATTTGCAGCAGCTTCTCTCTTTCCCACCAGTGATCTTGCTCAATGATAACGCGGTGCTCTGCGAAACTGGTGACTGCGGCCCAGCAGCCGCAGCTGGATACCCGGAGCTCGAGTCTACTAACGCACCAGGTGCGATCCGTTTCGCTTCTGCGCTTCTCCGACCTTCCGCGTGTTGGTTTTATATCGGTGGTGGTGACGGCAGTTGGGCGAAATGGGGAACTCTTTATGAATCAGTGGGCGGAACGAAAGCGGCGCAACCTCGACGTCTTGTATAAATAGCTCGAGTTCCCGAAGGGGCGGCCTGGTTGGCATTGCGAGAGGCCCTTATGCTCGGCCATTAGACTGCTTCTCTCTTATGCATCGTTTCGCGCAAAAAGAAAAAAGAATAGGGCCAGGGCTTCCCACGTGCGATAATCCTTGAAGGCGCCAAATCCGTATCGTGACACGTCCTAAAAGAGAGCTCCTGCTGATCCTCTTGTGTCATCCCCCCTTATCATTTAACTGTGACCACGTGGCCCGTCCTGCCGAGAGCCGACGTGTCAGAGAGGCTTCCCACGCGCATTTGTTACGGCGGCGCCATTCATCAGCGCGACCGAGGTGGCAGCCACTCGGAACGCCGCTGGTTGCCAGCACCTGCGACGGGTATTTGAAGGGCACCATCCGAAGACGTGGAGAAACGGCAGAGCAGCTGACCATGCTAGTGTGCTGCTTATATAGGCGTGAAACCGGCGCGTAGCGTATGAAGGTTGCGTTGCAAGGTATATGATTACTCAATCATTTAGATGCTTCCGTTGCGAGCTTTCAAGACTGATTTACGACACGACCATGATACTCGACGTGAACGAAACGGAAAAAGAAGTGTAAATGAAGGGCAGTTGGGAAACGTCCATCATATACTGTCTGTGATGAGGGTCATGGTGTCCAACTTCACACAACAGCGAAAGTTCTTGGCACGCGAACCCCAACGGCCGGCTCGTACAGCTATTCCTTGACTGAAGCCTTTCAGTACGTAATTGGCGGTGGCAGACATCGGGTGACTGCAGGGCTTTTCCCTCTGTCGCCTTGCCTTTAGGACCTCTAAGTTTACATCTCTGGAGAAAAGGTAGGATAGTGCCTTCTATAAAGTCCTTCAAGACGTTACGTGCTAAACTCATGTACGTCCGACGTATCCCCTGCGGTTAGCGTGTTTCTCCTGGCCCGAATCTTGTCATATATAGCGTCTATATTGCTTCCCTATGGATAAGCGGCGATAATAATTTTCAGTGTGATCGATTCTTCAACAGAACATCAGTTGGATGGTAGCACCTCCTATCTTTGCTTTGTTTCTGTTTTACATTTTCTAGTGTATGCTTGTATTTAGTGCTGTCTTAAACATTGATATCTATGAGTGATGTGACGATGATAACGCTTTTGCGACTTTATCAATTTGTCAGTCGTTACTCATTTATATTTTACAACCCTGAAAGGTGCATGCGGTAATAAGGGTGCGTCCGTTGGCCTGTTTTGTATTGTTAAGTTCTTCTTGTTTCAACTGCAACATGCCTAAGCGTCTTGTAAATAACACGTGTGTGCGTGTGTAGGGCTTCCAATGTCTCACGCTTAGAACTTGGAGTTCGCACCGGTCAAGGCGGAATAGACTGTTTACGCCTTGAAGCAACTCACGACCTGCGTCGGCATTTTGCGTTCGGTGTGCTCCGGCGAGTTCGCTTGTGTCAAATCATCGCGCCTTCCTTTTTCGTGTTGTATGCGTGTGTTCTTTGGGGAAAAAATAATCTGCGCTTGTCTTGTTGATTGATTTTTCTCGGTTCCACAATGGTCGCCGAGGTCGGGAGTTGTCGGGATGCGCTAGTGCTTCGTGTACCCTTTACTGCTTGGCAATGATGCCTATACTCTGGTGATAAGTGCAGGCGCTTCTAGTACGCTCGTTGCCGTGGATGTACTCGCTCGAGGTCGCCTCTGAGGTTGTTTTTCCCCTTCGCGACTATACGGCGCACGCGCCGAGAAAATCGTTCGCGCGCCACTGGGTCGTCGAGCGATTCGTCGATGCCGCTACCCTCGCGTCACTGCATGCGGCGCTGTGTACAACTCAGCGGCACGCACCGCGATGGGGCCAGGCGGCCGCTGCGCTTCAGGGCTCATCGGCCTCTCGGATCTCGGAGCTTGCGTCGATGCAAAGTCGCGCGGAGAACGCACCGCTGCACCCCCCTGCATGCGCGCGCAACCGACCGTTTCCCAAAGACTGCCCCTCGCGCGGTCCGCGGATCTGTCGCTCCGCCGATGTCTCGAAAGCGAGGGGACAATCGCTCTTCCTTCGTTCGCCATTGATGATGTTCCTGTTGCGTCATATGCATGTCGATTTGTCACGCTCGTGTCAGCATGCCGGTGCATCCGAACGCTTTTGATTGGATAGCCGCCCGCGTGCGTGCAGCACAGCCCCTCGTGCAGCGTATATATACACGGTGTGCCGACGACTGCCGTGTCTGCTGCCGAGGCAGGCAGCCTTGTGTCAGGAAACAGTTGGTGTGGGCGTTGTTGACTTTAGCTGCGCGCTTCTGAAATGGCAGGCTCGCGCCCGAACACGTATACACGTGTGCAAGGAAAGGAACAAAGCGGACGTCGATTACACGAACTCAAAGGTCGCACGGTATGAGTATAGGAGCAACCCTCATGCGGATCAGAATCCTAGAGTGTGTAGCAGTGCCAGCCCGTCACTGACGTACGCGCGGCGTTTTGTGTTTTTCGCGCGTGCGATCCTATCAGTTTCACAAACTCTCCAACTTGAACTATACCACTCGTTCTGGCTGCGCTATTCGTTGAACTTTCAGTCCTTCAGAGCCACGGTGTTTGATCTTCCTTGCAAGGCTGTGTTCCCGCATCCGTCATGCGAGGATGTTTATGGCCTCGCATGTGCACTTGCCGAGCGTAACGGCTGCTCCTTCGTGTGATGGGCTTTTCTTGTCGTAATTATTATTCGCGTCTGTCTCGCACTGCAGCGTTTAGCCTTCGTGGCGAAAGCGCGCTTTCGTTTGCGGGGGGCCCTCGATGTGCATTCCGGGTTGGGAGGCCTCTCACGGCGCGATGTTCCACGGCCAACGTTGGGCGCGATGTCTGTTTTTCGTCGCGCAAAAGCGAGGAGTGCCGCGATGTTGCATGTCGAAGTGACATTTCATCAATCTTTGATGTGGCTATAACATACGTCACCGAACCGCAACGTTGCGGGCGAGTTTGACGTATGTATACCGAATAATGATAGATGTTCTTCTAATAGTCCGAGAAAGAGGTGCGAGGAGGTCAGTGTTTGGACTTCCCGGCCAGCCTTTATCAGCTACCCGGAAAGATGATTCATCTTGAACTGATAATCGCAAGATGTAACGAGATAATGCGAGAGATAGCCCTTTCTCCTGCCCTCTCCGCACCTGTTTTTGCTGTATACAGCTGATTGTAAACTCCCGTGGGAAATTGTTTCCATGAACCGCCGTTGGACGGTGTCCATGAGAAAAGATGTTTCGCAAGAACGTCCTTTCCAGTCGCCGAGTACACGAAACAGCCATATCTGACGTCATGGAAGACGCCTTCTCCTTGTGCATGTATAGTATACGACCAACTATAATCGAGCGCGCCTGCGCAGTTGGTTTGTTGACGTTGTGTACGCGGCTACATAGACCACGTCTAGTGCAGCTTTGCTTTCTGTGTACACCTGTCGCTTGAATACATGTCATAGAGCCCGGCGTTAGCACACGGAACTCCTTGTCATGTCTGTGACGTGCGAGACCCTGCGCATCGAGCGCCGCAGTCCTGTTGGTCGAGTGCGCTTGCATGCCGTCCGTGGTCGTCTCGGCCCCAATTAAGTATCCGTGATTACGTCGCGCTTGCTCCCCATTGTGTGGTCGGGCTCGTTTTCAACGTCGCTTCCTCGTTGAACTCATTTTCTCGCGCGGGGCAAGCCGCGAACGGCAAGGTGTGCGGTGGAAAATTACCTCCGCGGTCGTCGTATCGTCACGGTCGCTCGCTGCAGCGCACAATGGCGTGGCTTACTTGCCGCGTATAAATGCGATCACGCTTCTGTGCTGTGCACCGCTCCGCGTGCACTCCCTGCTTTCAGGTCGCCTGCGGGAACGTGGCCGCGTTGCAGAAGTACGGGACTGCTTTGTCGTCGCTGAATTGTGCAGCGTCACACGTGGCGTCCCGCATCCACACGTTCGCGGCGCATTTCCTTGCGAGCTCTGTACGGCCCGAGGATGGCGAGGCATACGGGAACGTTTCGTTCGGGAGCCTGTCCGGTGGTGCAGCCTGTTCTTGCGGGGACACTGCATGTAGCAGGCTACCTGTAGTGTCAGGCGGTGGTTCCCATGAGCCGCGGGAGAAGCCGCCGTCCCGATCTTTGACGTTTCCACGATGCCCGGCGCAGCACTATGACAGATGGTTTTGTTGCATTTGGAAGGGGGCTGGTCCAGTGGATTCGTCTCTGTCGTAGACACTGCCTCTGATGTGGCTTCAAGATCATATGCAGACGCGCCTAGGTTATCTAATAGTTATGGCGCTCGACTGCTGGCCCGAAGGTCGTGGGTTCGAATACCGGCCGCATTTTCGGTGGAGGCGAAGATGCTCGAGGCCCGTTTACTTAGCTTCAGGTGCTCGTTAAAGAACCCCAGGTAATCAAAATTTTTGCAGCCCATCAATATCTCTCATAATTATATCGCGGGTTTGGGACGTTAAACCTAAAAAATTATCATTATTAAACCATATGCAAACTTTTATAGCACACGCTGACAAGTTATCATAGGTTCGCTCCGAATTCGAGGCTGCATGTATGCAGCTATGTATGACAAGTTGCGTGCCGCAAGGGCTCCATATGATTTATGAACTGCTGGCCCTTACCGAAGACACTCTGCAGGCTTGCAATGTGGCCCCCGTCACGGCGGCGTGAGCTGCGCCGCTTCCCCGTTGCCCCAAAACGAACTGCGAAGTTCAAGGAAAGTGAAGCGTCTGCTTCCGAGACGACCTTTCCTGCACGCGTCCATCGACGGCGTCTATTGCGTAAGCAGAATTCTCGTTATGCGGTTCGATCGCGTTCGACAGAGTTCGAAACTCGCTCGTCCGTCTTCACTCCTGATTGGGCTAGTTGGTAATCCATTATCAAACGTCTCAGCGCGAAAAATTTTCAGACAACAAACACAAGAGACGAGGAGACTCGTGATTCTGTCGAGGAAGCGCGCCGTGGCATCGGCACATATAGTCCGATGACACGATACGGTGACGAGATGATACAACGTGAAAACACAGCGCCGACTATATCCCATATATAGTCCGATGACACGATACGGTGACGTGACCAACCAAGGTGAAAACACAGCGCCGACTATATCTCATATATAGTCCGATGACACGATACGGTGACGTGATCAAACAACGTGAAAACATAGCGCCGACTATATACCATATATAGTCCGATGACAGGATACGGTGACGTGAGGAAACGTGAAAACACAGCGCCGACTATATCCCATATATAGTCCGATGACAGGATACGGTGACGTGAGGAAACGTGAAAACACAGCGCCGACTATATCCCATATATAGTCTGATGACACGATACGGTGACGAGATCAACCAACGTGAAAACACAGCGCCGACTATATCCCATATATAGTCTGATGACACGATACGATGACGAGATCAAATAACGTGAAAACACAGCGCTGACTATATCTAACAAGGTTTAACGGGCAAAATGCGTAGACATATTCGTTATAGTGTCAATGGTGCAAGAAGGGACATGGAAGAAAACACAAAGAGACTATAGTCTCTGTTTTTTGTCGCGCTGTTGTCAGTAAAATGAACCACCTATACTTGCGCGAAGATTTCGCACTCCTATGATATATTCGTGCGGGACAGAAAACAAGAAAGGGTGGAAGGGAGTCATCATGAGAGGGCTCCAAGTCTGCTCTATTCCTTTACTCAGTCCTGTTCCGTCGTTGTTTGAAGCGCAGGTTGTGGCCACGCAAGTTTTTTTACGCTAATGGCGGACAAGCGGTGAACCGCAGAGCTCATTATCTTCTTGGCCCTGGAAGGCTGCAGGAGGCCAAATGCAGATTGCTGTTATAGATACGTCATCGTTCAATTTTAATTTTTGCATCCACTGCGAACCTCTTTTTTTTTGTTCGGAAGCAGGGAGATTCTCGAGTTGAAAAAAAAAAGTAAGGGGTGTAGGGAGGGGGTGATGTTGCGAGCCGTTCTTTCAGTATAAATAGAAAAGTCAGGAAATGAGGTGGGGAGTGCACGATAGCTGTAACTCATGTGAGGACACCTAAACCGACACACTCGCGGGGAAATGAGATTGAAGGGGGGGGGGGTAAGTGACGCAGTGTCTCTCAGGCGAGGACACCACACCCGCGACATTAGGGGGGAATCGAGAGAAATGTAGAGGGGGGTAGGGACCTAGGGAGCACTTGAAAACATCCCTCAAGCTTTTCGGGCGTGCTCTTTTTTTCGGACCTTACCACCGAGTGGGGAGGAAAAAGGGAGGGGGGGGGGGGCTGCGGGGTAAACTTGGCCCGCCCCACGCTCCAATCGGAGAACCGTGCGCGCGCATATTTGTCTTGCTTCTCCCCTTCGCATTTGGATTCATGTGATGATGCCAAGCCCTCCGCAGCACCGTCGTTAAAGGGACACTAAAATCGAATATCAATTTACGTCAGAGTGAAAGCTCAATGCATGGCAACATCCAAAACGACAGTATTATCAACAGCAGTGCCCTTACCGAGAAATTGAAGTAAATGCACAAGAACACAATCGCCGCAGTAGAACATTTTCAATATGATCCCGATGACATCAGACGGACCGCCTACAGTTAATCACTAGTGATCGATGTAACTGCACTAAACAAAGAACCTTCCATGCATCAAGAGACGCATTAAAATGCTGCTTGTTTGTTTCTGTTGTATTGATGAAAAAAAGAACCGCCGGACGTTACTATGGAGAATGGCACGAGTGGTTCAAAAATTCAATTTCCACGTGGTTAAGCGGGACAGGCGGTGCCATCTAGCGGGGCGCAGTTGAAACGAAAGCGTCTGCAATCTCGAAGCCAATAGTGGGAAATTGATCAATGGCCGTTGTGGCTGCTCCTACTAGTGCAATAAAGCAGGGCAACGTTGTGCACGGCTACAGTGACGTGCGACGGTCCGCTTCTTGAGGCGGGTAATTTGAAGTGCGCTAACCCAATGCGGAGCACAAAAACGTGATTTTATTTCAAAATAGGCCCTTCCTTGGCACAAAAGTAACACTACGAGGTTTCTGGACGGCCATTTCAACAATAAACGTCGACTTGATAGTTGGCTTCAGTGTCCCTTTAATCGAGGTTGTGTACTGAGAGCACCGTGTCGCTCGGGCCGTCTGACTCAGCCACTTTGCTGGCAGAGGAAGGAAAAGGGACAGTCTTAAAGCGACCCGGACGGCTGGACATCTGCGTTGCGCGGGTGCGCTGAGTCAAATGTTTGTCCCGCATATGCGGAAACGTTTGCGCTCATTTCCTTACGCGGGGCATTACGGGGAAATACGATGGACCTTGTGTCGGCATACGACCTTCGGAGAAAACACATCTACGCTCTTCCGTCGAGCCGATCTTGTAAACTCATATATAAGATTTCTTTTTTTCCTGGGGGTGCACTTGCTGATGGCCTTGATTATTTCAGGAAAGCATCTATTTTCATCACTTATTTTCGGTAGAACACCCCCTGCATCAAAATTTCAAGAAAACCCGGACCCTTCCCCATCTCCCCCCCTGCCTACGGGCCTGCGTCCACATATGCTCATCGCAAGGTATCAGCCTTCTGGTCTCAGCTGACAGAACAAACTGCGACTGTTTCATTGGCCATGGTGTCTCGTAGATACGCACTGTACATTAGGTTTGTGTTCGGTATTTTTCTGTGTGTGCAAACTGCCACTAGAGGTGGTAGAAACGCGCTTATTTCTCTCTTCAGTGTAGCAGGTCAAGAAACGTAACGCGGTGTGATAGTCAGAAACTGCACCATTGAAACCAGCGGGAAGCACTATAGAAAGTGGCGAAAGCCTGTCCTCCGGCCCTTTTGTTCACCTGTGTGCTGCGCGCCGGATCTTCGTGTGTGTGTGTGTGTGTTTTGCGCGCAATCTGCCTCTACCTTACTGCCTGTCGTTTCGAATTTATCCGCTGCGAAAGTGGCACTGATGCGCTATCGTGTATTTATCCATATTTTTTTCGTAAAGCGTTCGCAACGAAAACGCTTTCCTTTAACATGCTTTCTTGAGTATGTAGACCTTCAGCCAGCCAGTCTGTGAGTGGTCTCTGCAGGGACCCACACAGTTACAGGCAATGTACACGCCTCATCGATAATCTTTGTTCTCGGTTCTCGTGGAATTCTGAAAGGCAATTAATCTGTATGTATGATACATTGCCAACAAGCAATCGCCAATGTATTTACGTAACAGTGTTTAAATGAGACGTGTCGGTTATGGAAGGGGGATACTGGCTGCAGTGGTTGCCGCTCTTTTTTTCCTCCATTCTGATTAGGCGTCGCCCTATTAGCATTATCTGAATTTCATTGTGGCCTCTGCAAAGCTGGCTTTTCTGCACAGGTATTTTGCAGTGCAGCTGACTGTCTCCTACTGATAACGAGGCCCGCCGATCTCGCAGTTTAGGTGCGAAACCTTACGTTTCGGCACGGTGCTCTTGCAGCCGAGATGTTTCCCATCGTGGCATACGCCCTTCTCGGCGTAGCAGTCACGAGTCGCGTTATCAGTGCGCGGACAGACATTCACCGGTCCAGAATAGCTGTGCAGTGTAGGCGCGTGCCACTATTGCAGGGCGTAGCTGGGTTGTTAGTTCGACGAAATCAATTTCGTTGCTGTTCTTCCAAAACACGGTGTGCATTAGTTTGCTTTCTGATGCGCAGATATATAAGAAACGTGGTTATTTTCGTCAACGCTACATCTCCCTCTCTCTCTCTCTTCGTCAGGACAACGGCACGCCGATGTACTTGCACGCGTACACCCAGACATTTTCTCGGCTGGAAAAACACCGCTCACGAGAACTGGTTTTCGACCCGCGATTAGGGGCCACCGAATGGTCTTTATCTCTGGCACGGCCCGCTCAGCTGGCGGCATCTGCGGGAAGAAGCCCGGGCGCCTCGCGTCCTGGAGTCTTCAACCGTGCACTCCGCTGAATTACTCGTTCTCCGAATAGGCTGTCGCGATATAGCGACAACAGCGCATTCGAGATCACGGTTACCATTTGCGAACCAATGCGCTATGTGTCTTCTTTTTTCTGTCTTGTCCCTTTAGATGTAGAGTTGGTCACTTAAGTTAAGCAACCATACACACCATACCCGCCCGTTCCTGTCTGGACAAACCTCTCTCGTGATCTTGCAGGCAGGCTTACCTGTAAGAGGCGGTGGAGGGATCCCAATCGGTGAGGTATATCCAATAGCACAAGTAGCGTTGCGAAGAGTTGCGTCAATCAGCAGCACTCTGACGGCGGTGTCCTGGTTGTCGTTGGTTGTGTCAGGACGATGTCGTCGGTGATCGCGCGGGTGCGCGACGGTTCTCTACGTGCTATCCGGGAGCGGGATGTCCATCGTTTCCGTTGGTGGTCGCTCTATGCGCAACAACTGGCGGACCGGGGAAAGGCGAAAACCTCGGATGCCGCCGCGCTCTCGTTCGCCCGATCTCTGCGGGTGGTTCGTTTCCCGTCCGACGCCCGCAGCGTGTTGCAGTCAACTGGTGGCGGTTGTGGTGGCGGCGGCGTGGACGGCAGGGCATCCGCCCCCTCCTCTCTCATATGCCCTCACTTTCCCCTCCCTCAAGGGCGCCCAAGTGGCCCCGTCACGCGACACCAGGCCCAGAAGCATCACGCTCGCTGCCACGATTTCGGTCCGAGTGGGAGGCGAGGGTGCACGCGTTTGTTATCGCGGTCACCGGGAAAAGCCTTGTCGCGTGCGCTGTCGATCGCGAAGGGGACAGTTCTCCCGTGTGTATGATGGGTTGCTGGTTCTTCTTACGTTCTCCGACTATGTGGTAGGCTGCCGTGTGTGTGTCTGGCTGTGTTTTAGTTTTAATGCTTACTAAGTGTTACCTTGTGGCTTCAGGTCTCTTTCCTGGCTCATACTTGTGCGCTGGGCTCTCTTTTGCAATGGAGCCGGTCACTTCGAGCACCCTCCGTGGCCCGGTTGGACCCTCACGGCTTCGTCTGCCTGATCAAGATATTGGTCTGTCCGGCACTCAGTTGACATAAATGGTCTTTTGATTCGTGCCTCGGTTCTGTTGTACATCGTCGATATCCCGTGTTTTTCTTGTTCAACGTTGATAAGCCCTGTGTACATCGGATGCCAAGATATCTCCTTCGAGACCGTACGACGCAGCCTCTTAGGTGCATACTATATAGTGTCGAGCAGCGTCGATCCTAACCACACTCGTCTCAGGGATCGGGCCGATTAAGGAGCTATACCAGCTGTGATTCTACTATCGTTTACCAGGTCGAACCCGCCTGCGATGAAACCAACATGGGTCTACAGCGCTTCACGACTTGTGGATCACGCTCAATCTGGGCCTCCTCGGCCATATTTCTCGCCTGCAATGATCCAGATGTCTTGAAACAGATTCCTGTGGTAGTGAACATAATGTTATGTCCGCACACCATCTGCCCTATCATCCAGTATCCACCCATCGCCACTGGGGATGTATCCATTCACCATTAGATAGTTGGCGGGTCCCCTGGTGCGTGCACCATCTGGCGAATTCCCCGTGGGGGTCATCAGGGAGAGCCCCTCCCCTGTCAGTCGATTTTCCCCGGCTCTATCGAACTCTGTGTGGCCTCGGCAATCTTCGAGTCACTTTGCCCGCGTTTCCCTTGACCGCCTTGCTTAATTCCTGTACACGCGTTAATCCCGTTGTTCGCCTTCACCGCAGGCTTCGAGAGAACGACTGGCAGGGCGGTATATATGTTCCGGAAAATATATTTAAGGTCATCCCGGCGAGGCCTTCGCGACTTCTTAACTAGTGCTAGTGAACTGAATCCGGCGTCCACAAAAGGATCAAGCGATTGCTTTGATACCTCGCGGAAATATATGCGGCACGCCGCACCCTTGCCGCAGATGTCTTCTTCATTGCTTGGTTTGTAATTGCCAGCAGCGCTGTATTCAGGAGCATTTACTTCCGTGTCGTCAGCCTACGCCGCGTACGAGGCTGTCCCACGGACATCCTTTCACTCGTTTTTTCGCAAACGGGCGCCATCATACGTGAGTGCGCAGTTTGTTTTTATTTCAGGTGTACAATTAACTAAATTCTCATACCGTTCTCGATTGCGTTTCTTCTCTTATTGTGGCCACGTTAAGGGCAAGCTGCTACTTTTACATTAGATGACCTGTTCACATCCACTGTTCTTTTTTTTTTTAACTTCAACTGCAGTATGGACTACCGTATATATTGCTCTCTAACCCACACCGCTGTGTTTGTGTCCTTCCTTAGACTTTTTTTTTTTTTTTTTCGTGTCATCGCTCGCATACCGCGATCATTTTGTTATTCTCTAGGATCATTTGAACCTTTCATTTTCCATCCTGCGTCACAGTTTAATACCGATGAAGGTGCGTATTCTTCTATTAGAACGGCAACGTATATTTGCTTCTCTTGACTCGGTGATAGTGCCTGTCAATGTGCGTTCTGTAAATTTTCATGCATGTAAACGATCCGGGTACTCCAACGTGTATATGCTTCGTATTGGCGACGCTTTGTTCGCTTACCCCTTGACTATCCCCTTTACCGGCTGTAAACTTCGCCAAAGGTGTTGCGCACACGTTGTTCTCGCTGAGATATAGATTCATTCAGCACTGTATTCTTACGAAACGATGATGATGATGATGGGCATCGCACCTTAAGCGCACTATAGGAGCCGTAAACAGCGCGCTTATTTTCTATCTCTCTCTTTTTTTTTTTTTGTTGTTTTCAGCCATCATTTTAGAACTCTTTTATTCTCCGACGACTGCTGCGCCTTTTGTTTCCTTTCCTGGAACAGGATGAGCGCTGCCGAGACCCGCAGCGGACGACCTTGACTTCCTTAGGTGATTGTGTTGGCGCGTAGTAAAAAAAAAATGATAATAAACGTCGTGACTGTTTTCGAGTGAATAAGTAAGTAAGCAAGCGAATGGACAAACCGGAGCGCGCAGTTACACAGAAGGTGTTGTCGAGTGTAGGGCTAATGTGAAAGGGCAGGAAACCCCCTCAATATCCACATCACCGGGTGCGCTCTCACGCACATGGAAAATACCGGCGCCTCGCTGATGATTGCGTCTCATTTCGCCGCTTTGAACTCACTGTGAATGCGTGCGCGTTATGCATGGGGTCGAATGCTTCAGAGCGCTCCAGTGGTTTTGTTTAATGAGCCTCCTGTGAAGAGAAAGAAAAGTGAGAAAACGTGGTGTACTTCTTTTTTTTTTTTTTTTTTGTCAAGACAGCCGGAAAACGAAATCGCGTCTCGGTTGCTCGCTGTCAACGAAAGACTTGAGTGTACACTGAACAAAATCGTGGTGATTTCATCGTGATAGTGGGTATAGACAATTATAGGTAGCCGACACTGCAATCCGACGTGCTAATAAATTCTTCTGATCGAAGACGAGTATTGCGTAGACGAAGTAATGTCTAAATACAATCACTCACTCACTCCGAAAAATTTGCTACCGCCTGGGCTTCTTCAACGCGAGTGGGTGATTGAGTTAAAGGACCAGATCGGTCGCAGACTATCCGGAGCCATCCACTGCGTCGCTTTGAGACATTAAAACGGACGAACCGACCATGGCCTCCGAGATGGTGGGCGCGCGGCGAGAAACCCTCCGCGCGCCCGCCATCTCGGAGGGCATGAACCAGCACTCACTCGCTCATTCACGTGTATGTGTACGCGTGCACGCAGTCATTTCCTAACAAAGAAGCGCTCCATTTTGCTAGACTATATATAGTCGATGACTGATTTGTACAGCGTAAAGCTGAAATAAAACGGCGCGAAAAAGAGAGAACAATTGAAAGCCGCTGCCAAGCGTCCTCTTCGAGTTGCCTGACGGTTCGCCGGGGAGCCGGTGCATGCATAAACTCTGTTCATAGATATATCGCGGTGTTATACAATCGCACTCGTTGGAGCTTCTTGTGGAACGCCGCTTGCCATCTTCGCGCTGGAGTGAACGCTTATTCTATCTCTGCGTATCGTGTTTCGAGTGAGCTCGAATTTTCGCGAGACCTCTATATCGGAAGCCGTGTATATATACCCCTGTACGAACACCGAGCTATGTGAAGGCGAGCGATGTTTTCTCCGCCATCGTCAACAACGCAAAACCGCGGCCGCGTATCTGTGCTCATTTGGGACGGCCGTTCACGCGGCATGCCCGCAGGCTGAACGGTCGTGTGTGCTGCCTATGTAATTTGAGCTGCTAGTAGCGGTGCCACCACCACTGCGACGTCGATTTTCAGGCACCGGTAGAGCCGGGCAAGCAGGTTAAAAGAACACCGCCGCTGTTCGTGAAAACTTGGTATGTACAAGAACCGCGATCCCAGTTAATACGACTGCTGTTACCTTTCTCTCGCACTTTCATTCGGAAAGACGGGTTTAGTTTTGAAGTAGTTCTAGAAAACAGGCAAAGTGCGGGAAATGCCCATATTTGTGTATACGCTGTCCGTATAAATTTGTTCCTTCGTCCTTCCTTCCTTTTTTTTTCTTTTTCTCTTTATCGTTCTTTTTTTCATTAATTTTTCTTTTCCTCTTTCTTATCGTAAGTTGTTACACTAACGTGAGCCCCGTATCTTGTAGTCCGATCTCATGGACTCTTGCTATCAAAGGGAGCCAGATCCGCGATCGAGAAATTCTATTCCAGTTGGGCTCGATCGTGGTCGAAAGTGACCTGTCTCTTCGCCCACGCGACGTGTGTTAGAAAAATGTATTTTGGTGGAAGAAAAAAAAAACTGGCATAGAAACAGGGAACTGGCATGCCAGCCTGCCACACTAATGGCTAATTCCATTGAGAGAACAGCAGTAGAGGGGCAGGGCACTGCAGGAGTGGGGGGCAGAGCACTGAGAGCAGGGCCACTCAACCGGCCACTGGAATGCGCTGCGCTCCCGGAGGGCAGGTGAGAAAGAAGGTGATAAGTAGGGGGACCATGTCGCTGAAACATTCGAAGCCCCGGCATATTCTCTCTGAGGCAGCAGCAAAATACGCGTGAAATTGGTCAGCCACGTGTTCTCGATTATCCTAATACCTAGTATGTTTGTGCAATGACCCATTCGGCAGACGTCCAGCTATCATCGTACCCGTCTGTACGAAACAGCGGTGTCAAACGACACATGGTTGTTACCATTGCCGCCGCGCTCGCCTTCTGAAGAAAAATTCGGAGGCTGTGACGTTCAAGGACTACGTGACTCGTCGTACTGCGCCTACTCCGCTCTTCAGGCGAGAGCACTGCAAACTGCTCCTGGCTGCTCTCGGCGCAGCAAAAGCACCAATGGATGACAGTGCTCCTGCACCTACCTGTTCGACCACTGAAACACGCCTGCTCTGAAGAGAGCACTTTACGCCTGCTTTTAAGTGCTGCTGCTCTCCCTATTGAATTCCTCATAAGTGCTTTAAAGATGTTGGACCCTAGCTGTCCATCATCTATAAATATCCGCCTTTCTACAGTAGCCTTTAGAACAAGTCCTGTGAAAAGCCTTTGTGTCGAATTTAACGAGCGGT